AGAAACAGAAGCCTCAATTCCCAGATAGAAGTCCGAAATAAAGTCGTCTCTTTCCAGAAAGAAACTGAAACATGGAAACAAACGAAATCATGCGGAAAACTCGAATTTGTCAAGAAGTCTGGGAGGAAGAAATTTCGGCGAACGAATGCTTTAGACATGATGATGAGGAGGAAGGAAAGCGATTCCGATACTTGGAGGTTTCCGGCCAAATATATGTTAATGAGTGGGATATTCTGTGGGGCATACTCAATAATATAACATTTTGTAATAACTTACTATGACAAAAAATATATAGACAGTGCTCTTACTCAGCTCACAGGAAATCAATTCTAAATTCCTGTGCACCCCCGAACGTGGGATTTAGACGGGGTAATTGGAAAGAAATCAACAGCGGCGAGGTCAAGGAAGTGGAAAAGTGAAGCAGGCGAAAGGTTGGTCACCCATATTAGAAAAGGTTATGCATGTTGCGTGATACCGGAGGTGGGTAAAAAAAATGCAAATTGAATTAGGTCATGTCATTCATGATCATCGAGATGAGTGCGTTTTTCAGGAGCAAGAGCAAGCCAGACAAGGAAACCTGATAGCATTTTTCACACAGAGAAAGTCTGAAGGGATCAGGAAAACCATGAAACCTCTGCAGGGAAAAGGGTAAGAACCTTGGACAACGGGTGAATAAAACATGAAACTCTTGCCTTCGCTTTCAAAAAAAAAAGACGAGAAAAAGGGGAAAAGGATTCGTAGGAGGAGAGCAACACCTCCTCCTCCCCCTCCTCTGCCTTTTTCTGATTTGTTAGAAAGGAGACGGGAGGAAAAAATGAACTTTTTCCTTTTTTCTCCTTTTCTTTGGATTGGATCGCGGTCAAGGTTAGCGGGTCTATTGTTAAATCGAGGTGACAAGGAAGAGGAACTAGAAGAAAGTCCAAGGTTCTCAGGAGCATCACTGTCCAGACAAATAATCTAATTATGCGCAGGAGAAAGAGAGGTGCCTCTTTTTTAGAAATTACGCACGGAAGTTTGTTTACAGACACTGAACATTTCTTTTTCAGGAATCCAAGCTCTGCCAATAAGCAATGAGCTGTGAAATTTGCACTCTTTTCGATAAACAGTCAAATAAATAAAATTGAAGACAAGTGCAATTGTAGAAAACAAGACACGCGTCACTTTCTTAGTTATTCAGGAGAAGAAAGACTTTCAAGGCAGAATATTCAGAATCGCGAAGAAAAACAGCAAAAGCTCAACACTCAACTCATTCATTCTTTGTGGAATTTTGCCGACTTACCTCCTTCTCGGAAACTATTGTTGAGTTGCTTCTGAAGCGTGAAAAACGGGCGGATCTTTAGATACATAGAAGTGCTGGCTCCTTCGGCCCTTTTTCTCGAGTTATTTGCTTTGGCCAGGGCTTTTGAAGCCATAAATCACGCTTAGGAAGGAAGGAAACTACGTGCTGTAATGCAATTACTTTTATAATATCTTCCTGTCTAGTCTATCCAATCTATGACAAAATCATATTCTAGATATTTTTGTATGTAGATGGTTCGCAAACCAACAACAGACGACCCTTCTCTTCTCTTTTCCACACAACTAACCACACTCCCCTCTTTCTCTCTCTCTCTCTTCTTCTCCCTTTCCCTCTCCCCCTCGCCACTCGCTCGTTTCACTCGTTCGTCATGGCCGTCAACTGCGAGAAAACCGGTCGCCCTTATAGCTCAGTGGCAGAGCGTTGGTCTTGTAAACCAAAGGTCCGTAGTTCAATCCTGCGTGGGGGCATGCTTTTTTTGCGTGTAGCAAAATAGCAGAGTACCTCATCAGTAGCCTATTTTGACATTTGAATGAGCTCAACGGGTGACAGAAAGAAGAAGAAGAAGAATGAGAATAAGTGATGATGAATTCTTGGCCTTTTTTGCAGAACGCACGGATTTTCTCGAATCACGAATGAAAGTCGGAAATGCCGAGAGTAAGACAACTTTTTCATCTGTCATGGCCCTTGGGTGTGGAAAATAATAAATATGACTAAATTTCTTTGTCAGGTGGAAATAATTTTCATGTTCAAATACCAAACTCTGATGTTCTCTGGGATTTTTGAATTTTTTCGTCGTCACAGCTCGAACGATAATGTATTCAGTTCTAGATGTCGGAATTCATCAATCTTCCCGAGCATACACAAACTACAGGAGTGCATGTTTTCCAGAAAATACGAAATACAGCAAACTGGGAGGTTGAAAGGGTGGGCGGAAATGGAATAGAAAAAAAAACTAGCTAACTGGAATTTTCATGAGTTACCGCGAAGAATAAATTAGTCAACGGTCATTAGGTATTCTATAACTCTTTCCACTCGTATTTTTCTTCCCTCTATTGTCAGACTTGAAAGCTCAAATGCTAATTTTCTGTTGTTTTGTTCTGAGGCGTGCCGTGTTCCTCATCTGAATTGATATACGAGCAACGAGACATCTCACACTGTATCAAGTTTCGAATAGAGAAAAGAGAATGGGTATAGAAGCGACTAGAATAGAATGGGAATAGAAAGGCTCGGAAAAGATGGCACCTTCTCTTCAGATGAGCCATTCATTGTGTGTGAGAAGGTGACGCGGAAGACTTTGGATGGAAAAAGAGACGGATTGGAATGGAGATGGTGAAGTGAGCGAGCGAAGAAAGGAAGAAAAGAAGGAAGGAGGAAAATATGTGGCCATTAATTTTGTCTTCTCGATTTACGCGGTTCGGTCAGCCGAAGTCAATCTGGATGGTGACGAAACGGAGGCGTGAAGAATGAGGAAACTCGTGAACACAACACACACTCCGTCGCCTTCGGGAGTATTCCGGGAGGGACTACTTGAATTTGGACACTCTCTGACCAGAGAGACGAGGTTTAGGAGGGCAAGAGAAACGGAGATGACTTCTCAATTATGACTTGCTTCTTCTTTTATGAATGAGCGATTCTAGACAGTATTTTCATCACTTTTTTGAGGTCTGCTAATAGGGTTACTCAGCGAATGTTTTTTCGTTTCTTTTTGTTTTTGTTATGTTACAAAACATTAAGAAAAAACAAATATGGCAGTTTGAGCGCGGCCCGTTATAACTCTGATTATTCTAAGGATTCCAACTTGGTCAGCAAAAGTCAAATCTCGCACTCTTCAGCTCCGAAAACCAATCTCATAAATATTCCAACTTCTTTTCGGGCAAAGATCAGAGAAACTGCTAAATTTGTGAATTTCTTTGCTTATCCGACCCAAAACCTTTAAAAAGAAATGACGAATATCCCTTAAACTATAGAAACAACTTCCGCGTGCTCACGACCACCGGACGACAACACACACATGAAAATACGAGTAATCATGAAGCGCCGTGCCGTTTTCTACGATGGTCTCCTATTTTCGCTCTTGAAAGCAATGTTTCAGTAGAAACTTTAATTGGCTTTACTTTCTCCTTCCTCTTTATTATGCATGTATGTATATATCCACGCGGTGTCGTCCTTCTCGTCTTTGCCACTCATGTGAGCGTCATTAGTGTATTTGGAAGGAAGGAAGGATGTGAAAGGAAAACGATTTGAGTTTGAACTTTTATGAAGTTGGATCATCAAAGTTCAGAATGACGTGTCACGACAGTTTTGGATGCTTTTCGAATGAGATTCCCTGGATACGTTCTGAACACTAAACTCACTTTAATTCAGAACATTTAAAACACGCACAACAAATTTCCCATTCAATAATAGCAATTACTTTCTGCTCAGAGCTCGGAAGACGAAAGAAAACTGCGGTGGCGGTGATTTCAAGCGCAAAATTTGAAAAAAAACGGCGTCGACGAGGACTAATGCCGAGAACAGGAAACACGACTCCCACGAGTATACCTCCTACGGTGTCTCTTTCCCTTTCCCCCCGTCTTTTGCGCATTTGAGTGAACTTGGAAAACTCTGGAAAATAACGTTCGCCGGGGGGTGCCTTGTTTGAAAAATAAAACGGAATGAAGTTGGAATAGGGAAATAACACGCCAAAACGCAGGTAATAACATCCGGGACGATGAGTTTAGAATGAAAATTGAAAATCGCAACTTGATATTTTCAGCTTGAGAATGTTTTGATCTCAACCTGGCTTTCTCGGAATCAAAATGTTCGTTTTCCCGAAATTCCGTCATTTTTTGATTCATTCCAAAAAAATACGTGTCTTTGTCAAACAACAAACAATTTTAATGAATAATTTCCCCGTCGCATTTTTAATCTATATTTTCTGTTTCTCCTGACATATTCGGAATTTCAAGAAATCGAACCTTGTAATTTTTTGTAATTTGGAGTCCCGAGGATCGGCAACCAGGGACAACTGTCGAAAGAAGAGCCAATCAGAGTTAGCAACACCTAATTAGTTATTTTTTGCCTACATATACGAATCACATCATTTTCATTCAGCTTCTATCTGAAAAAAGTGACCGTACGTTTCTGAAAAGTTTTTTTTTGTATCGTAGCTGGTCATCGACTAAACTAATGTGTATAAACAAACTTAGAATTTGTTGCCATGGTGTGTCGTGCAAGTTTTTCGCTTTCTTCTCCGTTGTTGCATATCTCTTCGAAGTTTCGATACTTTTCACCAACAAACTTTTGTTTTCCTTCGCTTTTTCTATGCGAACGGTCAGGTCAACGTGTGCTACGTTTCTGTAGTTGTCGAAAAATCATTTTTTTTTGTCAGGCACTTGTGTCCTCTTCTCAGTACGACTCAATCCATTTCTCACCTTTCTAATCTTGCGAGATTATTTTATAGTTAGTCAACCCGTCTAAGCTCTTGTGATTTTTGCTCTTCTTTCTTTAAATAGAATAAGAAAATTCCGCTCCGATCGATATTTTGCTATTGCTCGGTGTCTTGGGCCGCATTTGGGCGGAAGAGGTGAGTTAACGAACATTATAATTATTTCTAGTCGCCATGGAGAAGGTCTCATATTTCTTCTACTTCCACCCACCTTCAACGTTTCATTTAGTACTCATTCTTGAAATTGTATACTTCTAATTTTCTGCTTTTAGGATGGAACCGTTCAAAATAGAACCGAGTGATCCGTTCAAACCTCCGGAACTCACATGTGGTTGCGAAGTGCAGCCAATTCAAGGATATTACTATGATCCTACATGGAAGCATATCAAACGATCCGAAAGACCGCGTCTTATTATTGACAAGCATGTGAAGAATGAACTGGTTGTCCTGGGAAGACTTTTGAATCTGAGCGCTCACGTCATTTTGATAGTTTTGGACACAGAAGTGCACACTGAGATGCCAGTCGGTGCGTATTTGCCTTTGTACGGACACCCTCGTGATATGCCGACCAATGGAAAAATAATCTCGATGAAAGTCTACAAGACACCAATGCAGATAGTTCAACGTAAGACACAAATGTGCTACATCTTCCAAAAATCCCGTTAAGTTCAGATTATCAATGTCCCGTACAGTTCAAGCCTCAACAATATGCGAATGTGGTGGATGTTGCGAGTTTGCAAGAATTTCAGCTAGAGCATTTGACTGAGGAAATGTACGAAACAATCAGAAAAGCAGCTGAGGATCCAGAGACTGCGGATAAGCTCATGTCATTCGAACACTGGTAAGAACATTCATTGTAAAAAATAACGGATTGGACAGCGACGTGATAAATTGCAGTAATCACAAAAAGAATTTGATCGAGTTTGTGAGAAAGTTCATGAGAGAACACGAGGAATCAAGAAATCAAATCCCTGAGAATGGACGTCAACTCGAAAAATCTGGCAATCCGGCAAATGTCTCCGACAGGTACGCTTTTTTTCTAAAAGGGACCAAACCCTTAAACTTTTTAGATCCAATAAAAACGGTTTGGCCAATGACGCAGCGCAAAATACAAGTTTAGTCACCGAGGCTCCCGAAGAAAAGGGCAACGAGTTGCTTGTCGACAGCACAAAAGGGCAACCATCTACAAATGTTTCAAACAAATCAGACGAATTGGTTGACACCAATGATTGTGACAAAACCATTCCGTTTGCCAATCTGGAAATAACGGAATGTTCTGCTAGCGTGAGCGTGACCGATATAACTCCGGTAAAGAACGGCGAAGCTTCAAATCAGATGGAGAAAAAATGTGACGAATCTTCAAAAAAGATCACCGATAAAAAAGCCCTGCCAAAAGCAAAACGCAAAACAGCGGAGCAAAACCACGCTGAAAGGGAGGCGATGAAGGCGCAAAGCGAGAAAGCTCGTAAAGAGCAGGAGAAACGGTGAGCTGCATTTTTCCCCCCAACTTTCTTGCCTTACTTATTCGTTGATTTCAGTGACAAGAAAACGAAAAAGGAAAAGCAGAGGAAGGGAAAGCGGCAAAAAGAGGAACAGGCAAGGGAACAAGAGAAACGTGACGAGGTGGCTTTAGAGGAAGGCATGAAACAGACAACGCGTGAAATTTACGAAATGAGCTTCCAAAACTACATCACTCTTCATTCCACCCTGCGGAAACACACATTTTCGGAAAACGGTGAGTGCCACGAATTTTCAGATCCTATTACCACCATGATAATTCAGAATGGAGTAAGATGCCCAAAATGTATCGAGAATTGTACGAACATGCTCTTCTTTTACTCCCAGCCGGTGAATTAGAAGCCAAACGACACTTTGATAATTTCAAAACTTATTTGAACAACCTTCGATATGAGGGCAACGCGCGGATCTTCACGGATGTCCTCTTCAAAATGCAACACCGAGTTCTTTATCAGGATTTCTTTTATGTTTTGAAGAAATGTATGGAGAATCCGGACGGATGCAGAAGTGATCCGAACAAATCGCTCGACAATCAGTTCCTGGATCTCATTATGCCCGGCCATACCAATGCAACAACAAAACAGACGTTTCCTACTTTTTCTATCGTTTTTGAATGAATGAACTTATTTGGGAATTGGATTCGGGTGTTATCTTATGCAAAGCAACCTAACCTGACAATTAGTGCTAGTTTCCATGGAAAAGAGAACACATTGTGGTCTCCTTGCCTCCCGCCGTTGAGGAATATCGCGTACCCCAAAATTTCATCTTTCTCTCCTTCTTTCATAGCTCCTTGTCTTTTCGTAATGTGTGCATACAAAGACCCGATAGAGTATATCACTTTTTTGCGGCCATCTCCTCTTCCTCTGCACACATCGTTCTGTATAATTTTGTGCATAGCGGTGTCGTTCAACGGAAAGGTCGAAGCAACAACGTTCACACGTGTTAATGTCATGGGGTGCGGTCGTTTTTGTCGCCCCGAAAGCTATATACATCGGAAATAGAAAATCAATGCAGATTCGTCATTCTTTTTGTTCGTTTTCGGTTCTTCTCTTGTGAAATTGTGTTTTCACAATATCTTTTCATCTCTTCTCACTTTCTATGTTATCTGCGTTCGTTATACTCAGGTTTTATCAGATTTGGAGAAAATCGGCCTTGTCCGGCCAGCTCGAAACGGCAAAAAAATTAATTTTTCTCATGTTTACTGGAAAACTCCCTATTTTTATCGAAATCAGCTAGCCGCCGACAAGCCGAAAAACGTAATTCACAAACTCCAAATTAGAAAATGTCACGATTTTGAATCGGAAAACATGTTTTGACAAGTGGATTTGTATCTTTCCGTCCTTTTCAATTATTATTCAATCGAGCACCGATTGTATTCCACGTGACTTTCGGCTTTCTTGCTTTCCTGGTGGTGACTCAGCACAAAACTTCTCGATAATCTTTGCTCATTCTGATTGTGAATTTCCTAACCAATAATTTGTTTTCAGCCATGGAAACGATTAAACCTGAAACCGCAGCCGAGGGTTTCGAATGCGGATGTGAGGTTCACATGATCGTCGGCCACTACTACGATCCTGTGTGGAGACACAAGAAGGCGTGCGAGAGACCACGTCTTATTTTGGATGCGCACATGAACGACGAGCTGTTCGTTCTGGGCAAAAAAGAGAATGTGAACGCACGCGTGATCTTGTTCACCACCGCACCGACAGTTCTCGATAAGATGCCAGTTGGAGCCTACTTGCCGATGAGCTTGAACCCGCGGGATTACATGGTGCAAAATATGAAGGCGACCATGAAAGTCTTCAAAACTCCAATGAAAGTGCACAAACGTAAGTGGAAGAAATACAGATGAAGTGTATTTTACTTTTCAGACAACTGCATCGTGAGAATCTCTGTCAAAGACTTTAATAGATCTGAGTTTGAGAGAAAGTGTGAGTATATGCGTGAGCACTTGTCGGAGGAAGTGATCGACAGCGTCGAAAAGATGCAAAAGAACCCAGCATGCAGCAATATGACGATGGTCTACAAAAATCAATGGTAATTCAATAATCTAGGTTTCATTATACCCAGTCTTGTTGAAAATCGGTTCGGGTTCAAAATGTTTGGAAAACTTTTGGGAAAATGAGCGATTTTTTAGCTTTTCACTCGTACATTTGTTTTTTTCGTTGAAATTAGCAACCGCGAGCAGGGGCTATAGTCAGATCACCATCGATTATACCAGATATGTTTTGTTTGCAGTGATCACGAGATACGTCTCAACCGACTTGTCCAATTTCTCATGAATCAACAGGAAAACGGAGTTGTACAATCATCCTGTCGAACCGACAATAAAGCTCCTGATTCCAAGTCCAAAGAAGCTGAAGGTTGTTCTTCTGACAGGTATACTCCAAGTCTTGTACACGTATTCAAAACTGTTCATTGTCAGTGTCACCGCAAAGGCGGTTGACGACAGTAGCTACTTGGAGAAAATCGTGACTTCGGAATCAGAAGCTCCTGCAACTGCTCAAGTGAAAGAGAGCGCTTCGGGTGAAGCCGGGAGCCATCCCACTTTGGAAGAAATCGTGCTCACCATGTTGAGAAATGAAATGCAAGAGGAAGAACGCGAGAAATTAGAAATGGAGAAGAAGAAGAAGAAGAAGAAGAATCACGCTGGGCCGGCTCGTGCGCAACAAAAGGGCAGGTTTGGCATTTCGCTTTGAGTTAGAGATTTATTCAAATTTTCTGTATTTCAGAAAGAAGAATGGGAGTGGAAAAGGTAAAAGTAAAAACAAGCAAATGGAGATGACTGAAGAGGAAAAAGAACGGGAAGAGGAGTTGTTGCTCGAGGAAGCGAGAATCGAGGCGTTCACGGTCGATGTTGATCAAAAGTTGATCAACTACGTCGGCTTCCAACACTTTCTGCGGAGACACACATTCTCGGAAAAATGTAAGCAGACAATGTCTGCGTAAATACTGTAATTGCCTCTTTTAGTCTGGGGCAATCAATCATTGATGGACCGAGAACTCTACTCGCATCACATGTCTCTGAATCAGGATGGTCAGATGGCAGCTCGAAGAATTTTCACCGTTTTTGTCGACTTTTTGAAAACGCACAACTCAGTCGACGCAAGAATCTTCGGTGAGGCACTGGAAAAACATGGCCACGTCGTTGTTCAATTTGACTTGCTCTACGTCTACAAAACATGTATTGAAAGGATCACTAACAACAACTGTCTTTTGAGATTCTTAAAAAACCTCATCCTGTCCGACCGTGTTAAATAGGGAATACTGTTTTCCAGCTGTTTTTTTTAAATATTTCATTTCTACTCAAGTAACTTCGAGGATATGATCATTTATTCCGTCTAAGCTTTTATAAGTAGAACAGAGTGTACTTTCAAAAGTATTATATCACAATCTATCGAAACCCTTCTTTTTTCACTTTTGTAGGAAAAAAATTTTGTTTAGAGATCTAACTGTTTAAAAATGTGTGTGGCTTTTTATGTTTTCCATTATTTCCAATACTCAATACTCTTTGTCTTATAATACGTTTTTTTGAAAATAAATAAAACTTGGGTATAAAACATTATATTTATCATCGACGCGTTTTTATCAGGACAGACTATGCAAGATCAAATGATACACAGGATGGAGCGGTTTCGGCACTACTCAAAACCTCGCTACGCACATTTTTCAGATTTTGTAGTTCACAGAGATATTGATAGAATTTCATAGAGACTATACAATTTTTTTGGGGGCGGGAGGGTAAAAACAGATTCTCGGTTAGCGAATTATTCGGATTTTGGTTTAGTGAACTTTGATGGGAATAGTGAGAGTAATTAATCGAAATCGACGTAATCGTGGGATAGACCTCGTGGCTTCTTGGACTCTTTGAAGCAATCGAAGTAGTCTGACGAAATGACGACGACGAGGCGTTCTTCTGGCTTGTTGGTTTTCATGCTCACCATCATCGGATCGTAGACGTTGACCGGCATAATTCCGCTGAAAAGAGTGACGTACTTCCCAACACACTTGATTCTCGCAACTCACTTCTTGGCCCTGTACTCCTTGTCATCGGCGTAGGCGACGTACTCGAGTCCTTCGAGAACGTCTTCTGGGACCCAGCCGCATTTGTTGCACTGAACACAGGCATACGCGTCGTCGGGAATATCTCCGGCAAGACGCTTCTAAAAATTAGTTTTGTGTGACTCAGAGCGCACTCAACTAATGAGCACCTTGATAAGAGCATTGAGACCCTGAGAGGTAACAGCGTCCGAATAAATCTCAAAGTTCTTTGCCTGGAGCATGAGAAGCTGCTCGTCGTTGACACAGGACCGTCCGTCGAGCTTAAGGTTGATTGCACTGCGGACCTGAATTATCTGAATAGCAATCGTAGGCTTAGTTTCTGTTTTCCACCTGCTCCAGATCCGCGAGACCCCCGTAATCATCATAGCAAAGCACCGTGAGCTTCTCAATCTGAGGCCGGAAGAGTTTCGCAATCGAGACCACATTTTGAAACGAATCCATCATAATTGTCAGGTTCTCGGTGGAAATTGAGTTTGCAAATTCGGTCAAATCCATCTCCCCCATCTACAATTTGAAATTCGACTTCCTCTCCAAATTTTAATCCGCTTACCTGCTCCGCGCGGTTGCTAGTGAAGAGAGCACTCCAGACGCGGAAATTCATTTTGAGCAGCTTGCGGAGCTCCTCCATCGCCATATTGCGTTTGGCCGAGGATCCTATGAGGACGGTGGCGTCACGAGCACTTCTAATGAGCACACTGTCATCTCGCTCACTAAACGTCAGCATGTGGTTGTCGACGCGAATTACGTATTTCTGAAAGAATGGAAGACGATAACAAAGAAACTATGTACTTTATCCTTACGTTTTTGTAAGTGCTGTTCTTGAGCTCATGGCGAAATTGAAAGAACTTTCCGAGAGTCTCACTGAAAATGTGGTGAATTGAGGACAGGATTCGAGCAGCTAGCCCCACCCTTGGTTCCCCTTCAACAGAAGACTCAGCGGATCCGACATCTCCTCGACCGGCGTCGTGGCATCCACGGCGATTTGGTCACACTGGATGCGATGGCGATGGCGGAAGTTGATACGATAGTGAGTCGCGTCAGACTCGCCGCCGTCGACGCCGTCCGCTTCTCCGTTTTCTTTATCCGACTCGCCCTGAGCTTTAGCAGCGCCGAGCTCATTTTTCTCATTAGTATCTAAAGTATCAGTTTCTTTTGGCGAGTTACCCTCCGTACCGGGGAAGTTGAAAAAAGCATCGGTGAGCATCTTTATTCCTGTCTGGATGTGCACAACAGCGTCCATGAAATCAACCGCTAAAAATGTACATTCATAAAAGTGAGAAGAGGGCGAACGAACAGATAAAAGGGCGAAAATGTGAAAAGAGAACACAATCCAAACTGGGTGCTCCTATTGTTCCAAGTTGTCTAAAAAGAGCGCATCTCTGGCAGCTAGGCAACTGGCAGGACGTGCATTTTGGAGTGTCAGCCCATAGAAAGCTGTGGGAGAAAGCAGAATGAAATGACGAGATTTTCGTCTGACCAGAAGTAAGGGGCGGGGCGAAGTTAGGGCGTGTTGGGAGCAGCGCCGTCCGTCAGCAAAAAGGGCACAGAATACGGTGGTAGGTCATCAAACCATAGTAGTTGGGCGCTAAGCTCACAATCCTTTTAACTAAATGAGTTCTTTCCTGCTGCTGCTCATTCCGAACCCCCCTTCCCGCCCACCTCCTCAAGAAGTGGAATGGAAATGAGATTTGTGATGCTGAATGGAAAACGGAAAACGAAAAACGAAAAAGAGAAGAAGGGAAAACAGGAGGAGGAGATGAAGAAGAAAAAGAAGAAGCGACGAAAGGAGGTCCCTAAGTACAAGGCGTTCGACAAAGGGAGTGAGAGAGAAAGAGCATGTGGACAAGAGACCCTTTTCTTTGTTTTCTTCAGCTCCGTCTTGCATGTTCAGAAAAAGAAGATGAGAAGACTCTTAATTTAGACTGTCGGCTTCTGAAAATTCAAAAAGTGCACACCGGGTTATGAAAACGAGGTTGATTAACAGGAATACGTACGTATCTCAAGGGCTCGCATGAGTTAGAATGATGAGTTTCCGAGAAAATTGTTTACGACATCTGATGACGGAGATTGGACGTAGAAAAGACACCACAATTCCGTTGCGGATTCTAGTCACACCAAGTACATACATCTGACCAGCGCATGACTACTACACAAACTGACAAACTGCTACTATGAGCTCATTGAGCCCCAACAACATGATTGTCTTAAAATGTAGTTTTCTGAAGGAAACATTACCGGCCGGGGTTCTAAGGAATTTTTCTATTTTTTTTGCCAGTCTGAACATTACAGTAATCCACTGCCGCACCATGAAACGGACTCTAGTTTTTTCTCTCCTTCTTCCGGTGACGTACCCAGGTATCGTATGGCACTCAAGGAATGCATCAAGCATGCACTCGTCGCCTACCTAATCAGCAAATTATTCTCAGATTTCTTGGCGGGACATAAGAATGAATACCTTATTGTCAACCGAGAGCATCGATCACAACATATCAATTGTAGGTGAATATCGGATGAAGTAAATAACGAGTGTTGTTTCGCTTAATATCAGATTTATAATCAAGAGACTCGAAAATGCGACAACAATCCAAGGCCCACAATTTCCAGTGCTCAGAGATTAACTTGAAGGTTATACACACTTTCTGGAAACTTCGAAGTCACTAATAACAACCATGAGAGCATTGATGGATGTAACCACCGATTTTCCGGTGCGAAGGGGCCGGGGAGAAGGAGAAGAGATGAAAATGACAGAATCGTGACGTTTTACGACTTGCGATTGAGTCCAATTTATGACAGGTAGATGAAATTGTGAAATATGAGTATCGGTCTGAGGAGGCCATGCGGCGTAAGCAAGGTTGGCTCCAAAATTATGGCTTATTCTTCAGAAACCGCTCGTAATTGGAAAGCGTAATACGCTTCTTGTCGTCTAGCGTTAGCACGTGCTTTGTTGTCGTCGGGAAAAGAACCGAATAGGGGAGGAGCCGACGGCTTTGTAGATATTTATTTACAAAGATTACCCCCCCCCCCTTTATCCAAAAAAACCCTTTATGATGAGAGCAGCACACCCGACATGAAATTGATAAAACGGCGGAAGCCGCAGTGTTTCAAAAGTGCACCGGATTGATGAAAAGGGCGGCGGCGTCTTCAACTTGGTCACTTGGGCCATGGATCCAGCTCTTTGATAAAAATTTGGAGATCTGAATGAATTCGAGGCAAAACGTCAAACTTCAAATCTTGACTAAAGTGTGATATTGTGAAACAAATTTGGGGCCGATGTCTTTGTTGGTTTTTGAAAGGATTGCGAAATGAGCAAAGGCTTATGGCTCAATATTTAGTGTTACATCATTCTCACACAACTATGTAGCCAATATGAAACCATCAGAGAACAATTTTGCAGATACAATTTTTCGATTCTGAGAAGTCTGCCAACGATTTTCGTAGACTCTTGCGACTCGGCGTAATTTTGTGCTTAGAAGTACATTGTCTTGCACTTGAGTACTTGGAGTTATGGGTAGATCAAACGGAAAGACAACAAGGATAAGGGCCCACTTTGACGTTTCCGGCCGTTTATGACATTCTGACAGAAACGGAAAAGAAACAAGGCGTACGAAAAAAAGAAACCTCACCGAGCCTCATTTGGGGGAGGGGGATCAGACATTTTCGACAAGGACGTGGCAAGTCTGACACAAAAAACGATTAACGGACGGAAGAAGGAGCTGCGCCCCGGCGGCATTATCCATCTGGCGACGGGTGCCAGAATCTACAATTACTGCGTTTGCCTCCTGGGCCGAGCGCGGAGACGAGACGACCTTGAGTCCCAAATTGAGGAGACTAGAGGCTACCATTAATCTTTCAGCGGTGGTCGTAAAAAACGGCGTGCAGCAGAGACTGCACAACTGTTTCTGAGTCGGTGTCCGTGTTACATCCAGAGCGTCTTGTTGGGCTTTTATCTAGAGGGTTCACACCACTTTCGACGCAACAGAACACCTGGACGGAAAGAAATAGAAAAAGGAAACACGTGTGACAAGTTTCCGAATGAAACAATCGAAGAATCCGCAGAAAAATATTTATTGAAGTCCGTGTGCCCTGCTATGCAACCCTAGTGAAGGGGCAAAAAAAACAAGCGGGGTGGGCCATCTGGCATTTCAATGAGATATCAAAAGTGACGACGTATGCGAATGTTCGAAAGTTCGAAGGCCGGGAGGAGAGAAGCGATCAAAGACCATTCCATCCGGACCCAGACACCGTTAGGTTGATGGGATGATGAGGTCCAGCCATTCCCTTTCGCGCCCTTTCGCGGACATGGACATGACAACCGTACACAATTACTCTCCCCTCTTCCTCGCTTTTTTTTTCAATAATAGCGCCCGATATATCATTCGCCAGGCCTTCCCTCAACCTTTCCCAATACTGACCCCAAATCGGAATAATTGCTGTTTTGGTGCGGCGCACGCATCGAACCAGGTGACATGTTCATGGCATAATGGAATGAAAACACTGAAAAGAGCGTCGGATCATAATGCATTAGGTATCGTACTTATGGTACCGTGACCGTTTCTAGGGGGGAAACGAAGAGATTCTCACGAACCGCAAACGGCAAACAAATAGATTCATTTCATTTCCGTCAAAAAGTTTCGAATTAAAACAAAACTCCGCGAGACCAAAAATCTCATTTCCGACCGGATTTGCAAAAGCCTTTTTGGCCATCGCGCAGAGGCGATTCTCATTATTTCTTCTTCCATTTCCGCTCGAACTCGCAGAACATGGACAGCCTATTCAAATTTCGCAATCCACGTTTTGAAAAGAGAGGGGTGAAGAAATAGGGATGATCAGTAGAGTGAAAATTGGTCATTCGTACATATATGTAGTGCTCGACGCTCAGACAGTCCCATTGCGACTGAGCACTAATCGAGTTAGAATTCGTATTTTTCACGACAATAATGTGGCTGACTGACAATTAGCGAGTCTAAGTGTCACACGACGAATCGTATTGTTGACGAGGATCCAGGGATCTAGGACCAACTCTCAGGGGGGTCCGTGGTCAGTAAGTCCCATGGTCTGAAGCACCTGCTGGTCAGTGAGCGAGGTCCGGCTGGTCAGCAAGTGCCTCTCTAAGCAGGGTCTTTTTTTAAATGAATTTTGACCTAGCTTTTAGTAATTTAGCTTTTTTCGAAATATGGCTGTTTCGTGCGTGCTTATTTGTGTCATTTTGTTAGTTTTAGGGTTAGCAACGGGGCGCCCCCGCGCCCCACACACCCTCGTTCGCCCCCGGCCCCTTAAAGTGTAATTAAAATTCTGAAAAAATTTAGTAGATTAATGAGTTTATTCACTATCAACGTGCGTTGAGAAAACTTTTCAAAAAAAATTCCTACTCGATTTTGGAAAAACCGGTCGGGGGCGAGGGGCGCCCCGCTGCCAACCCTAGTTAGTTTACATTATAATGAACTCGTTTCCAAAAAAGCAAGTGAAATACTGATTGTATTCGTCCGACGGCACGCATCTTAAGTCTGAGAACAGCCAAGAAGCGCGGCCGCAAGAATCTTCATGGGTGCCGACTGGAAGCGGCATGCATGCCGTTTTCTGCGGCAAAATGCTGTAAGGGTGCCGATTCCGTGCATGCTACGCGCTGAACCCTGCTACCGTGGCTGCTTCTATGCCGCTCAAAAACCTTGCTTCCTTCCCATCCCACTTTTTCCTGCTGACATGCTCATCCTATGCTACCGTAGCAACTTGCTGTTCACTTGCCGCTCGCGTGCCCCACCCTTGCTAAAAATTATCTGAGTTCAGATGCGTGCCGTCGGATGAATACTGATTAATTTCACTTGCTTTTTTGGGAACGTGTTCATCGACCCAAAAAATCCTTAGCGCGCACAATTCTGGATGTTTCTGAAAACACTGGAAAAGTTGATTTTCCAACTTTGGCTCCGCGAGCAGCACTCTGGATGTTGAAAAATATTCTAGCAGCAGCAAGTGCGCTGGATAGAGCAATCCAAGAGGATCATTTTGATACCCTTACTTGCCCACTTTTGACTATTTTTCGCTGAGTTAGACTTCCTGACTAAATCTACCAGTTGCAACTGGTCGTTCCAAAAAATTACCAGTTGCAACTGGTAGATTTAGTCAGCAAGTCTAACTCAGCGGAGAATAGATGAAATCATTCAAGTAAGGGTATCAAAATGATCCTCTAGGATTGTTCTACACAGCGCACTTGCTGCTGGGTATGTATATGTCATGGCTACGGCGCTAGACTTGCTGCTTTTCGTACTAAAATGTGAACGAATTGATGTAAAGTCAGCAAGTCCAGCTAAGCGAAAAAAAGTGAAAAAGGGGCAAGTTATGGTATAAAAATGATCCTCTTGGATTGCTCTATCCAGCGCACTTGCTGCTGATGAGGTACATATCACGGCTGCCCTGACACGGCTGCAAACGTTTATGCACTGTCAATAGTACTTCAGTGAGTGTAGTTCACTGACGAATCGACAAAACTTGGCAAGTTATAATATCAAAATGATTGCCAAAACATGCTCAATTCATTCCACTTGATGCTATGAGTGAATTCATTACCCCAAGAGACGGTCCCACTTGTACGATGAAACCTTTGACGTCACTAAATTAGAGGTAGCATTCCGCAAAAAGTTTAATACGAAATAAACAGATTATACACCTTTCAAAAGAAAGAAAAAATATCACGGCGACAACAATTTCTTTTGGTCAGTTACTTGAAAAAAAAAATTTTCCCAACTTTTGGTCAGTAAGCAATGGCTTGATAGCCTAGATCCCTGTCTTTTAACCGTTGAAAAAGTTGTACGACGTGACTGAAGTGTACAACTTATACCAAAAGTCGAAAAATGTTTCCACTTCCATGTGGAGTTTATAGACCATACCAGACGGTCTCCTAAGATTATCCTTTTCAGGACAATCTTACGAGCCTTTTTCAGGGCTCTCTCAAGACCGTACGAGATGGTGCAAATGTCATGTTTCGACGAGCTTAAATAGTATTTAATAAATACCTTCGTGGGCCAGGGCAGATCCGTCCTTGTGGGCGAGGCCTGCCTACTCGGGGCTAATGGGGCTATTCAGCGTATGTTTGTTTTCCGTTTTTTTTTTCGTTTTTTTACATCGCTGAATTGGATTTTTTTGACGTAAAAAAACGAAAAAAACGGAAAACAATCATTTTTTTCACAGCCTGAATAACCCCATAAGGTTCCGCATAAGAGTCATTTTAGTAGTCCCCAATAGAGGAACGCATGATGAACCCAACTCAATAAACTCATTTCTCAAAAAGAGTCAAAGTCACAAAAACGAACACAACTCTACAACTCATTGGGCGTCGGTAGTGGTACATTTCGAGTTTGACGTGAACTCTGTTCGAAAATCAATTGTAGCGTTGGAATTTTCACTAAATCTGTCAGTATTCGTTGTCTTCTGCCGTTAACGTTAACCATATTGGTCGGTGAAGTAGAATTCCCACTTTCAGGTTAGTGTAGTTAAAGTCGATACCAGGGCGGGGATTTTACCAGTATGAATTGCCGGGGGCCGTGTGCAGTACTTGAAGAATATTGTGAAACTTTCAGTATTATTACCATCCCTTACAATGCTCTTCTTGCTCTTCTGAAAATTTTTGAGCAATTTCACAACATCTGCTGGTCAATGTACCTGCATAATCCTATTTTGAGAAAATAGAGAAATCGGAACTAAAAGCGGAGACGTCGCAGACTGTAAACAAAAGGAAAGGGACTCACAATACTGGGGAATGTGAATCACCTATTCCTCCGTCCGTCAGTAGACCGACATCTTAAAGAGGAAAATAATGCGGGAAGAGAACAGCGCCACAAACTTGATCTACCGTTTAGTCAATGGAAAATTATTGATTGATATTCCAAAACCTGCTGTTTGTGCTTTTTTGCGAACATTGTGAAATTGAAACTGAAATACCGCATCTAAACCTGTTTTTTTCCAGGCAAAGCTCGAGAAATGAGCGTCTTGCTCACAATTCTGTTGAGAATTGCCGCCGAGGCAAACGGACTATTGAGAAGGGTGGCGCATCGCGGCCGGCGCCCTAGTCTTCTGGAGCGCACTTTCGAGCTCCAGGAGAACCCTTTGGAGCCGCACGGATACGAGGACCGGCGGTGGCCGCAAAGGCCGGAGGAGGCGACGGAGCGCCAAGGTACGCGAGAGGAGGCGGAGGCGACGGAGGAGGGGCGACGAGCTGACGTGCTGGTGAGTTTCTTGAAAGAAAAATATTTAAAAAAAAAAGTAAAGCTTTCGGTACAAAGAAGTCCCTTTGATCTGCTGCACAGTGGAACAAGGAACATTTTGCTCAAAGCTCTAATCAAACAGACTTCTGAGGCCGGAAGACGGTCCGACCAAACAAGAGGGTCGTACTCCAGCTCCACCGGACCGTTTTATGTGAGACTCGGACAGTCTCATGTAAAACGGACGTCTGAAGATGGAATACTGTCAAGCTGGGGCGGGCCAGAAAGATGCCACCCCAAAAAGAGTCTATCGAACTGGAACTCTGTTCCGATAGTTTCCCATTTGGTGCGGCACCGTGAAAAAGAGACTTACGACTGACCGATCGCTTGCAGGAGTCGACGTTCAAGGAGCAGGAGTGGCAGTGCGGGTGCTGCTCCGCTCGGATCGTCGACGAACCGGAGGGGATCGTGGCGCACATGCTGGAGCACCAGGAGACCGCCGCCGTTCTCCACTCGTTCATAGTGGAGTTCATGACGAGGGAGAACGGGCGGCGCGGCGGTTTCCATCAACTCCACCGCGTGATGCACGGTCTCACACGGCAGCACGGGCTCAGTTGCCCTTCCGACGTGAGTGCCTGAAAACAGAGATTTTGTAGGAACAAGCAAAAACGTTATGCATTTTGGAGAGAACGAGATGAAAAGAAACTGTTTAGAGACAAGTTAATGTGAATTTTACGTTCTTTTGCAGGTGGCCCGTGCCTACCTCGAGCGGACCGTCGAGGCCCAGAGAGAAGAGGAAAGGGAGGCGGCCGCCGAAAGAGCCGCCACGGAGAACGAGCTGCGACAGAGGCAGCGGGCGCTCGAGGAGAGATTGGAGGCCCTGGCGGCCGAACGGAACGAGCGAGTCGATCGGGAGAGGACCGCGGCCGTCAGGGAGGAGGAACTCGATGCTCGGCACCAGGTATTCGTCGCCAGTGATCTTGTTCGACCGACTCCGCTCAATGTCGGAGTCCTGAACAGGACGAACCGGAAGAGGGTAAGCAATGCCGATACCGGTATTTCGAGCTGAAATTTTTGTTTTTTTTAGAAGAGAACCCGATGCTCAGCGCCAGCGCCCGGTCGGCAGCAGATCGTGTTCGGGAACCTTGAGTTCCAAATCGATCCGTCGGACGACGAGTTCCGAGCACGAATCGGCGACATACTGGGCCGACTTGGGTAAGATTTCATGATTTCAAGCGCCAAAAACCGACTAAACACTCATTATTTATAGAATCGATTTGGATTGGGACGCGGCAACGTTCCCGAACGCCTCGCGGGGACGGCAACACCCGATCTCTCCAATCTTCTGGACCATCGTGGAGGTTCCGAAAGCAGTGGCGGAGAAGATCGGGCGGGCCGTCGCAGAACACCTGGACAGCTTCAATCAGCTGGAGTACGGCAATAACGTAGAGGTTTGTTTATTTCTCGAAAAGAGAATGTCAGTTTTTTTGACCACGAAGCTTTGCAGCAGTACGTCATTGTCGAGCTCCACGACACAAAAGGAGTCGCGGACCAGGGACGCATTTCTGCACGCCGCCGCCAGCAAACTTCAGGATGATGTACCGTCACGACCGAAACTGCTCCGTCACCGTCTGCCACAAACATCTACTGGTGACGAGAGACGGTTCAGTCCTCGAGAGGCTGTCCGTGAAGGACATCAAGGACAAGTTCGCGGCCAACTTCGATGCGATCATGCGGAGCATCCACCCAACCCAGAGGTCAGGTGTCAAAATGCTCCTCCAATGAGAGGATTCGCCTCGCTATTTTTTAATCATTCTGGAATATATTGATTTTTGAAAGTTTTATCGTTTAATGAATGTTTTATGAGTCAGACTCCGTACTCATCGCATTCTCACGTTGAAAGCTCATGGCACCGCAACGCAAAAAGAACATGAAAAATTATAAGGAAACCGAAAAAAACGAAAGTTACTTTTGAAACTAATGCGATTGAATTGAAAGAGATTCGAGATAGACAACTTTTTTTTTTTGAACGACTGAGCTCCGGAACTCTCGGAATGATCTGAGCGTTGCGGATAGCGCTCATTTCGGCGACGAACATAATGAACGCATGTCTGTCCGGGAGGGAGACTCCGACTTTGATGTCGGATGCCAGAAGCTGCTGGAAGGATAACGCAACGTCGACGTCATCCGATGCCATTCTGAAAATTGAACAGATTGTGAAAAAATCCATCATTTTATCATTTCCTAGCTGCCCACCATTTATCGTGAACTCCACCATTTCTCGTGAACTCCACCATTTCTCATAATCCTCATCACTTCCCGAAGAGAGCGAAGTGAAGGAGGGGTCGACAAGAAAGGCGGCGAAGCCAGCATTCCGCATTTACTCGGACAAAGAAGACGCTTTCCTGCTCCGCCGATTACAAGAAGTGTCGGAAAAAGGCAAAAAGATAAACATCATGTCCTTCTGCAGAAAGCTAAAAACGGAAGGTTTCAATCGTGAGCCAGACTCGATTAAAAGAAGGTACGATTGTGTGAAGACTTGAAGCGTTACAAAATGTAATGATTTCTCAGACTGGCCGACTATCTCCGAGATAAGAAAAGAATGGTTCTCTGGATCTGGCTACGAAATGCATGTACGCGGCGTCGCTCCCGATCTCGGACGATTTGAGAGCGGAGCTCGAGGAGCACGGCACGTTGAAGCACGACGACGAGAAAAAAACGATTCAGTCGTACAATGGCGGAAAACAAGTTAGTGAAAAAATGAAAAATTGAAAAGAGTGAAGCCAAAATCGAAAGATACCGGGTGGAGGTCAAAGACTCTTTGGAAATGCGCCTTTAAAAAGACCTACTGTAGAAGCTGGCAATTGCAAACTTATTGAACCCTTTTTCAGCGCAAATTCACAATTCTATTTGCATTTGTTAATTTTTTCCAGAAAATCCGTTCAAACGTCATCAATTTTCATCAAATACTTGATGACTACAGCCAACTAACACGTTGACGACCGAAATGTGAGTCAATTTCCTCGTAAAATGTATCTCACGGTCTCCAGAGCTGACAATATGGGCGTGGCCTCGGCCAAATGGCGTTTTCATGAATTGAGCAAGTTTTCTCTGATTTTTGTGGTCAAAGGCGATGAAAAGTGATTGTTCGACATGAAAACACACTAATTCTCAGAATTAATGACGTTTTGGCGCATTTTTCGCGGACTTTGCTTTTTCGCCTTCGCCGCCGATAGCCGCCGATCGTTGCCTCAAAACCGCACTTCTCATTTTGCGCTTTCTTGACCGTTTTCAGACAGAATTAGTTTTGAGAGCGATAAATCACGTAAATACAAGCATTTTGAGCGCTCGAACCGCGAAAACTATCGAAAAGCAACTGAAATTCACGCAGTTTTAACCAAAAACCTTCAAACGGATAAATGTGATTTGCGACTAGACCAAGATTAACGTTCTTGCTCTTAAAAAATTCCTAATAGCCTATACAATCGGTCTATCGAGAGACAGAGCAGTTCATCCATCCGTGACGCACCTCACATATCGAGTAGACCTAACAGACTACACATTCATAATCCTACCAGACTACACATTCATAATCCTACCAGACTACACATTCATAATCCTAACAGACTACACACAGAAATGGAGGGAAAGGGCCGTTTTGATTTACTCGATATGTGAGGAGTAAGTATAAAAGGGCCCCCGTGGGAAAGAATAGCCATTCATTCGGACATACCGACTTGGCGGACGGTCGGATCGTCTCGTTCTGCCCGCGTTTTGGGCGGGCGGACTTTCCAGACCCTCTGCTAATCGATATCGATCCGATATTTTTCCACTTGTTCTTTCTCCCCTTTCTCTCCGTTACTTCATTTTCTCTTTCATATGTCAAGTCCATACGGAAGTGAAGTGCACTCTATTCCGAAGCTATTTCAGCTGTGATCTCTGTAAAGTTCCTTTCTTATCCGACAAAAGTTGCATAAATTTCATTTTGCTTCTAAATGCTCACAGGATATCACATTTGGGAGAGTTTCTGAAAAAACTGCGCTGAACTCTCGGATGCCTCTATATGTAGTAGAAACAAACCGTCCTGTTATTCCTATGTATTTTGTGAAAACCGGAACAAATGCTCACTTTTTGTCGTTCAGATCGGTGCTCAATGAGTTGGGCATAGTGTAGGGTGTGGCAAACAGTAAAAATTGCGTACATTTCTGAGTAATTCTTTTCTCCCTGCGATCAATTTTAAACAAAATCTTGCCTACCAGTGGTGTCTTTTCGAATTAATAGAACTTTTATGTGACTACAATAGCTTAGAAGAGGTGTATTCCTCGGGAGTATCCGTCTGTACGTCCTTCTCTGAGTAGGGCCACAGCGGTGACCTTCGTGACGTGATTTGCCCCGTCACGGAGGAAAAATCACCGCCCCCACCTTACACGTGGCGTGGTTGACCCCCTTCTCTACGGGGCGGCGGCTCTGCGGACCGTGGGTACTTGATGCGGAGTTGCACGGTCCTTACGGATCAGATCCCTTCAAGTGACCCTAACGATAACTTCTTGAAGGAAGCCTGAGATGAGAGGAATGTGGGCAGACAGAGACGGGCACTCTTTGGGGTTAACCTCTTGCGCGCATATGACTTACATGTTAGAATTTTAGTTAGTAGAAGAAACTGCCACACCCTACTTAAACTCTCTCTCTCTCTCTTCTCTCGCTACGTCGGACACGAGAACCCACAAGGATCTTCGGAAGGCGAGGAATAGTCAAGAAACCTCCCACTCTTGATGCAAGCAGTGACTGCCACTTTTCGAAGTGTCAGTCATTAGGATCTGATAGAGTAGGAGGGAGGCGCATTCCGCCGAGCACTTTGTGAGTTTGCAAGCAGAATAAGAACCATAACAATTGAATGTTTCAGACGTGCACAGGTGTGTCAATTCTCGCGTTACACGCACAAATCGGCCTGTACGAGGAGGAGCGGGTAAAGCTGTACCAGAAATTGGACGAGAAGGACGACGAGATCCAGAAGGTGTCGCAGGAGCTCGAGAAGCTCCGACAACAGGTGCTTCTGCAAGAGGAGGCACTGCAGACGATGCTCGAGAACGAGGAGATCATCCGCGAAGAGAACTCGCGCATTCAGAAAGAGGCCGACGACAAGCAGCAGGAGGGCAAGGAGATGATGACGAAGAAGTCAAGAAACTTCCCACTCTTGATGCAAGCAGTGACTGCCACTTTTCGAAGTGTCAGTCATTAGGATCTGATAGAGTAGGAGGGAGGCGCATTCCGCCGAGCACTTTGTGAGTTTGCAAGCAGAATAAGAACCATAACAATTGAATGTTTCAGACGTGCACAGGTGTGTCAATTCTCGCGTTACACGCACAAATCGGCCTGTACGAGGAGGAGCGGGTAAAGCTGTACCAGAAATTGGACGAGAAGGACGACGAGATCCAGAAGGTGTCGCAGGAGCTCGAGAAGCTCCGACAACAGGTGCTTCTGCAAGAGGAGGCACTGCAGACGATGCTCGAGAACGAGGAGATCATCCGCGAAGAGAACTCGCGCATTCAGAAAGAGGCCGACGACAAGCAGCAGGAGGGCAAGGAGATGATGACGAAGAAGTCAAGAAACTTCCCACTCTTGATGCAAGCAGTGACTGCCACTTTTCGAAGTGTCAGTCATTAGGATCTGATAGAGTAGGAGGGAGGCGCATTCCGCCGAGCACTTTGTGAGTTTGCAAGCAGAATAAGAACCATAACAATTGAATGTTTCAGACGTGCACAGGTGTGTCAATTCTCGCGTTACACGCACAAATCGGCCTGTACGAGGAGGAGCGGGTAAAGCTGTACCAGAAATTGGACGAGAAGGACGACGAGATCCAGAAGGTGTCGCAGGAGCTCGAGAAGCTCCGACAACAGGTGCTTCTGCAAGAGGAGGCACTGCAGACGATGCTCGAGAACGAGGAGATCATCCGCGAAGAGAACTCGCGCATTCAGAAAGAGGCCGACGACAAGCAGCAGGAGGGCAAGGAGATGATGACGAAGAAGTCAAGAAACTTCCCACTCTTGATGCAAGCAGTGACTGCCACTTTTCGAAGTGTCAGTCATTAGGATCTGATAGAGTAGGAGGGAGGCGCATTCCGCCGAGCACTTTGTGAGTTTGCAAGCAGAATAAGAACCATAACAATTGAATGTTTCAGACGTGCACAGGTGTGTCAATTCTCGCGTTATACGCACAAATCGGCCTGTACGAGGAGGAGCGGGTAAAGCTGTACCAGCAAATTGGACGAGAAGGACGACGAGATCCAGAAGGTGTCGCAGGAGCTCGAGAAGCTCCGACAACAGGTGCTTCTGCAAGAGGAGGCACTGCAGACGATGCTCGAGAACGAGGAGATCATCCGCGAAGAGAACTCGCGCATTCAGAAAGAGGCCGACGACAAGCAGCAGGAGGGCAAGGAGATGATGACGAAGAAGTCAAGAAACTTCCCACTCTTGATGTAGCAGTGACTGCCACTTTTCGAAGTGTCAGTCATTAGGATCTGATAGAGTAGGAGGGAGGCGCATTCCGCCGAGCACTTTGTGAGTTTGCAAGCAGAATAAGAACCATAACAATTGAATGTTTCAGACGTGCACAGGTGTGTCAATTCTCGCGTTACACGCACAAATCGGCCTGTACGAGGAGGAGCGGGTAAAGCTGTACCAGAAATTGGACGAGAAGGACGACGAGATCCAGAAGGTGTCGCAGGAGCTCGAGAAGCTCCGACAACAGGTGCTTCTGCAAGAGGAGGCACTGCAGACGATGCTCGAGAACGAGGGAGATCATCCGCGAAGAGAACTCGCGCATTCAGAAAGAGGCCGACGACAAGCAGCAGGAGGGCAAGGAGATGATGACGAAGAAGTCAAGAAACTTCCCACTCTTGATGTAGCAGTGACTGCCACTTTTCGAAGTGTCAGTCATTAGGATCTGATAGAGTAGGAGGGAGGCGCATTCCGCCGAGCACTTTGTGAGTTTGCAAGCAGAATAAGAACCATAACAATTGAATGTTTCAGACGTGCACAGGTGTGTCAATTCTCGCGTTACACGCACAAATCGGCCTGTACGAGGAGGAGCGGGTAAAGCTGTACCAGAAATTGGACGAGAAGGACGACGAGATCCAGAAGGTGTCGCAGGAGCTCGAGAAGCTCCGACAACAGGTGCTTCTGCAAGAGGAGGCACTGCAGACGATGCTCGAGAACGAGGAGATCATCCGCGAAGAGAACTCGCGCATTCAGAAAGAGGCCGACGACAAGCAGCAGGAGGGCAAGGAGATGATGACGAAGAAGTCAAGAAACTTCCCACTCTTGATGCAAGCAGTGACTGCCACTTTTCGAAGTGTCAGTCATTAGGATCTGATAGAGTAGGAGGGAGGCGCATTCCGCCGAGCACTTTGTGAGTTTGCAAGCAGAATAAGAACCATAACAATTGAATGTTTCAGACGTGCACAGGTGTGTCAATTCTCGCGTTACACGCACAAATCGGCCTGTACGAGGAGGAGCGGGTAAAGCTGTACCAGAAATTGGACGAGAAGGACGACGAGATCCAGAAGGTGTCGCAGGAGCTCGAGAAGCTCCGACAACAGGTGCTTCTGCAAGAGGAGGCACTGCAGACGATGCTCGAGAACGAGGAGATCATCCGCGAAGAGAACTCGCGCATTCAGAAAGAGGCCGACGACAAGCAGCAGGAGGGCAAGGAGATGATGACGAAGAAGTCAAGAAACTTCCCACTCTTGATGCAAGCAGTGACTGCCACTTTTCGAAGTGTCAGTCATTAGGATCTGATAGAGTAGGAGGGAGGCGCATTCCGCCGAGCACTTTGTGAGTTTGCAAGCAGAATAAGAACCATAACAATTGAATGTTTCAGACGTGCACAGGTGTGTCAATTCTCGCGTTACACGCACAAATCGGCCTGTACGAGGAGGAGCGGGTAAAGCTGTACCAGAAATTGGACGAGAAGGACGACGAGATCCAGAAGGTGTCGCAGGAGCTCGAGAAGCTCCGACAACAGGTGCTTCTGCAAGAGGAGGCACTGCAGACGATGCTCGAGAACGAGGAGATCATCCGCGAAGAGAACTCGCGCATTCAGAAAGAGGCCGACGACAAGCAGCAGGAGGGCAAGGAGATGATGACGAAGAAGTCAAGAAACTTCCCACTCTTGATGCAAGCAGTGACTGCCACTTTTCGAAGTGTCAGTCATTAGGATCTGATAGAGTAGGAGGGAGGCGCATTCCGCCGAGCACTTTGTGAGTTTGCAAGCAGAATAAGAACCATAACAATTGAATGTTTCAGACGTGCACAGGTGTGTCAATTCTCGCGTTACACGCACAAATCGGCCTGTACGAGGAGGAGCGGGTAAAGCTGTACCAGAAATTGGACGAGAAGGACGACGAGATCCAGAAGGTGTCGCAGGAGCTCGAGAAGCTCTGACAACAGGTGCTTCTGCAAGAGGAGGCACTGCAGACGATGCTCGAGAACGAGGAGATCATCCGCGAAGAGAACTCGCGCATTCAGAAAGAGGCCGACGACAAGCAGCAGGAGGGCAAGGAGATGATGACGAAGAAGTCAAGAAACTTCCCACTCTTGATGTAGCAGTGACTGCCACTTTTCGAAGTGTCAGTCATTAGGATCTGATAGAGTAGGAGGGAGGCGCATTCCGCCGAGCACTTTGTGAGTTTGCAAGCAGAATAAGAACCATAACAATTGAATGTTTCAGACGTGCACAGGTGTGTCAATTCTCGCGTTACACGCACAAATCGGCCTGTACGAGGAGGAGCGGGTAAAGCTGTACCAGAAATTGGACGAGAAGGACGACGAGATCCAGAAGGTGTCGCAGGAGCTCGAGAAGCTCCGACAACAGGTGCTTCTGCAAGAGGAGGCACTGCAGACGATGCTCGAGAACGAGGAGATCATCCGCGAAGAGAACTCGCGCATTCAGAAAGAGGCCGACGACAAGCAGCAGGAGGGCAAGGAGATGATGACGAAGAAGTCAAGAAACTTCCCACTCTTGATGCAAGCAGTGACTGCCACTTTTCGAAGTGTCAGTCATTAGGATCTGATAGAGTAGGAGGGAGGCGCATTCCGCCGAGCACTTTGTGAGTTTGCAAGCAGAATAAGAACCATAACAATTGAATGTTTCAGACGTGCACAGGTGTGTCAATTCTCGCGTTACACGCACAAATCGGCCTGTACGAGGAGGAGCGGGTAAAGCTGTACCAGAAATTGGACGAGAAGGACGACGAGATCCAGAAGGTGTCGCAGGAGCTCGAGAAGCTCCGACAACAGGTGCTTCTGCAAGAGGAGGCACTGCAGACGATGCTCGAGAACGAGGAGATCATCCGCGAAGAGAACTCGCGCATTCAGAAAGAGGCCGACGACAAGCAGCAGGAGGGCAAGGAGATGATGACGAAGAAGTCAAGAAACTTCCCACTCTTGATGCAAGCAGTGACTGCCACTTTTCGAAGTGTCAGTCATTAGGATCTGATAGAGTAGGAGGGAGGCGCATTCCGCCGAGCACTTTGTGAGTTTGCAAGCAGAATAAGAACCATAACAATTGAATGTTTCAGACGTGCACAGGTGTGTCAATTCTCGCGTTACACGCACAAATCGGCCTGTACGAGGAGGAGCGGGTAAAGCTGTACCAGAAATTGGACGAGAAGGACGACGAGATCCAGAAGGTGTCGCAGGAGCTCGAGAAGCTCCGACAACAGGTGCTTCTGCAAGAGGAGGCACTGCAGACGATGCTCGAGAACGAGGAGATCATCCGCGAAGAGAACTCGCGCATTCAGAAAGAGGCCGACGACAAGCAGCAGGAGGGCAAGGAGATGATGACGAAGAAGTCAAGAAACTTCCCACTCTTGATGTAGCAGTGACTGCCACTTTTCGAAGTGTCAGTCATTAGGATCTGATAGAGTAGGGAGGGAGGCGCATTCCGCCGAGCACTTTGTGAGTTTGCAAGCAGAATAAGAACCATAACAATTGAATGTTTCAGACGTGCACAGGTGTGTCAATTCTCGCGTTACACGCACAAATCGGCCTGTACGAGGAGGAGCGGGTAAAGCTGTACCAGAAATTGGACGAGAAGGACGACGAGATCCAGAAGGTGTCGCAGGAGCTCGAGAAGCTCCGACAACAGGTGCTTCTGCAAGAGGAGGCACTGCAGACGATGCTCGAGAACGAGGAGATCATCCGCGAAGAGAACTCGCGCATTCAGAAAGAGGCCGACGACAAGCAGCAGGAGGGCAAGGAGATGATGACGAAGAAGTCAAGAAACTTCCCACTCTTGATGTAGCAGTGACTGCCACTTTTCGAAGTGTCAGTCATTAGGGATCTGATAGAGTAGGAGGGAGGCGCATTCCGCCGAGCACTTTGTGAGTTTGCAAGCAGAATAAGAACCATAACAATTGAATGTTTCAGACGTGCACAGGTGTGTCAATTCTCGCGTTACACGCACAAATCGGCCTGTACGAGGAGGAGCGGGTAAAGCTGTACCAGAAATTGGACGAGAAGGACGACGAGATCCAGAAGGTGTCGCAGGAGCTCGAGAAGCTCCGACAACAGGTGCTTCTGCAAGAGGAGGCACTGCAGACGATGCTCGAGAACGAGGGAGATCATCCGCGAAGAGAACTCGCGCATTCAGAAAGAGGCCGACGACAAGCAGCAGGAGGGCAAGGAGATGATGACGAAGAAGTCAAGAAACTTCCCACTCTTGATGTAGCAGTGACTGCCACTTTTCGAAGTGTCAGTCATTAGGGATCTGATAGAGTAGGAGGGAGGCGCATTCCGCCGAGCACTTTGTGAGTTTGCAAGCAGAATAAGAACCATAACAATTGAATGTTTCAGACGTGCACAGGTGTGTCAATTCTCGCGTTACACGCACAAATCGGCCTGTACGAGGAGGAGCGGGTAAAGCTGTACCAGAAATTGGACGAGAAGGACGACGAGATCCAGAAGGTGTCGCAGGAGCTCGAGAAGCTCCGACAACAGGTGCTTCTGCAAGAGGAGGCACTGCAGACGATGCTCGAGAACGAGGAGATCATCCGCGAAGAGAACTCGCGCATTCAGAAAGAGGCCGACGACAAGCAGCAGGAGGGCAAGGAGATGATGACGAAGAAGTCAAGAAACTTCCCACTCTTGATGCAAGCAGTGACTGCCACTTTTCGAAGTGTCAGTCATTAGGATCTGATAGAGTAGGAGGGAGGCGCATTCCGCCGAGCACTTTGTGAGTTTGCAAGCAGAATAAGAACCATAACAATTGAATGTTTCAGACGTGCACAGGTGTGTCAATTCTCGCGTTACACGCACAAATCGGCCTGTACGAGGAGGAGCGGGTAAAGCTGTACCAGAAATTGGACGAGAAGGACGACGAGATCCAGAAGGTGTCGCAGGAGCTCGAGAAGCTCCGACAACAGGTGCTTCTGCAAGAGGAGGCACTGCAGACGATGCTCGAGAACGAGGAGATCATCCGCGAAGAGAACTCGCGCATTCAGAAAGAGGCCGACGACAAGCAGCAGGAGGGCAAGGAGATGATGACGAAGAAGTCAAGAAACTTCCCACTCTTGATGTAGCAGTGACTGCCACTTTTCGAAGTGTCAGTCATTAGGATCTGATAGAGTAGGGAGGGAGGCGCATTCCGCCGAGCACTTTGTGAGTTTGCAAGCAGAATAAGAACCATAACAATTGAATGTTTCAGACGTGCACAGGTGTGTCAATTCTCGCGTTACACGCACAAATCGGCCTGTACGAGGAGGAGCGGGTAAAGCTGTACCAGAAATTGGACGAGAAGGACGACGAGATCCAGAAGGTGTCGCAGGAGCTCGAGAAGCTCCGACAACAGGTGCTTCTGCAAGAGGAGGCACTGCAGACGATGCTCGAGAACGAGGAGATCATCCGCGAAGAGAACTCGCGCATTCAGAAAGAGGCCGACGACAAGCAGCAGGAGGGCAAGGAGATGATGACGAAGAAGTCAAGAAACTTCCCACTCTTTGATGTAGCAGTGACTGCCACTTTTCGAAGTGTCAGTCATTAGGATCTGATAGAGTAGGAGGGAGGCGCATTCCGCCGAGCACTTTGTGAGTTTGCAAGCAGAATAAGAACCATAACAATTGAATGTTTCAGACGTGCACAGGTGTGTCAATTCTCGCGTTACACGCACAAATCGGCCTGTACGAGGAGGAGCGGGTAAAGCTGTACCAGAAATTGGACGAGAAGGACGACGAGATCCAGAAGGTGTCGCAGGAGCTCGAGAAGCTCCGACAACAGGTGCTTCTGCAAGAGGAGGCACTGCAGACGATGCTCGAGAACGAGGGAGATCATCCGCGAAGAGAACTCGCGCATTCAGAAAGAGGCCGACGACAAGCAGCAGGAGGGCAAGGAGATGATGACGAAGAAGTCAAGAAACTTCCCACTCTTGATGCAAGCAGTGACTGCCACTTTTCGAAGTGTCAGTCATTAGGATCTGATAGAGTAGGAGGGAGGCGCATTCCGCCGAGCACTTTGTGAGTTTGCAAGCAGAATAAGAACCATAACAATTGAATGTTTCAGACGTGCACAGGTGTGTCAATTCTCGCGTTACACGCACAAATCGGCCTGTACGAGGAGGAGCGGGTAAAGCTGTACCAGAAATTGGACGAGAAGGACGACGAGATCCAGAAGGTGTCGCAGGAGCTCGAGAAGCTCCGACAACAGGTGCTTCTGCAAGAGGAGGCACTGCAGACGATGCTCGAGAACGAGGAGATCATCCGCGAAGAGAACTCGCGCATTCAGAAAGAGGCCGACGACAAGCAGCAGGAGGGCAAGGAGATGATGACGAAGAAGTCAAGAAACTTCCCACTCTTGATGCAAGCAGTGACTGCCACTTTTCGAAGTGTCAGTCATTAGGATCTGATAGAGTAGGAGGGAGGCGCATTCCGCCGAGCACTTTGTGAGTTTGCAAGCAGAATAAGAACCATAACAATTGAATGTTTCAGACGTGCACAGGTGTGTCAATTCTCGCGTTACACGCACAAATCGGCCTGTACGAGGAGGAGCGGGTAAAGCTGTACCAGAAATTGGACGAGAAGGACGACGAGATCCAGAAGGTGTCGCAGGAGCTCGAGAAGCTCCGACAACAGGTGCTTCTGCAAGAGGAGGCACTGCAGACGATGCTCGAGAACGAGGAGATCATCCGCGAAGAGAACTCGCGCATTCAGAAAGAGGCCGACGACAAGCAGCAGGAGGGCAAGGAGATGATGACGAAGAAGTCAAGAAACTTCCCACTCTTGATGCAAGCAGTGACTGCCACTTTTCGAAGTGTCAGTCATTAGGATCTGATAGAGTAGGAGGGAGGCGCATTCCGCCGAGCACTTTGTGAGTTTGCAAGCAGAATAAGAACCATAACAATTGAATGTTTCAGACGTGCACAGGTGTGTCAATTCTCGCGTTACACGCACAAATCGGCCTGTACGAGGAGGAGCGGGTAAAGCTGTACCAGAAATTGGACGAGAAGGACGACGAGATCCAGAAGGTGTCGCAGGAGCTCGAGAAGCTCCGACAACAGGTGCTTCTGCAAGAGGAGGCACTGCAGACGATGCTCGAGAACGAGGAGATCATCCGCGAAGAGAACTCGCGCATTCAGAAAGAGGCCGACGACAAGCAGCAGGAGGGCAAGGAGATGATGACGAAGAAGTCAAGAAACTTCCCACTCTTGATGTAAGCAGTGACTGCCACTTTTCGAAGTGTCAGTCATTAGGATCTGATAGAGTAGGAGGGAGGCGCATTCCGCCGAGCACTTTGTGAGTTTGCAAGCAGAATAAGAACCATAACAATTGAATGTTTCAGACGTGCACAGGTGTGTCAATTCTCGCGTTATACGCACAAATCGGCCTGTACGAGGAGGAGCGGGTAAAGCTGTACCAGAAATTGGACGAGAAGGACGACGAGATCCAGAAGGTGTCGCAGGAGCTCGAGAAGCTCCGACAACAGGTGCTTCTGCAAGAGGAGGCACTGCAGACGATGCTCGAGAACGAGGAGATCATCCGCGAAGAGAACTCGCGCATTCAGAAAGAGGCCGACGACAAGCAGCAGGAGGGCAAGGAGATGATGACGAAGAAGTCAAGAAACTTCCCACTCTTGATGCAAGCAGTGACTGCCACTTTTCGAAGTGTCAGTCATTAGGATCTGATAGAGTAGGAGGGAGGCGCATTCCGCCGAGCACTTTGTGAGTTTGCAAGCAGAATAAGAACCATAACAATTGAATGTTTCAGACGTGCACAGGTGTGTCAATTCTCGCGTTACACGCACAAATCGGCCTGTACGAGGAGGAGCGGGTAAAGCTGTACCAGAAATTGGACGAGAAGGACGACGAGATCCAGAAGGTGTCGCAGGAGCTCGAGAAGCTCCGACAACAGGTGCTTCTGCAAGAGGAGGCACTGCAGACGATGCTCGAGAACGAGGAGATCATCCGCGAAGAGAACTCGCGCATTCAGAAAGAGGCCGACGACAAGCAGCAGGAGGGCAAGGAGATGATGACGAAGAAGTCAAGAAACTTCCCACTCTTGATGTAGCAGTGACTGCCACTTTTCGAAGTGTCAGTCATTAGGATCTGATAGAGTAGGAGGGAGGCGCATTCCGCCGAGCACTTTGTGAGTTTGCAAGCAGAATAAGAACCATAACAATTGAATGTTTCAGACGTGCACAGGTGTGTCAATTCTCGCGTTATACGCACAAATCGGCCTGTACGAGGAGGAGCGGGTAAAGCTGTACCAGAAATTGGACGAGAAGGACGACGAGATCCAGAAGGTGTCGCAGGAGCTCGAGAAGCTCCGACAACAGGTGCTTCTGCAAGAGGAGGCACTGCAGACGATGCTCGAGAACGAGGAGATCATCCGCGAAGAGAACTCGCGCATTCAGAAAGAGGCCGACGACAAGCAGCAGGAGGGCAAGGAGATGATGACGAAGAAGTCAAGAAACTTCCCACTCTTGATGCAAGCAGTGACTGCCACTTTTCGAAGTGTCAGTCATTAGGATCTGATAGAGTAGGAGGGAGGCGCATTCCGCCGAGCACTTTGTGAGTTTGCAAGCAGAATAAGAACCATAACAATTGAATGTTTCAGACGTGCACAGGTGTGTCAATTCTCGCGTTATACGCACAAATCGGCCTGTACGAGGAGGAGCGGGTAAAGCTGTACCAGAAATTGGACGAGAAGGACGACGAGATCCAGAAGGTGTCGCAGGAGCTCGAGAAGCTCCGACAACAGGTGCTTCTGCAAGAGGAGGCACTGCAGACGATGCGCAAGAACGAGGAGATCATCCGCGAAGAGAACTCGCGCATTCAGAAAGAGGCCGACGACAAGCAGCAGGAGGGCAAGGAGATGATGACGAAGAAGTCAAGAAACTTCCCACTCTTGATGCAAGCAGTGACTGCCACTTTTCGAAGTGTCAGTCATTAGGATCTGATAGAGTAGGAGGGAGGCGCATTCCGCCGAGCACTTTGTGAGTTTGCAAGCAGAATAAGAACCATAACAATTGAATGTTTCAGACGTGCACAGGTGTGTCAATTCTCGCGTTACACGCACAAATCGGCCTGTACGAGGAGGAGCGGGTAAAGCTGTACCAGAAATTGGACGAGAAGGACGACGAGATCCAGAAGGTGTCGCAGGAGCTCGAGAAGCTCCGACAACAGGTGCTTCTGCAAGAGGAGGCACTGCAGACGATGCTCGAGAACGAGGAGATCATCCGCGAAGAGAACTCGCGCATTCAGAAAGAGGCCGACGACAAGCAGCAGGAGGGCAAGGAGATGATGACGAAGAAGTCAAGAAACTTCCCACTCTTGATGCAAGCAGTGACTGCCACTTTTCGAAGTGTCAGTCATTAGGATCTGATAGAGTAGGAGGGAGGCGCATTCCGCCGAGCACTTTGTGAGTTTGCAAGCAGAATAAGAACCATAACAATTGAATGTTTCAGACGTGCACAGGTGTGTCAATTCTCGCGTTACACGCACAAATCGGCCTGTACGAGGAGGAGCGGGTAAAGCTGAACCAGAAATTGGACGAGAAGGACGACGAGATCCAGAAGGTGTCGCAGGAGCTCGAGAAGCTCCGACAACAGGTGCTTCTGCAAGAGGAGGCACTGCAGACGATGCGCAAGAACGAGGAGATCATCCGCGAAGAGAACTCGCGCATTCAGAAAGAGGCCGACGACAAGCAGCAGGAGGGCAAGGAGATGATGACGAAGAAGTCAAGAAACTTCCCACTCTTGATGCAAGCAGTGACTGCCACTTTTCGAAGTGTCAGTCATTAGGATCTGATAGAGTAGGAGGGAGGCGCATTCCGCCGAGCACTTTGTGAGTTTGCAAGCAGAATAAGAACCATAACAATTGAATGTTTCAGACGTGCACAGGTGTGTCAATTCTCGCGTTACACGCACAAATCGGCCTGTACGAGGAGGAGCGGGTAAAGCTGTACCAGAAATTGGACGAGAAGGACGACGAGATCCAGAAGGTGTCGCAGGAGCTCGAGAAGCTCCGACAACAGGTGCTTCTGCAAGAGGAGGCACTGCAGACGATGCGCAAGAACGAGGAGATCATCCGCGAAGAGAACTCGCGCATTCAGAAAGAGGCCGACGACAAGCAGCAGGAGGGCAAGGAGATGATGACGAAGAAGTCAAGAAACTTCCCACTCTTGATGCAAGCAGTGACTGCCACTTTTCGAAGTGTCAGTCATTAGGATCTGATAGAGTAGGAGGGAGGCGCATTCCGCCGAGCACTTTGTGAGTTTGCAAGCAGAATAAGAACCATAACAATTGAATGTTTCAGACGTGCACAGGTGTGTCAATTCTCGCGTTACACGCACAAATCGGCCTGTACGAGGAGGAGCGGGTAAAGCTGAACCAGAAATTGGACGAGAAGGACGACGAGATCCAGAAGGTGTCGCAGGAGCTCGAGAAGCTCCGACAACAGGTGCTTCTGCAAGAGGAGGCACTGCAGACGATGCTCGAGAACGAGGAGATCATCCGCGAAGAGAACTCGCGCATTCAGAAAGAGGCCGACGACAAGCAGCAGGAGGGCAAGGAGATGATGACGAAGAAGTCAAGAAACTTCCCACTCTTGATGCAAGCAGTGACTGCCACTTTTCGAAGTGTCAGTCATTAGGATCTGATAGAGTAGGAGGGAGGCGCATTCCGCCGAGCACTTTGTGAGTTTGCAAGCAGAATAAGAACCATAACAATTGAATGTTTCAGACGTGCACAGGTGTGTCAATTCTCGCGTTACACGCACAAATCGGCCTGTCTAATCATTCCTTCAGTTCTCCTCACCAACTTCTTTCAATCCGACTTCAACTTTTAAATGTATTTCTACAGCCTTTTCCTAATAAATATTATGAAACTTTCAAAGAGCCCGTCTTCATTTGCACAAAAAGTCATTGCAGTTTGATATTGTCAATTCGACGCAGAATCTGCTCGAGCTCCTCGATCTCGTGGCTCAGTTTGCCGGCGGTCCGCATCAGATCACTGGAGACGTCCTCAATCTCATTGAACTCGCACGCGTTCGTTCTCATGTGCATCTCCAGACTGTTTAAAGCTCTCGACAAGTCGTACTCGGTGGCTCCAAAGTTCACAAGCAGCTCGCGGGTTTTCAGAATCGTCTCGTACTGGTTCTCAGTTCTCTCTCTCTCTCTTTGGAGCAAATCTCCTGATCGTTCGGAATCAAGGCGTCAGGGCCGCCGTTGGGAGTGCTCGGAGTGAACTGATGGCTTTGGGTGTTGAGGGTGTCTGCAAACTACCATAATCCTTCTCACTTGGGATGGGCACTCACTCATCAGGTCCGTCCAGCACTGATCTTCTCGGCTATCGTACTCTAAAGCGGTGCGCGTCTGCTGGTTCTTTCTGGAAATCGTCTGAAGTCTCTCCACGTCATCTCTACTCTGAAACCTATTATATTGGCTCATTGATTTTCAGACTGTCCTACCAGATGACGTTCCTGACGAACTTGCTGATGCTCTCTGCGAACCGGATTGTTCTGATTTCTGTTATTCCGTCTGTTCGGATTCGGATTCGGATTCGGGACCGCATTCTGTTGCTGCTGGGCCACAGCCACTCGTCTTCCTTGTCCGATTGGCTGTCTAGCCGGCAACTGTGGGACCAGCGGAGCAGGAGGAGCCGGAGCCGGAGCCGCCGGCTGAAGAGCTCGGTTCCCTCCGGCGTGTGCTCTTTGCTGAGCATTCATTGCGAATTGCCAACCCGGATTCCAGTGATTCATCGGATTCATTTCGGATTTTTCGACACGACGAATTAGAAAGAAATGGTGGGAAAGTGGAGATGGAGAACATTATGTCAATGGGCAAAAGGGCAGTTTATCACGTGAAAGAACCGAATCATTCTTCGAACTTACCATCTGGCGAGAAGCGACGCCATTCAAGGAAAAAGGAGCACGAACATATCGTGCCAGGATTCCGGCTCATCGGTATCCATTGTCAAGCTTATGTCGAACAACTTTTGCTGTTCCGCCGCACTCAATTCATTGATTCGGCCTCCGAGACTGTCGCAAGCCCATCGCGAATGGAGCAGACAGTAGTGCCGGTAGGAGATCCTTGTTCCCGGCGGTGGAGACGTTTTCGCCTCGTAGTACGGTTCGAGGAAGCATTGCGGAGGCGTTTTGAGGAGGACGGCGAGCATTCGGTACTCGTGGACGGCCTTAATGGCAACGAGACTGTTCATTTTGTTGTTCGGCCCCTGCGGCAGGCCGGTCCACAGAAGTTTGTGATCCGCCCGAACTTCCGGCGCATTCACCACGTATTGGCTCGTATAGTTTCCGATCTTCATCTGCCAGTTCTTCGCGATAAACTCTTTCGTTTGTGCAGCATCTTTTGCTTTCACAAGCTCCACAAGCTCTTTCCACAGGGATCCCGCCTGCAAACTTCAAACTTTGATACTCGGTACAAAAAAAGGCGAAAAATGAACTCACTCGAGTCTTCTGCTTGCTTTTCCTGTCCGTACTGATGACAAGATGAGCGATTTGGAAGAGGTTCATCTCTTTAAAATCTTTTTCGTCGACGTTGAGTTTCTGCGCCCACTGGCTCAACTTCTTGTTGAACGGGAAGATTGGCCAAAACTGAAAGTAGTTAAAGTTCGAGAACTAGGAGAACTATAATATTCGAGAACTAACGGAGGCAATTTCCAAAAACTCTTTCCTGCACGGCACGTACGACTCCCTCGTCGCCTCCGTCTTGTTCTGCGTCTCGGCCACGTTCCTCTTAATCTCCAGAATCGTCTCTCGTTGCTCGATCGTCGCGATCCACGCCTTCTCCTCGTATCTCATTTTCGGAAGGTACACCAGCTCGACCTCGACTTGCCCGTCGACCGCCAATTCCAGAAGCGTGCTCTCTTTCTCGCCGTCCGCTGTCGCGCAGAGCAACAGCAGATCGGGTTCGTCACCGTGCGCATTGTGCTCGGGAAGATGATTGCGGAGCAGGGATCTAGGACCAACTCTCAGGGGGGTCCGTGGTCAGTAAGTCCCATGGTCTGAAGCACCTGCTGGTCAGTGAGCGAGGTCCGGCTGGTCAGCAAGTGCCTCTCTAAGCAGGGTTTTTTTTTAAATGAATTTTGACCTAGCTTTTAGTAATTTAGCTTTTTTCGAAATATGGCTGTTTCGTGCGTGCTTATTTGTGTCATTTTGTTAGTTTTAGGGTTAGCAACGGGGCGCCCCCGCGCCCCACACACCCTCGTTCGCCCCCCGGCCCCTTAAAGTGTAATTAAAATTCTGAAAAAATTTAGTAGATTAATGAGTTTATTCACTATCAACGTGCGTTGAGAAAACTTTTCAAAAAAAATTCCTACTCGATTTTGGAAAAACCGGTCGGGGGCGAGGGGCGCCCCGCTGCCAACCCTAGTTAGTTTACATTATAATGAACTCGTTTCCAAAAAAGCAAGTGAAATACTGATTGTATTCGTCCGACGGCACGCATCTTAAGTCTGAGAACAGCCAAGAAGCGCGGCCGCAAGAATCTTCATGGGTGCCGACTGGAAGCGGCATGCATGCCGTTTTCTGCGGCAAAATGCTGTAAGGGTGCCGATTCCGTGCATGCTACGCGCTGAACCCTGCTACCGTGGCTGCTTCTATGCCGCTCAAAAAAACCTTGCTTCCTTCCCATCCCACTTTTTTTCCTGCTGACATGCTCATCCTATGCTACCGTAGCAACTTGCTGTCCACTTGCCGCTCGCGTGCCCCACCCTTGCTAAAAATTATCTGAGTTCAGATGCGTGCCGTCGGATGAATACTGATTAATTTCACTTGCTTTTTTGGGAACGTGTTCATCGACCCAAAAAATCCTTAGCGCGCACAATTCTGGATGTTTCTGAAAACACTGGAAAAGTTGATTTTCCAACTTTGGCTCCGCGAGCAGCACTCTGGATGTTGAAAATATTCTAGCAGCAGCAAGTGCGCTGGATAGAGCAATCCAAGAGGATCATTTTGATACCCTTACTTGCCCACTTTTGACTATTTTTCGCTGAGTTAGACTTCCTGACTAAATCTACCAGTTGCAACTGGTCGTTCCAAAAAATTACCAGTTGCAACTGGTAGATTTAGTCAGCAAGTCTAACTCAGCGGAGAATAGATGAAATCATTCAAGTAAGGGTATCAAAATGATCCTCTAGGATTGTTCTACACAGCGCACTTGCTGCTGGGTATGTATATGTCATGGCTACGGCGCTAGACTTGCTGCTTTTTCGTACTAAAAATGTGAACGAATTGATGTAAAGTCAGCAAGTCCAGCTAAGCGAAAAAAAGTGAAAAAAAGGGGCAAGTTATGGTATAAAAAAATGATCCTCTTGGATTGCTCTATCCAGCGCACTTGCTGCTGATGAGGTACATATCACGGCTGCCCTGACACGGCTGCAAACGTTTATGCACTGTCAATAGTACTTCAGTGAGTGTAGTTCACTGACGAATCGACAAAAACTTGGCAAGTTATAATATCAAAATGATTGCCAAAACATGCTCAATTCATTCCACTTGATGCTATGAGTGAATTCATTACCCCAAGAGACGGTCCCACTTGTACGATGAAACCTTTGACGTCACTAAATTAGAGGTAGCATTCCGCAAAAAGTTTAATACGAAATAAACAGATTATACACCTTTCAAAAGAAAGAAAAAATATCACGGCGACAACAATTTCTTTTGGTCAGTTACTTGAAAAAAAAAATTTTCCCAACTTTTGGTCAGTAAGCAATGGCTTGATAGCCTAGATCCCTGACCCTTGGATCGTAAAAACGGCGGGACCGTCGTCCGTGCTCTTTCTTTCATGGCGGCCGACAGTCCGCGCACATCCGATAAACAAAGTTGCCTCCGCGCGCGGCTTCCGCTAAAAGGTGCCAAAAAATAAACTATCCAGCGACGTCTCCGCCCCTCTCGGCCAAATGTAAACCATCCTCTGGTCAGCATCCGACAGTCTCGCCGTACTATTTACTTTCTGCTCTCCCCACTTACATGAGCGGTTTCAGCTCATCGACATTTCTCTCTTTTGCCGACTCTGACTGCACTATGTCTTCGTCTTCAATGACTCCGACCTCTCTTCCTGACCAGTCGTCTTCAATGACTCCGACCTCTCTTCCTGACCAGTCGTCTTCAATGACTCCGACCTCTCTTCCTGACCAGTCGTCTTCAATGACTCCGACCTCTCTTCCTGACCAGTCGTCTTCAATGACTCCGACCTCTCTTCCTGACCAGTCGTCTTCAATGACTCCGACCTCTCTTCCTGACCAGTCGTCTTCAATGACTCCGACATCTCTTCCTGGCCAGTCGTCTTCAATGACTCCGACCTCTCTTCCTGACCAGTCGTCTTCAATGACTCCGACCCCTCTTCCTGACCAGTCGTCTTCTCTTTATGTTCCGTCGGAAACTGACAATCTGAACCTGGATCCGTGGAATCTGAGTGCTGACCAGTTGTACGGATGTGCTCATCTTCTTCACGATCAGGCAAATTTTGGTGAGTCTTTTTTGCAGTCTTTTGATGCACTGAAACAGTTGATGATTTCAGATCCAACGGCCAACAGTGACCCTCTAGACGAACAAATGGACTTCGAACCCAATTTGCTCGTGGACGACTACCCCTACAAACTGGTACTATTTTTTCGCTTCATGATCAGTTCTCAATGAAATTTTGCAGGCTCAAAATTTTCACTATTCCGTCATAACAATCAGGAAGGTCTATGCCTGGAAAAATAAAATTGTTAAGGACTACGCAGCCCAAACAAAAAGACGCACGGATCAGCTCAACGACCACGTATGGATTCACCATCTTTAGATGCATAATGATAATTTGTGATTTTCAGAAGGGCATTTTCACAATGCATTTGAAGAATATGAAAAATTTCATAGTTCTGCATGCGAATATATATCTGAGTTTTCTTCCTGATGAAGTTCAGCAAAGTGTCTACAGTGATTCGCTTCCTTTCGACGATTCGGATGTTGAAGAGGACATCGCGTTCTGGAGAAGAAGAGTTGAAACGGATCCAACATTCCAGTTCGTTGCCAACGTTAGTGTTGCACACGCTCGGCAAACTAATAAATTTTTCTGTTCAGAAGGTTCGAACAAATAGATTCAGAGGCATCTGGCAGCTTGTTTTGAATACGATGGAGATGGAAATAGTAAGGGACTAGGAACATTCGAAAAAGTATCATTACTTTCAGCCGATCATCACAACCTGCCGCCGTCTTGTCCTGTTGCACCAAAAGAAAAGAGCGGTAAGGAAGACAGCGTTGAGTTTGTATTGAGTCCACTGCTGTTTTCAGATTGGAAAGGAGTACACCGAGCACTTGAAGCATCTGCAGCCGCAAATCTACGGAACTGGTGAATTGACCGATGAGATCTGCGCGGCTATCAGCTACTTCGAGATTGCTTTTCCACCTTTTGTGTTCTGAATGTTTTAATAGTGACTCACATGCATATAGCCCAGCATCGATCGATTTCCCTTTCTTGTTGCGTAACTCACCCCTTAGCCCTCGTCACTTTCCCCTATTTTTTCGGTACTTCTTCTCGTCCCCCCAACCACCGTCCCCCGCCCCTCTCGCAAACTGTTTCGAAACGTTCCTCGTGCACTTCTGTATTGCCCGCAAATAATTCCTAAAAGTTATTGCGGTCACCCCTCCCTCTCTTCTTCGTTTTTGAAAATGTTTTTGTGCTTTGTAAAAGTCGTTGGGTTTTTTTTTCGTTTTAACTGTTAAATCATCCATACTCACAATTCCGTGTACCCTTCTTCAATCATTTTTTTTACATCATTTACTGTTCACTGTACATGTTTTGTTCTACTTAACTGAATTTGTTACCTTCTCGTTTTTAAACGGAACGCCTATGTCAACAAACAAGCTAAAAAATGGCTCACTATTAGGGTGAATGACCTTGAAACTGCCTGCCTCCTCTAACTCTTTTTCCGTCCACCGCATTGAAGTGGACTTTCAGTGACAGAAATTTTTTGAATCGAAGAGTACGGTTCCGTCGTACATCTCGTCTTTCATTCATCTCTATTTGTTTATGTTAACTCCCCCTTTGGTTCTTGGTCGATAACGTCTCTTTTCTAATTATACAAAATTGCACCAGTACAGGGACTGAGAAGAAGCTTTGCCAGGCTTTTCAAAGGCCTTTCAGTCTTGAATTTGTGACTCAGTTGCAATTTAACGATCGGACTCAAACCTGGCAGGCTACTTGGATTTGAATTAAAGTGTCTGAGGCCCAAGTTTCAAATTGATAAAAAAAAACCTACAGCTTTGGCATCTGGACCGTATATCTCCAGAGTAAATAATCCGTTCGGACTCAAAATTGAACTGAAGATACATCAATCTAATTTCAACTTTTTGATAGCATATGAACTGGCGATAGGGACACTCTCCCTACTATTGATATACTCCTTTTTAAGTTTAAAAAATGTGTTTTTTCAAAACTTTTTTCAAACGGAACAGCCATATCGATTGGATGAACGAAACAAGTTCAAAAACAGCTTACTTGCCGGGTGAATGATCTTCAAATTGTCTGCAATCTCTCACTCTCTTTCCATCCACACGGCCCATGGAGTTAGCTTGGAGTGACAAAGCATTTTGCATCCAAGAGAACGGTTTCGTCCTACATGTCGTCTTCCATTCATTTCTATTTGTTTATATTTATTCGCTCGCTTATCAGGAAAAATACAGAATTTGTGCAAGCATTTTAAAATATGATCAATATAATTAGAAGGGTAACGTAAAAAAGTGTCATGCAAAATCATTGTTTCAACACACATGCCATGACTTCCTGCTTCTTCCCCTAGTTGCCCCGCATTCCCCTTCCAACGTTTTCCATTTGCCCTCTTCCTCTCTTTTTGTGTCCTACCATACCCTTGGATCGTAAAAACGGCGGGACCGTCGTCCGTGCTCTTTCTTTCATGGCGGCCGACAGTCCGCGCACATCCGATAAACAAAGTTGCCTCCGCGCGCGGCTTCCGCTAAAAGGTGCCAAAAAATAAACTATCCAGCGACGTCTCCGCCCCTCTCGGCCAAATGTAAACCATCCTCTGGTCAGCATCCGACAGTCTCGCCGCACTATTCACTTTCTGCTCTCCCCACTAACATGAGCGGTTTCAGCTCATCGACATTTCTGTCTTTTGCCGACTCTGACTGCACTATGTCTTCGTCTTCAATGACTCCGACCTCTCTTCCTGACCAGTCGTCATCAATGACTCCGACCTCTCTTCCTGACCAGTCGTCTTCAATGACTCCGACCTCTCTTCCTGACCAGTCGTCTTCAATGACTCCGACCCCTCTTCCTGACCAGTCGTCTTCTCTTTATGTTCCGTCGGAAACTGACAATCTGAACCTGGATCCGTGGAATCTGAGTGCTGACCAGTTGTACGGATGTGCCCATCTTCTTCACGATCAGGCGAATTTTGGTGAGTTTTTTTGCAGCCTTTTGATGCACTGAAACGGTTGATGATTTCAGATCCAACGGCCAACAGTGAACCTCTAGACGAACAAATGGACTTCGAACCCAATTTGCTCGTGGACGACTACCCCTACAAACTGGTACTATTTTTTCGCATCATGATCAGTTCTCAATGCAACTTTACAGGCTGAAAATTTTCACTATTCCGTCATAACAATCAGGAAGGTCTATGCCTGGAAAAATAAAATTGTTAAGGACTACGCAGCCCAAACAAAAAGACGCACGGATCAGCTCAACGACCACGTATGGATTCACCATCTTTAGATGCATAATGATAATTTGTGATTTTCAGAAGGGAATTTTCACAATGCATTTGAAGAATATGAAAAATTTCATAGTTCTGCATGCGAATATATATCTGAGTTTTCTTCCTGATGAAGTTCAGCAAAGTGTCTACAGTGATTCGCTTCCTTTCGACGATTCGGATGTTGAAGAGGACATCGCGTTCTGGAGAAGAAGAGTTGAAACGGATCCAACATTCCAGTTCGTTGCCAACGTTAGTGTTGCACACGCTCGGCAAACTAATAAATTTTTCTGTTCAGAAGGTTCGAACAAATAGATTCAGAGGCATCTGGCAGCTTGTTTTGAATACGATGGAGATGGAAATAGTAAGGGACTAGGAACATTCGAAAAAGTATCATTACTTTCAGCCGATCATCACAACCTGTCGCCGTCTTGTCCTGTTGCACCAAAAGAAAAGAGCGGTAAGGAAGACAGCGTTGAGTTTGTATTGAGTCCACTGCTGTTTTCAGATTGGAAAGGAGTACACCGAGCACTTGAAGCATCTGCAGCCGCAAATCTACGGAACTGGTGAATTGACCGATGAGATCTGCGCGGCTATCAGCTACTTCGAGATTTCTTTGCCACCTTTTGTGTTCTGAATGTTTTAATAGTGACTCACATGCATAGGCCAGCATCGATCGATTTCCCTTTCTTGTTGCGTAACTCACCCCTTAGCCCTCGTCACTTTCCCCTATTTTTTCGGTACTTCTTCTCGTCCCCCCAACCACCGTCCCCCGCCCCTCTCGCAAACTGTTTCGAAACGTTCCTCTTGCACTTCTGTATTTCTCGCAAATTATTCCTAAAAGTTATTGCGGCCTCCCCCCTCCATCTCTTCTTTGTTGTTTTGTGCTTTGTAAAAGTAGTTTATTTTTATTTTTGTTTATGATGTTTAATCATCCATACTCACAATATCGTATACTCTTCTTCCCTCATATTTTTGCATCACTCCAACTGTTCTATGGGCACATTCGCCCTACTGTTGACGTCTGTACATGTTTTGTTCTATTCAACAAAATTTGTCACTTTTTTTCAAATAAAACAGTCATATCGACTGGGTCAACGAAACAAGTAAAAAAATGGCTCAAGAATGGCCTTCAAACTGTCTGCCCCTCTCACTCTCTTTCTATTCACACGGCTCACACGGCCCACCGAGGTAGCTTGCAGTGACAGAACGTTTTTGAATCCAAGAGAACGGTTTCGTCGTACATGTCGTCTTCCATTTATTTTTTCATTGATACGCTCGCTTCTCATTCAATACGGACGCCCCTGTAGTTTTCGAAAAATGCAAAAGGTCAGGGCTAGCATTTTCGAAGGCTTTTTGAGGCTTTTGCTTTTGACACAGTTTCAATGTATCAGTCAGGTACAAGCCTGGCAAAAGTCCTGAACTTGAACGTAAAATACATCAATTCACATCCGGAAAGCCTGCCAAGTTTGGATCCAATCGATAAATTGCGAGTGGGTGCAAGAATGCACAACAGTTCTCAAAAATAAATTGCAAACAGACAACATTTGCTTTCGAGATCCTTATTCTGCTCCTAAATGTCATTTTGTGCGGCAGAGTACATTTGCGCGTATTGTAAGCTTTGAAACCCGTGCTTTCACGTTCTGAGTTTTCAAATTTTCTTTTTCAGAAAATGGAGACGGAATCGTCGTCTTCAAACGAGGCCTTGAAAGACGCGCTGCACTTCTTTGACATCTATTACTGAAAAGGTAATTGTGAACTTTATTTTGTATTGTTTTAATGAAACACTTTCCAGAGCACAACTCGAACTCCAGTTTCTCATGCCAGTCTCATTTGAATTCATTTTGGCGATCCCTAAATTCCGAATCTTTCAAACGTCTTCTTTTCCGAAAAATCTCCAAAATCCATGTTTTTTAATATTGCTCAAAACAGTTTCCCAGTTCTCATTCATTCTGTCCGACTCATCTCAAGATTTTATGCCGGGTCTTTAAAAGTCTGCTCGTCATTTTATACTTAACCGTGTTTTTAAAAAACCGTTTTATTTGACCTGCAAGTCTACAATGCCAATTCTACTGTATTCTCAGTTAGCACTCGTGAAAAGCGTTCAGCCGTGCTGCGAACGTTTTGCATTTTGCATTTCTTAATGCTACTAAACCACAATATTCCCTCATATCAGGGCTGGGAAATTGGCAGGCCCTAGACCTGGACCTTTGAACCACTTGCAATATTCCGATCAGACCCAAACTTCGCAGAATTGTTGGACTTGAATTGAGGGGTATTGAGTCCAAGTTTCAGCCCGATCAGATCGTCGGGTCCCGAGATATGTGGATCATTGGCCGCTTTTTCCAAAAAGCCCGGGCTTCCGGCAAATTTCGGCCTATTTCGGCCTGATCCACATTTCTCGGGACCAAATAATCCGATTGGGCTGAAACTTAGTCCCAATATGCTTCAACCCATGTCCAAGAAACATGCAAAGTTTGGGTCCGATCGGAATATTGCAAGTGGTGCAAAATTCCAGGTCAAGGGCCGGTCAACGAAAAGCCCGTGCCGGCCAATTGCCCAGCCTTGCCTCATATTGTTCCAAGTTTTGCAGAAATGCACTTTCAAAGTGTATGAACCCTTTGCGCCTTTACATCATAAAACTTTGATCATTTCTGAATTGCTTTCACTTGTTTGCACATTAGTCTCCAAAATGTTGCGAATTTTTATCATCACCCGACTTGTCTTATCTTATTTGTTTCCTGTCCGCCGCCAGAAGGTGTGAAGTGATGTGATTACTCGAGCGAAATTTGATCGCAAACAGTGATCGCTCTCGGAGCTTCCACGACCCTCAATGTTGTGCAATACTGCGCCAGGTCAGGCAGTTACCGGCTTAACTGCGGTACAAATGGCAAGTTTTTTCCCGGAGCACGAACCACATACTTTATGTGCCCGACACGTTGTTTCAGATCACCGTATTCGTCCTTTTCTCGGCGATTTCCATACATTATTCCATGTTTCCAACACCCAACTCTACCGAATTTGAATATCATGTCTTATGCTCTGTGATTTGTAGAAGTGTATAAAAATGTCGCCTTTGATGCTATTCTCCATCTTTTATCTGTTTTTTTTTCAGAAAGCAGGTCACAAACTGTGATTTTTCATTTCAGATATATCAATATCGTCAGATATTCTTCTGAATCAGGTTGAACATGAAGTGGCGGAAGAATAGAAGCACAGTTGAGCCCGTGAATGGAGTTCCAACGCAGAACGGAAAGAAGAAAGATACGGTAGGTGAATATTCTAGCTTATGAAACGGAAAAATGATTTCAGAGTGTGAATCTACCAAAAAAAGATGATGATGGCTCAGTGGATTCCGACGAGGAGCCGAAAATTATCTACGAACCGTCGAGAGTAGAGAAGCTTATCAATTATATGCTATGCAGAGGTGATTTGGCTAGCAAAGAGCTGTCTGTCAAACCGGTTACTCTTCTTGGATTGGTAATGACATTAGAACACCGTAAATCAATCAATAATGTGTTCAGTTCCGGTATGCCGAACGAATCGACGTTGCTTTGCTTTCTCTTGGTGTTGTGCTTTCGTTCATCTCCGGAGTTGCTCAGCCGGGAATTGGAATCATTGCGTAAGCGATTTCTGATAGTTTAGAACTAGGATTTCATAAAAATTGCAGGGGTCAAATCACCAACACTCTTCTTGTCTACAATACCACCAGTGACGAGTTCTACAACAAAGCAATGACCAATGTCTGGCTGTTTGGCGGAATCGGAGTTATTGTGCTTGTCGTGAACTTTGTTCAGGTTTTACAACAAAAGCTTCAGTTCAAACGTTTCTATTTCAGTACATGTGCTTTCAATACTGTTGCATACGAATCACATCGCGAATGAAACAGCACTACATTCAATCGATTCTTCGTCAAAATGCTGGTTGGTTTGATAGAAATCACTGCGGAACGTTGACGACGAAACTTCACGAGTAAGCTGTTTTTGGGCAAAACTAAACAAACTCCAACTTTTCAGTAATATGGAACGCATCAATGAAGGAATCGGAGACAAGCTGGGAGTGCTTATCCGTGGTTTGGTGATGTTTTTGACTGGAATCGTTGTCTCGTTCTTCTACGAATGGAGATTGGCCCTCGTGATGATGGGAATCGGACCAATCTGTTGCATCTGCATGTCTCTCATGTCACGAGTAAGCTACTATTCCAATAGCTTTGTCAATCTTTCGTAATTCAGACCATGTCATCGTTCACATCGAAAGAACTGTCAGGTGTTGGAAAAGCTGGAAGTATTGCGGAGGAATCGTTGATGGGTGTCAGGACTGTGCAGGCATTCAATGGACAAGAGGAGATGGTTGAGAAGTATGAAATTGCTGCTTCTTACCAATCCTCAATGAAATAATTCAGATACACAACAGAACTTGGAAAAGGAAAAGCGTTTGCCATTCAGAAAGGTCTTTGGGGAGGCGTCTTCGGTGGAGTCTTCCTTCTCTGCCTCTTCACTTATTTTGGTGGAGGCATTTACTACGGAGGTCAGCTCCTCCGCTGGAAAATCATCGCAAGCCCTGGCGACGTGTTTATTGTTGTAATTTCGATGCTTATCGGCGCTTACTTTCTCGGTCTCATCTCTCCGCATTTGATGGTTTTGCTGAACGCAAGAGTTGCCGCCGCTACTATTTATGAGATTATCGACCGGGTGAGCGTTGTTTTAATAATCATATTCAACATTTTTGTGTCTGCAGACTCCCGATATTGATGCGTATTCCAATGAAGGTCGAACAATCACAAACATCATCGGAAAAGTTGTTTTCGAAAATGTTCACTTCCGGTACCCAACCAGAAAGAAGGCAAAGGTGCTGAACGGACTGAACTTGACCATCGAACCAGGAACGTCAGTTGCTCTTGTCGGACACTCTGGATGTGGAAAGTCTACTTCGGTCGGACTGCTCACTAGACTTTATGAACAAGAAGCTGGAAAGGTTATGATTGATGAAGAGGATGTGCGAGAGCTGAAAATTGACTGGCTCCGGAAAGTAGTGGGAATTGTGCAACAAGAACCAGTTTTGTTCAATGATACTATTCACAACAATCTTCTCATTGGAAATCCGGACGCTGACAGAAACGACATGATCAGAGTGTGCGAAATGGCCAACGCACATGAATTCATCATGAAGATGCCAAAGGGATATGAAACTGTGATTGGAGACGGTGGCGTTCAGTTATCCGGAGGACAGAAACAGAGAGTTGCTATTGCCAGAACTCTGATCCGTGATCCAAAGGTCTTGCTTCTCGATGAAGCTACGTCAGCCCTTGATGCTCAGAGTGAAAGTGTCGTGCAATCTGCTCTCAACAACGCATCCAAAGGAAGAACGACCATCATGATTGCCCACAGACTCTCCACCATCCGTGAAGCTGATAAGATTGTGTTCTTCGAGAATGGTGTGATTGTGGAGAGTGGAAATCACGAGGAACTGGTAGAACTTGGAGGAAGATATGCACAACTAGTGAAAGCTCAGCAATTCAAAGGAATTGATGTAATTGAAGACGACGAGGAAGAGGATATGAGCAGAATGTAAGTTGGCTCTAACTTTTAAACCTCAATAGATCTCGTTTTCAGTGAGAAACTCGCGCCGTCCAGACAAGTCAGCTTTCATCGTTCCTGCGAATCCCTAGTTAGTGCAGATTTGGAAATCGGATACGCCAGCACATTCAACACGTTCACTCTGAAAACAGCACAGGAAGACATTGAAAATGAAGATTTCGCCGATGAAGTGCAAAGGGTGATGGAGGAAGATGGGGTCATCTCTTCCGGATACCTTGACATCTATAAAAACGCACAAGGCAACTATTTGTATCTAGTCGTCGGAACAGGTTTCGCCATTTTGAGAGGATCGGAGCTAGCTATCTTAGCAGTTCTTTTTGGTTATGTGTTCGAAGCATTCGAGAAGCCGCCTGAGGAAATGACCCATGCCTTGCTCACTGTTTTTATTCTGTACGCAAGTCTTGGAATTTATGTCCTTGTGACTCAGGTTGTTAGTGTGAGTTTGAGATGGTTTGAAAAAAAAGAAACATGATTTTATTGTTTCAGGGTACACTATTTACTATTGTTGCGGAGAACTTGGGCTTGAAATTCCGAGTGCAATCATTCAATAACCTACTATACCAGGATGCTTCTTTCTTTGATAATCCAGCACACGCTCCAGGAAAACTCATCACCAGACTTGCCACAGATGCTCCGAATGTGAAAGCCGTTGTGGACACCCGTATGCTTCAAGTGATCTATTCCCTCACTTCCATCATTATCAATATGGTTCTTGGATACATTTTCTGCTGGCAAATCGCTGTGGTCGGAAGCATTCTTATTGCTTTCTTTGCGTTCACAATGATCAGCATGGCTTACAAGATTGCCAGAGAGAACCTGAAGCAGATAAAGAGAGATGAGGCTGGAAAGGTAAACAATTTTTAACCTGAAAACATAATGTAATTTTCTTTCAGATTGCAATTGAAATCATTGAAAACGTGAAGACTATTCAACTTCTCACCAGCACATCTCGATTCCTAAATCACTACAAAGACGCGACTTTAGTCCAGCACAAGAGTGAAATGAAAAAATCGTATCTGCAATCGGTCAACAATGCCATCTCACAAACCTTTATGTACTTTGCAATGTTTATCTGCTACGGCGTCGGAACCCCACTCATGTACCACAGCATAGTTGAGCCGAACAGCACTTTTCGGTATGACCAAGATCAACTTCTTGTTTTTGAACTAACTTTTGAATTTTAGGGCGATCAATTCGATGATGATGGGATCAGTTGCTGTCATGCACTCATCCCACAACTTCCCCGAGTTTGTGAAGGCAAAGACTGCAGCGGGAATGCTGTTCAAGTTGATTTACCGCAAGCCGAAGACTGGTGATCTGATGGAAGGGAACAAAACGGAAATCCGCGGAAATGTTCTGTTCGAGGCGGTCAAGTTCTCTTACCCACAAAGACCTTTGCATCCGGTAATGACGGAACTTCACTTTTCGGCGCACAGCGGTCAAACAGTTGCACTTGTCGGACCTTCGGGCACTGGAAAAAGTACTTGTATTGCTATGCTCGAGAGATTTTACGACGTCTCTGGAGGCGCTCTCCGCATCGACGGACAAGACATCAGAACGTTATCACTTCATCATTTACGTACTCAAATGGCTCTTGTTGGTCAGGAACCGCGTTTATTTGCTGGAACTATAAGAGAAAATGTGTGCTTCGGACTCAAAGATGTAAGCTCACTTGCCACATCTACTTTCTACAAGAAACTTGCAGGTCCCTCTCGAAAAGATCAATCATGCTCTTGAACTTGCAAACGCCAGTCGTTTCCTGTCTAACCTACCGTCGGGCATTGATACTGAAGTCGGAGAGAAAGGATCCCAGTTGTCAGGAGGTCAGAAACAGAGAATTGCAATCGCTCGTGCACTGGTCAGAGACCCCAAGATTTTACTGCTGGACGAAGCCACGTCTGCTTTGGATTCCGAGTCCGAGAGGGTTAGTTTAGGGCAGCACGGTTCCAAATCCAAAGTTTTTCTTCTAGGCGGTTCAAGAAGCGCTGGATCGTGCTCGAGAAGGACGTACATGCATCACAATTGCACATCGTTTGTCTTCAATTCAAAATTCCGATCTGATAGTTTACATTGACAATGGAAAAGTTCAAGAAGCCGGAAATCATGGACATCTGATGTCACTCAAAGGAAAATACTACAACCTCATTAAGAAACAAGATTTGACGACGTAGAATTTGATAATCGCTTAGTAGTCTATCTTGCTCTTTGTGCGGGTTACGCTTACTGTTCTCTTAATTTGTTCAAATTGCTTATAGTACTTGATTCACATATTAAATTCAATCACACTCATTACTATCTGAAAGCTTATATTATTAACAATAGTTATCAAAATCACGGTAAACTCATCAAGTAATAAACTTTTTCATGTTTGTCATCTTTTGAAGATACATTAACAACGAACGGAAAACCAAAACAGTCAGCAACAGAACATGAATAATATGATGTAAATCGGAACTTATCGGAATCATATTTCTAATAATGGCCAGTTTAGAGTCAAATCACAGGATTTTCAAAAATCTGAACTACGCAACTGGAAACTACAACTAGACAATGGTTTTTCCTCTAGAAATTCAATAAAGACCCGTTAACTTTATTCCAGTTTTATTGTCGCAAGAAACCATAAAGACGCCATTGTTAAACAACGCCAAACCGTAGTTTTTCGACCCCGCCCCAGGAAAAGCGTAGTTTCTAGACGACACAGGATTGCTCTCTCTGCTCCCACACGATGTTTCACGTAAGTGCTACTCTTGTTCTCTCTAACCCCGCACAAAACACGCTTTTCAATGATATTGGCAGGAAAACACGGAAAATTGAATAAATAGTTCGAAGGAAAGCAGTATTTAAACAATGGTCTCACTTTCGAGTAGAACATTTTGTCCGTGGCAGTACAAAAGATAATTATTTTTTTAGGAATCATCATCGTCTTATCAACTTATTTACCTTTACTTCCGAATGAAACTAACGAACTGAACTGCTGATAAAAAGCGATTATGTCTCCCCGTGAGGAATTCGGCGATTTCAATCGAAAGATTTCGCAGACGAGTACGGTAAGCATGGAGATGTTTTTGTAATTCCAAACGCCAATTTGAATACCCGTTTCAGATCATTGGAGTGGATGAAAAATCTCCGGCTGACAGCTTCTCGAGCACATCCCAAAATGAAGAGGACGACAACAAAAATGTTACCTACACTCCTTCGATGTTCGAGAAAATAATCAATTTTTTGTTGTGCCGGTATGTTATTTCTATTCCCAATTTACCAGAAATCCTTCAATTTCAGATGTGACCTGTCTTCACAAGTATTGGAGGCCCGCCCGGTTTCCCTCGTGCAACTGGTTAGTCATCACATTCAAAATATTGTATTTCGTGTTCCGTTTTCAGTTTCGGTACGCGACCACTTACGACTACATTCTCCTTTTTGAGGGTTTGGTGTGTTCCCTGGTATCCGGTGTTTCTCAACCTGTTCTTGCCATTATATCGTAAGAATTGAGTTTGACTGAAAAGTTGATTTTTTGATTATAGGGGTCGGATGACAAACGTTCTTCTGGTTTACGATCCGTTGAGCAAAGAGTTCAAAACCAAAGCAATGGAAAATGTGTATATATTTCTGGGGCTTGGAATATTCGTATCACTTAATGATTTCTGTCAGGTATTCGTTAAAAATTCATAAACGTGTAAATCTTTTTTTTTCAGTACATGTGCTTTCAACGATGTTGTAGTCGAATTATGACACAAATGAGAAACAGATACATTGAATCGGTTTTGAGACAAAATGCCGAATGGTTTGATAAAAATCTATCTGGAACGATCACAACCAGACTCAATGAGTGAGTCTTGATCGAGCTCATTACATTAGAAATTCAAATAATATTGAATTTCAGCAACATGGAAAGAATTCAAGAGGGAATCGGAGATAAGCTCGGAGTTCTCATCCGTGGAGCGAGTATGGTTTTGACCTCCGTTATCATCTCTCTATGCTACGAATGGAGACTGGCTTTGATGATGTTGGGACTCATTCCTATTTGTACCATTTGCATGACACTCCTTTCACGGGTTAGTTTCTACTTTCTGAGCATCATGATTTTCAAAAATTTTGTTGAAGTTTCTCGAAAAAAGCACAATGGAAGAATTGGACAAGGTCGGAGTTGCGGGAGCGATCGCTGAGGAAGCATTGATGGGAGTGCGGACAATCCAGGCATTTAACGGTCAGGAAGAAATGGTTGCCAAGTACGAAAACGAACTGAATTGTGGAAAGAAACATGCCGTCATGGGAGGATTCTGGAGTGGATTCTTTGGAGGTCTATTCTTCTTCTGGCTGATAGCATTCGTAGGAACTGGTGTTCTCTACGGCGGATATCTGCTCAAAGTCGGAATCATCAAGGCTCCTGGCGACGTGTTCATTATCATTATCGCTATGCTTCTCGGTGCTTACTTCCTCGGACTCATTTCTCCTCATTTGATGGTGCTCCTCAACGCAAGAGTATCAGCTGCATCGATTTACAAGACTATCGATCGTGTACCCCAGATTGATCCGTACTCGAAAGCTGGAAAGAAACTGGATAAAGTTGTCGGAAGAGTGACATTCCAAAATTTACATTTCCGATATCCGACAAGAAAAGAAGCAAAGGTTCTGAACGGTCTGAACCTGACTGTTGAACCCGGAACATCAGTAGCATTAGTTGGTCACTCTGGGTGCGGAAAATCGACGTCCGTTGGGCTGTTAACTCGACTTTATGAACCGGAGGGCGGAAGTGTCCAAGTGGACGGAGTTGATTTTAGGGACCTAAATATTGAATGGCTTCGGAATGTTATTGGAATCGTGCAGCAGGAACCAATTTTGTTTAACGAAACTATTCACAACAACTTAATCATTGGGAATCCAGACGCAACTCGCGAGAAAATGATTGAAGTGTGCAAAATGGCCAACGCACATGAATTCATCATGAAGATGCCAAAAGGATATGAAACTGTGATCGGAGACGGAGGCGTTCAGTTATCCGGAGGACAGAAACAAAGAGTTGCAATTGCAAGAACTCTGATTCGTGATCCAAAGATTCTTCTGCTTGACGAGGCCACGTCGGCCCTTGATGCTCAAAGTGAAAGTGTCGTGCAATCTGCTCTCAACAACGCATCCAAAGGAAGAACGACCATCATGATTGCTCACAGACTCTCTACCATTCGTGAAGCCGACAAAATTGTATTCTTTGAGAAAGGAGTCATTGTTGAAAGTGGTAACCATGAGGAACTGGTACATTTAGGAGGAAGATATTATGATTTGGTGAAAGCTCAGCAGTTCAAACAAGATGCAGAAGAAATACGACTCGAAGAAGAAGACAAAGACCAGTTTGATGAGTAAGTACTTGGTTTTTTTCCCTATAGAATTGAATAGTTGCAGATTTGAAGAGCCAATCATCTTCAATCGTCAAGGATCGGTGAGAAGCTCTCAACGTTCCGGATCCGATGCATTCCGAAGAGGAACTCTTGCAAACCGGTCATTTGACAGCCTTCGCAAAGGATATCATGTTCCGTCCGCTGAAGACGACGCATTTGGACTGCAAGTGAGAAAAGTGATGGAGGAAGACGGAGAAATAACCGCAGGATATATCGACATTTTCAAAAATGCACAAGGTAAACGCATAATACTTTTATTTTTGAAGAAAAAAGCGTGTTTCAGGAAATTACCTCTACATGCTGATAGGTCTGGTCAGCGCCTTGATAAGAGGACTGGACCTTCCGACCTATGCACTTTTATTTGGTTGGGTGTTCGAAGGTTTTGAGTTTGTCCCATACGGATCAAAAATGATGCATAGGTTTGTAATGGCTGCTATTGCTTTCTCGGCAGCTGGACTCGGCATTTGGTTCTTCCAGATTGTCAGCGTAAGTTATTATTCCCCGATTGGTCTCGTTACGAACAGACTTTCAGAGTGTCATGTTTGCCATCGTTTCCGAAAACCTTGCAGTTCGATTCCGAGTAGCCGCATTCCGCAATCTTTTGTATCAGGACGCTTCTTACTTCGACAATCCCGCACATGCACCCGGAAGTCTCATCACCAGACTAGCCTCAGATCCCCCAAACGTGAAAGCAGTGGTAGACGGAAGAATGATGCAGGTGGTGTACGCGTTTTCGGCGCTCGTCGCCTGCGTGACAATTGGATTCATCAACTGTTGGCAAGTGGCAATACTCGGAACTGCACTCGTTGCTTTTCTCGGCAGTCTCATGGTTGGGTTGGCCTACAAAATCAATCTGGTCGCCATCGAACACATGGAGAACGACGTGGCTGGAAAAGTCGCTATAGAAATCATCGAAAATGTGAAAACAATTCAACTTCTGACGAGAACAGAGCATTTCTTCAACAGTTATGCAAACGAATCCAAGAACCGAAAGCGAACGGAATTGAGGAAATCCGTGTACGAAGCTGTCAGCTACAGTATCACGCAAAACTTTATGTACTACATGTCCTGTTTCTGTTTTGCGTTGGCGATACGAGTTATCAATCAGGGCGAACAACCAGCCGACACGACTTACAGGTGAATTTGAAGTTTTTTGTCACAAAATAACAACTTGATTTGCTTGCAGGTGCTTGATGGCCATGATGATGTGCTCCGAAGGGGTTATTCTGTCGTCGCAATTCTTCCCGGAGTTTGTGAAAGCAAAAGCTGCCGCGGGAAAGATGTTCAACTTGATCTACCGAAAACCACAGACAGGAGACGCGAACAACGGAAGTCGGCCACAATTACGAGGAAATATCCTTTTCGAGGATGTCAAGTTCTCTTACCCACAAAGACCTCATCAGCCGGTTATGAGAGGACTTCAATGGACTGCTCTCCGCGGACAGACTGTCGCTCTCGTGGGACCGTCCGGATCTGGAAAGAGTACTTGCATCGGAATGCTCGAAAGATTCTACGACGTCACTGGAGGAGTACTTCGAATTGACGGACAAGATATCAAAAACATTTCATTGCAACATTTGAGAACTCAAATGGCACTGGTTGGTCAAGAACCGCGATTGTTTGTGGGAACCATACGCGAGAACATATGTCTCGGATTGAAGGATGTTCCACTCGAGAAGATCAACCATGCTTTGGAACTGGCCAACGCCAACCGATTCCTTGCAAACTTGCCGGCTGGTATTGACACTGATGTGGGAGAAAAGGGTTCTCAACTTTCCGGAGGACAGAAACAAAGAATTGCCATTGCGAGAGCACTCGTCAGAGATCCGAAGATCCTTCTGCTCGACGAAGCGACTTCTGCTTTGGATTCTGAATCTGAGAGGGTAAACCACTCTTCAAACGTTTCACGATATAATTTCATAATTTCAGGCTGTACAAGAAGCATTGGATCGAGCTCGCGAGGGCCGGACTTGCATCACCATTGCTCATCGCTTGTCCTCAATTCAAAACTCTGACTTGATTGTGTACATTGACAAAGGCCGAGTTCAAGAAGCGGGAACTCACTCTGAATTGATGCATATGAAAGGAAAATACTACGAATTGATTAAGAAACAAGACCTTGCAATTTGAACTTCTTCTTGCTTTCGTGTCATGCGCTTTCCCTTGTTTTGTGGCGGGTTCATTTTGAGATTCGACACCTTTTATGAGATTTTGATAAAATTAAATAAACAAAGTACGTGATTTCTGTTTCAGTTATACTTTGCCTCAATTCTGTATTGTTTGATACAGGGTGGCGCCTAATTACCCGCAATAAAGTTTGACGCTATGGTGGTGCGTACCTGCGCGGCTCCGGTGTACATAGTAAATTGTTTTTTGTTTATTGACATGTTTTTTACTAGTGCCAAGTTCCAGATCAAACGAATTCGTTTTAGGCTAATAGCACTGATTAGTCTGCACCCTGTTCCCATCATACACTTTTTCACTGGAGGGCGAGCCGGCAAACTATCAAGAAACGGCTCGGTATCCCAAGCAAAAACGTTTTTACTACAATCTAAATTCGGGAACACTTTGGGTAGCTCGTCCAGTAAACTGATGGCATTGCTGACAAGCTACAAAAACCTCTAAATCAAAAAGACAAATGTTGAATTGACATTTTTATTCGAAAGAAAAATAGGTACAAAGCAAGCGAAACTAGTGAAATGATTCCTAACATGATTTGAAACAAAAGGATTTGAGTGAACCCGGTTCATAAAAAAATGTTTCGGATCGGCGAGTGAACACTTTTCTAAACGTGGAAAATACAGAGAAAATTCAGTGATGGGAAACATTTTGAAAAGGACAGAATATTGAATATGTAGCAAGGTAGCAAGAAGAAAGATTCAAATTTACAAGATACGTTCGATCGGTCGATCGGAGGAAGGGATCAGACGGCAAGGTCTTGCTTCTTGATCAGCTGGTAGTACTTGCCCTTCTTATGCATCAGTTGAGAGTGGTTACCAGCCTCTTGGACTCTTCCTCTGTCGATATAAACAATCAGATCGGAATTCTGAATAGACGAGAGACGATGTGCGATGGTGACACATGTACGGCCTTCTCGAGCTCGATCCAATGCTTCTTGTACAGCCTGAAATTATGAAATTATATCGTGAAACGTTTGAAGAGTGGTTTACCCTCTCAGATTCAGAATCCAAAGCAGAAGTCGCTTCGTCGAGCAGAAGGATCTTCGGATCTCTGACAAGTGCTCTCGCAATGGCAATTCTCTGTTTCTGACCTCCGGAAAGTTGCGATCCTTTCTCTCCCACATCAGTATCAATACCAGCCGGCAAGTTTGCAAGGAATCGGTTGGCGTTGGCCAGTTCCAAAGCTTGGTTGATCTTTTCGAGTGGTACATCCTTCAATCCCAGGCACACGTTCTCACGAATAGTTCCTGCAAACAATCGGGGCTCTTGACCGACCAGCGCCATCTGAGTTCTGAGGTGGTGCAAAGATAGTTGTCGGATATCTTGTCCGTCAATTCGAAGTACTCCTCCAGTGACGTCGTAGAATCTTTCGAGCATTCCGATGCAAGTACTCTTTCCGGATCCGGACGGTCCCACAAGAGCGACAGTTTGTCCGCGGAGAGCAGTCCATTGGAGACCTTTCATGATTGGTTGCTTTGGTCTCTGTGGGTAAGAGAACTTGACATCTTCGAACAGAATGTTTCCTCTGATGTCGGCTTGGCTTCCCTCCATCAAGTCTCCAGTTCTCGGTTTGCGGTAGATGATGTTGAACAGCATACCGGCTGCAGTCTTGGCCTTCACGAATTCTGGGAAGTACTGTGCAGAGTTCATGACAGCGACAGCTCCCAACATCATAGCAATGATTGCCTTGAACGTGACTTCAGAGGACTTGTCTCCTTGGTAGATGATCCGGATACCGACTGCGTAACAGAAACACATCATGAAATACATGAAGGTTTGAGAGATACTGTAGTTGACAGCTTCAATCAGTCCCTTTTTGAGCTCGGATCTCTTCTGCTGTTTCGATGCAGTCTGATAATGTTCAAAGAACATGTCGCATCTCGTGAGAAGTTGGATGGTTTTCACATTCTCAATGATTTCGATAGCGATTCTTCCGGCCTCGTCGTTCTTGATTTGTTGAATGTTCATGACAGAGATCTTGTAGGCGAGTCCGATCATGGTGGCGGCAAGTAGAAGGATGAGCGATGTTCCAAGAATTCCAATCTGCCAGCAGTACACGAAAGCGATGACGATGTTGGCTATGATTGCAGAAAGCGCATAGATGACTTGGAGCATGCGAGCGTCGACCACAGCCTTGATGTTGGGGGCATCGGATGCCAGACGAGTGATGAGCTTTCCTGGAGCATGGGCCGGGTTGTCAAAGAATGACGCGTCTTGATACAAAAGATTTTGGAATGATTGAACACGGAAACGCATCGACAAGTTCTCGGAGACGATTGCAAAGAATATCGACTGTAAAAGAGACAGTTGGATTAATGAAATAGGAAATGAGATACTTACACTGGCAAGCTGAGACAAAAATACTCCAAATCCGACGAGTGCAAAGGCAATGAGGGCCATGACCATTCTGTGCATCATTCGTCCACCGTATGGTACAAATGTGAATCCTTCGAAGACCCAACCGAACAGAAGAGCCAGTGCCGGCAGCTCGAGACCTCTGATCAGGGCGCTGACAACTCCCAAGAACATGTAGAAGTAGTTTCCCTTTGCATTCTTGAAGATGTCCAGGTATCCAGCAGTGATTTGTCCGTCATGCTCCATGATTTCAGCTTCACGGGCAGCGAATGCATCGTTCTCCGCGTCGGCTCTTGCAGAATGTCTAGACCCAGCAAAGGAGTCATTCAGAGAGTTTCCTCTTTTGAACGCTTCGGCACCAGATCTCGTCGAGCTCACCATAGATGACCGTCTTGAGCTATGGCTAGTTTCACTGCAACAGATACATAAAGAATAAGAAGATATGGGAAAATGCTCACTCTAAATCAATTTCTTCTTCTTCAAACTCCTCAGTCGCTTCTGGATCAGCCTTGAATTGTTGAGCCTTCACCAAATCATAATATCTTCCTCCCAAGTGGACCAGCTCCTCATGGTTACCGCTTTCAACAATGACTCCTTTCTCGAAGAATACAATCTTGTCAGCTTCACGAATAGTGGAGAGTCTGTGAGCAATCATGATGGTGGTTCTTCCTTTGGATGCGTTGTTGAGAGCAGATTGCACGACACTTTCACTTTGAGCATCAAGAGCAGATGTGGCTTCATCGAGCAGAAGGACTTTTGGATCACGAATCAGAGTTCTGGCAATGGCAACTCTCTGCTTTTGTCCTCCGGATAACTGAACTCCTCCATCTCCAATGAGTGTGTCGTATCCCTTCGGCATCTTCTCAATGAAGTCATGAGCATTCGCCATCTTGCAGACTTCAATCATCTTTTCTCTGGTTGCACTCGGATTTCCAATAAGAAGGTTATTGTGGATAGTGTCGTTAAACAGAATCGGCTCCTGTTGCACAATACCGACCGTGTTTCTGAGCCATTCGATGTTGAGCTCACGGACGTCGGTTCCATCAATCATCACATTTCCTCCTTCCGGTTCGTATAATCTTGTGAGTAGACCAACAGATGTTGATTTTCCGCATCCGGAATGTCCAACGAGAGCAACGGAAGTTCCTGGTTCGACGACCAGATTGAGGCCATTAAGAATCTTTGCTTCTTTTCGACTTGGATACCGGAAGTGCACATTTTCAAAAGTCACTCTTCCAGTGACATTTGGTGGTCTTTTTCCGGCTTTCGAGTAAGGATCAATCTTCGGAATGCGATCAATGGTCTGGTAGATGGTGGCAGCGGATACTCTTGCATTGAGAAGTACCATCATGTGTGGAGAGATGAGACCGAGGAAGTACGCACCAAGAAGCATGGACATGACACAAATGAAAACATCTCCGGGGGTCTTGATGATTCCAACTTTGAGAAGGTACGCTCCGTAAAGAAGACCGGAACCCAGGAAGGAGAAGAGCCAGAAAAAGAACATTCCTCCGAAGAATCCACTCCAGAATCCTTTCCACACGGCATACTTTCTTCCTTTCTCCAATTCAGCCTCGTACCGTCCAACCATTTCCTCTTGTCCGTTGAATGCTTGAACAGTTCTCACTCCCATCAATGATTCTTCAGCGATTGATCCTGCTTTTCCAACGTTGACCAATTCTTTGATTGTGGTTGAGGTCATTTGCTAAACAAAACGTACATAATTAAAATTTTAGGGTCGGAGGCTTACTCTGGCAAGAAGAGACATACAAATGCAGCAAGTAGGAGCCACTCCAAGCATCATGGAGGCAAGTCTCCATTCGTAGATGTACGCGACTACGATAGCAGCGATGAGCATGGCGAATCCTCTGAGAAGCACTCCGAGCTTATCTCCGATACCCTCGCGGATTCTCTCCATACTGTCGTTCAGTTTCGTCGTAATGGTACCGCAATGGTTCTTATCGAACCATCCGGCGTTTTGTCGAAGAATCGAGTAAATGAATCGGTGTCTCATTTGAGCCATAACTCTAGTACAACAGTGTTGGAAACACATGTACTGGATGAAGTTGGTGGCGGATACAAAAATACCGATTCCAAGGAAGATATACACATTTTCGTTTGCTTTGTTTCGGAATTCCTTGCTTGTTGGCGCGTAGATGAGAAGAGCGTTGGTAACACGACCGCTGAAATACAGTACTTTATAAACCAGTTTTCTTCAGCAATTCACTCACGAAACAAGGGCCAAAATCGGCTGGGATACTCCGGAAATGATTGCGCAAATGACTCCGATGAACAGAAGGAAATAGTCGAACTTCTTTCCATATCGGAACTGAAACAGAAAACCAGTTCTCACTTCAGTTCTCACAATTTGATATAAGTTTGTGTTAATCTCATGTACAAGTTGTTAAACTTATGCTCCCCCCTACTGAGCAAACTAAAGACCACAAAACTACTGTGTGCGCGTATTTGTTTTTTGCGCACTTGTCGGAAATGGGGGAGAGGGCAAGGGAAACCGTTGCGAACTCAAAGAAGTTTCTTTTTGATACTTGTTCAAATAATGTCAATGGCATGGTACGCAAATAGCTAGCAGCGCTTGATACCAGGAAAAACTCACCAATCCAGCAATGGAGACCGGCTGGGCTTCGAGTTGCTGATTGGCAATATCTCCTCTGCACAACGCGTAGTTGAGAATTTTTTCGAGGAATGACGGAGTATAAAGTTGTGGAGCATCTTCGTCGTCGTCGACATAGTTGGCGGGTATGTCGCTGATTTTGGGATCGTTCACCGCAAGCGCTGGAATTGCGAGCACCGTACTCCTCTGAGAGGGACGGCGCTGATCGTCGAATCCCCTAATATCGGGATCGTCTTTTGGGGCCATGTTTGATTATTCGTTCATTTACGTCCTAAAAATGGAATATCAGTTTGGCAACTTTAAAAAAATTTAGAGAAATAACGAATTACGGAAAAGCCGACACAATTTCTAGAATAATTTGGTTTTCTGGTTTTGCTAGAGAATTTATGAATGAGATTGAATTTCTAATGAGCAGTACTAAAAAGTAATGTCGAGTAACCAAATACTGAACAAGAAAGGGAAAAGAAAGGAGCAGAACTGTAGTGCAGGTTGTGCCGTTGGAGTTGGGAGCAATGGTCTTGCCAATTTACACCCGTTCCTTAAGTATCGTTCTGTAGCACACAGGAGGAGAAGGGGAGGGAGGAGGAGCCGCACACGACGTTTATTTGTCAAAAAGGTGCTGGCGTACGACGTACCAAAATTTTACTTGTGAAATGAGCACACGACATGGCCATGTTTCTCGGGCGGCTTACTGTAGACTGTTTGACGAGACAGTACTGGCGGGCAACGGAGACGCAGAGACGGCGTGGTTTGTGGGCAAACGAATCGGGCTTCCGTTGGCAGACGACAACGGGGGGAAACCAGTTCGGTTCGCAGACTAATTGTCATCGCTTTCGAGGATGCACTAATTAGCGACGGCAGAGGATTGAGGTGCTCGAAAAAAGTCCGAAAAGATTGACTTTTTATGGAGAACAGTGACGACAATGGCCACCCATGTAGTGTTGATCCAGAGAGCGCAGAGGGCAGAGTCTCGGAAAATTTCAGAATTTTCAATGGTTAAGATTCAGGATTGTTCTGGATAAAAATGTGTTCAGACGTTGGAAAACAATTCAAACTTCTGAAGAATGAAGAGTTCTCTGAAAGTTTCCAAACATTTGGTGTGGAGGCATCCACTGGAAATCTGGAACTCTGCAACTATCTGAAAATTTACTAAAACTGATCATTATACCCAATCATTTTGAAAGTCGTAACCTCCAAAGAACACATCTTTACACACAGTCGCGCAACATTAGCTTTTCATCTAACGTTTTGTGATTCTCTGTTTGTTTTATCTTTTTTGTGACAACCACCAGGACTATTCTCTATTCCTCTTTATTTTAATTCATCTTAGTCTTAAAGCGTTCACACCACGTTTAAAACTGATTTGACGCTTGAAACACACTGTTCCTGAATCCTGGTGTTCGTTTTGGACTTTTTCACATCCAACTAACTTTTTAGTGCAAGAGCACATGAACTACGGCAACTACGCTCGCTACAAATTTTGCGACCGTTGCCATTGTGTCAGAGCAAACAGTAGAAGATCTGACAAGAATCAAAAATAGTGTTGTAGGTGAGGAATGTTGATTTACAAGGAACAACGTTTCTTTTGACACCAGCTCGGGTGATCAGAATTTCGACGAAATCGCTGGTCGGTTTGTGAGAGAGAGAGTTTATTCTAGTTGTCCGTGTTGTGCGGTCGCAGAGATCAGTCACAAACGTTCTGAATGTTCACACGTTGATCTCATCTTTGCTCTCATTTTCCTTACTGTTTTGTGATTATACATAGTTCTTCGATGCACTTTGTAGCAAACCGTTTATTACTATCTGTGAAAATAAATCTAATTGAAGTGAAGTTTTTACATGTACAACAAATTGGAAATTGAGATACGCAAATCTTGTTTTTGAATATGTTCATAGTATTTGCCCTTTGTTTGCATCAGTTGCTTGTGGTTTTCGAAATCTTGAAGCCTTTCATTTTCAATGTACACAATAACATCGGAGTTTTGAATTGAAGACAGACGATGGGCGATTGTGATGCATGTACGGCCTTCTCTTGCGCAATCCAAAGCTTCTTGGACTGCCTGAAAGTATTATATCACAAATTGAATACATTATGAAATTGCGTACCCTTTCGGACTCAGAATCCAAAGCAAAAGTCGCTTCATCCGGAAGCAGAATTTTTGGATCTCTGACCAATGCTCTCGCAATGGCAATTCTCTGTTTCTGTCCTCCAGACAATTTCGATCCTTTCTCTCCCACATGCGTGTCTATTCCGGCTGGAAGATTAGCCAAGAACCGATTGGCATTTGCCAATTCCAGTGCCTGATTGATCTTTTCCATTGGAACCTGAAGTTTGTTTCATTACGTTTTCATCGTTTGTTGACTTGTGTTCTCACGTTTTCCAAGTCCAGACAAATGTTTTTTTTTGATGATGCCTGCAAACAATCGGGGCTCTTGACCGACCAGCGCCATCTTAGTTCGGAAGTGGAATAGGGATAGTTCCCCCCCTAGAAAGAGACTGCTTCAGAATCTTTTCCAGATGACGAACTTTCGTCCTTTATTCAGTTCCACTCTGTATCGCTCGACCATCTCTTCTTGTCCGTTGAAGACTTGCACAGTTCTCACACCCATCAATGACTCTTCTGCAATCGATCCTGCCTTTTCAACTCCACCAAGCTCTTTCACGGTTGTTGCGGTCAGTTGCTGAAAATGTTTACAATGAATCTATATTCTGAAAAAAGTGTTACGTACTCTTGCCATCAGAGACATGCAGCCGACACATGCTGGTGCAACTCCCAACATCATACTTGCAAGCCGCCATTCGTAGATGTAGCAAACTACAAAAGCGGAGATGAGCATTGCAACTCCGCGAAGAAGTACTCCAAGTTTATCTCCTATTCCTTCCCGAATTCTTTCCATATTGCTGAAATAACAGTTTTATTATTCTGGAGCATTTTGATGGTCCCATACTCGTTCAGTTTCGTAGCAATTACTCCCGAGTGGTTCTTATCAATCATCCAGCATTCTGTCTGCGCACTGAGTACACATATCGGTGTCTCATTTGAGTCATTATTCTCGAACAACAATGTGGAAAACACATGTTCTGTGAGCAAAAACCTATTTTGAAAAATGGTGTTTCTTTGATCCTACCTGGATGTAGTTTGTGACCGTCACAAATATACCGATGCCAATGAAAATGTAAATATTCTCGGTGGTCTTGTTCCGAAACTCTGTTGAGCGCGGTGCGTACACCAATAGAACATTAGTGATGCGACCACTAAAACCAATGAAACATTTTTACCATTCTCTGAAACGTAAGAAATAAGTGTGAATACAGGCTGTAAAACTCCGGATATGATTGCACAAATGACACCGATAAAGAGCAAAATGTAGTCAAATGCTTTTCCGTATCGAAATGAACCGAAAATCGAAACAGGACGAGTCGTGTAGGTTCGTTTTGCTACATTGCCTCTGAATATAAAACAACAATATGAAAACGGATTTTGCAAAAGTATGTACCTGCATAAAAGATAACCTATAAATCTGTCAAAACAAGACGGTTGATAGTCGTTGCGAATTTTATTGTTGTCTATGAAATCAATCGGGGCAGACGTTCCTTCTTGAATTGCGACATCTCGAGATTGTTCTGAAAGATTGAGTAAATTTGTGTCAATTCTGTAGGTTGTAGATGAGTGCACAATGTCTTTTGATCTTGTTCATTAGAGGTGCTCGCGCGGGAAAGTCCGCGCAGTCGAGAAAAGAACAAGGTAGACTAGGAGACGCAGACAGACTGATCAATGAAACAATGCTGCGTTCCCTAGACTTCTTGAGATGTTCTGTGTTTAGAATTTGGTCAATACCCATCCATAATCAGGCTCACAATCCCTAATGTTTTCCAGAGAACGTCCAAACTTTGTTTTACTTCCAGATTAGTTGTAATTTTGCCCATTTCCCTTTATTTTGACATATTCTTCTTGATTCCACTAAAAGCGCTCGCCAAAAGTCATTCCAGTCATTCACTTTGTGCAAATTCGTTGCAGTCTTCTCCCGCGTACTTTCAAATTAAGCCTTTTTTTTGCAGACACAAAGACATGGGACTCAACGGCCGTTTGCAATTGCGAATTCATCCTGCGACTTGCCGCTTCAAATTCGTTTATACAAGTGGTACGTTTTTTGAAGAAATTGATTGTTGGAGCCGATTTACGTAAAAAACACCGTTTTGGACTACGTTGATACTTTTCGAAATTTCAAACTTTTTCAATTACAGATCAATTGATTTCAATTCATCTACTTCCGATCCAGTTCATTATATATCAAACACATTTCCAATAATGTTTACATAATTGGCAATAGTACAATAACTTGTTCGCGCCTGCCTTGCCCAATGTGTACGTTTGAAGAGGCTCACCGGAAATAACCTGCCCCCCCCCCTCTTACTCTTTTCTTCCTTTTCGGTGCTCCGTCTGTGCAGCTACAACCTATTTGTGTAGTTTACTCAAGTTGCGGTGATTTCTTCTAGTCTGAGGTGCCGAACAACATGCGCTAAGTGGCAAGACGACACTATTTACCGTTGGATACTTGGTCTTTCCCGGGACAAATATTGAAAGGCAAACCCCTTTTTTTAAAGAGAAAAAATGACTGGGGGAATGAAAACTGGAGAGTTCGAGTTGTCTAACGGACTCAATATCAATCAATGGGAAAGAGTGAAGATCAGTTTGCACAGCTGTCATTCACGGAGAACGCCATTGGTCCCTAGCAGTGTTGAGCGGAATTCCGTCTGCCGTCTTCCGTCTTCCGTCTTCCGTGGTTTTTTTTGTTCCGTCTTCCGTCTGCCATCTTCCGTGAGAAAAGTTTTCTTCCGTCTTCCGTCTGCCGTCTTCCGTAAAAGAATGTTTCTTCCGTCTGCCGTCTGCCGTCTTCCGGGATTTTTTTTTCTTACCGTAAAAGAGTAATAGCTTTTCAAGAGCCATTTACTAGTCCCGAAGAACGCGAATTTCCACGGGCAGTACCCAGATCCAAAAAGTTTTTGTTGCATTAGTTATTTTTTTTCAAAAAAACCGGAAAAAAAGGCTCTGAATTGACGATTTTTTGTTCCGTATTCCGTCTGCCGTCTTCCGGGAAAAAAGTTTTCTTCCGTCTTCCGTCTGCCATCTTCCGTGAGAAAAATTTTCTTCCGTCTTCCGTTTTCCGTGTTCCGTAAGAAAAATTTTCTTCCGTCTGCCGTCTGCCGTCTTCCGTATTTCAAAATTCCACTTCCGCTCAACTCTGGTCCCTAGCTCGTTCTTTAGGGAAAAAAGACGGCCAAAACAAAAGAGCAGAGAAAACAGAAAAAGGAGAAGCAAAAAGGTTTTGAAATCCATCCCTCAATTGCCCAGGAAATGCTGGCCATAAAAGAAGAGCATTCTCTGGTTTCCGTGCGGAATGCGTTTAATTGTCGCAGATCCTTCAACTTTGATCATTCTCAAATTTGAATTGTTATCAACAGACTTTACTTTAGTTAATGAACTTCTCGATAAGAAACTGTCCTAAATGTTGCCATTTCTGCACAATTTGGCCATAGTACATAGTGTCGTTTCTTGCGAACAACATGTTAGAGTCCTTCCAGTTCCAAACATCTTGAAACAAGAGACGGTCAGTCAGAAAAGAGGCAGACAGGGTTTTCTGTCTCCACGTCAGTTGGTCGTTTCACCGTTTGCAGTCCTCGCCGTACTTCATCACGCCATCGCATGGCATGAATCGGCGTCTCTGTCTCTCTTGGACCGTCGCCTGTTCTACTTCTCTTTCTTCATTCTCAACTGACCTACGTAAAAGTGCTGCAGTCCGTTATCAGTTCACTCTCTCTCTCTCTCTCTCTCTCTCCCTCTCTCTCCCTCTCTCTTACCACTCCTTTTGACGGCGCACACGCCGAATTTTGTGTAGTGTCGCCAAGAATCTGACTGAAGTACACAAAACACTGATTATACACTCTTTTAATTCAGTTTGGAAACTTTTTTTCGGTCGACTGGAAACATTTCGTTCTTCCTGAGATTTCGAGAGCTGCGCATTGAGCCGTGAAGAAACACATCTGGTTGCGAGCACGTTTTATTCTTCTCTTCTTGTCCTTCTCATTGGTTTTTTAAATTCTAGTCCAGATTTTGTCCATTTCCGGATGTATTTGTATCCGATTTTCCTAGAGAACAAACTTTGAACATTGACTTTTTATTTGCCCGTAAAAGAATCATGCCAATACCATCTTCAAATAAAAAGGTCTAGAGAGTGTGTCCATCAAATTCCTATTGGCGGCTAAAGGAATCATTGCGATTGTAGCCAACGATAAAACATCACAAATTGATGCGCCAACCAAACTTTGCATCTTGGATCCAAGATCCAAGACACGTATGTCGACACGCTAAACTTTTGATTAATAGGTCCGTGTCCCATCCTTTCCCACTGTCCACACGTTGCTCTTTCTCTCACGCCATTTCTCCGATCAAAGTACGTTTGGGCAAAAGATATCCTAGGATGTTGAAGAAAACAAAACAAAAACAAACAAACTTTCTGGCTGCGATTCGATCAGTTCTTCTTCTTCTTCTTCTTCTTCTTCTTCTCTTCTTTTCCTCCTCCACTTTCAGTCGTCCTACTGTTTCTGTGGCCGTCCCCCATCCATCATTCCGTTATCAATTCTGTCTTTTCGACGAAAAGTGAAACCATTGCGCACTTTCCTTTCACTTTGAACTGCCCAGTGATAGGCCCTGGACAAACATCTTACAAAAACCGTGGCACGTTTCTGTCGTCCTTTCGCTTTCCCACTTTTCTCGTTTTCCTCCACCTGATGTAATGACAAATCACCCACGTGCGTCGATCGGTCGGAAAATTTGAATACACTGTGTACGCACGCAAGATCGAATGATAATGACCGCCTGTGTACGTCTTACACGTCGTACTTGTTCTCAAACTGGACACAAACGTTGTTTTTCCCTTGCTGTTTCTGTATTTTGTTGTTTCAGAAGGGCCATGACTTGCCGGATAACCGCTAAAGCGTGCAGTTTCGCACAGAGATACATTGAAGTATGGGAACATCTCCAAAACCTGATAAAAACGTGTCATTTTCTGTTCAGAACGACTCATTATTGACAGAGCAAGAATTGAAAAGATTGAAAGAGCACAAGTATTCGGCGGTGGATAACAGCTGGCTCGACGAGTTGTGTATGAAAAGGTAAACTGAATCTTAAACTAAAAACTTTATTGTTTGCCTTTCAGATGGTGGGAATTTGTGATAACTTTGTGTCCCATGTGGATCGCGCCTAATCTTATAACATTGATCGGATTGGTCATCAACCTTATCACTGTTCTCGTTCTTTCCTCGTTTAGTTATTCGGCAACCGAACCAGTGAGAAGACGAATAAAACACTGAATACATAAGTCGGTTCCAGGCTCCCGCGTGGGCGTACTTACAAGCTGCTCTCGGCCTTTTCTTCTATCAAACTTTGGATGCAATTGACGGAAAACAGGCAAGAAGAACGGGTTCCAGCTCTCCGCTAGGAGAACTTTTCGATCACGGATGTGATTCTATGACTCAGGGTGAGAGTTAAAATTAATTACAAATTAATTATTTGCTTCTTTTCAGTCTTTGTGACCCTCAACATCTGTTACGCAATGTCATTGGGAACAGTGTCAAATGGAGTCCTCATGGTTTCCGTCATTTCTGTCGTCATGTTCTACTGTGCTCACTGGTCCACCTACTGCACCGGACAGTTGAGGTTCTCCAAGTTCGACGTGACCGAAGCACAAATGTCGGTTATCAGCGTTCTTATTTTCACCGCTTTATTTGGACATGGAGTCTGGGAAACAAACCTTGTAAGTTTGACGTTTGTCAAAAATGTCAAATGCACGAAACAGAATGTATCAGACTTGTCGTTGGGGGTTTTAGTACTAACATCTTGAAACACTATTTTTGAACCAAATTGTTTTCCCAAAATTATGCCTTTTGTACCGTTTTGTAACTTTGAGTCTGAAAAATACGTTTTCCGGCTTGTGCTAGCTAATTTTAATTGAAAAACTGAAATTTTCCGAGTAAAAAAAAGTGTATTTTGAATCCGGGTCGATTCTGGACAAGTTTGGATAATGATGATAATATTTCAGATTTTTGGATACACTCTCAAACACCTTGTAGTGATTTGTTCAACTTTAGTATCGTCTGTTCAAATTTACGGATACATTCATGTTATCTTCAGCGGAGGTGTTGGAAAGAACGGATCCACTATTGCGGTCAGTACTTTGAACCCTTAGTTATCAATCAATTTGCTTTCAGGGTACTTCTGTGATCTTCCCGCTCTTCCCTCTTCTCATGGTCATCGTTCCATTCGTCATGATCTACAGTAAAACTGATTCGACAGTGTTCGACGACCATATCACACTTTTCTCGTTGTGCTTCGGAGCTGTCGGTGAGTAGTTCCCCGCAGCTTGTTTTGCCATAAGTTGTGCCTGAATTGTGTACGAAACAAACTAGCGTTTCCGGTGGTTTTGGTTACGTAGGTGCCTTCTTGACAGGATAATGACCCTTGTTATCTGTGAATGAACTACGTCAGCAAGGAGAGGTTACCCTCTTGAAAGCATAAAGTTCATAATCATTGTCTCAAATTATAGGAGCGAAAGCAACAAACCGATTGGTGATTGCCCATATGTCAAAAAGTGAGCTCAGACTTTGGGACTGGATTTACGTTGGACCACTTGCCCTCATGCTCAATCAGTATTATAATTATGTGTTCGACGAGTATTTCCTGCTTTGGGTGGCTACAGTAAGGAGAATAGAATAGGATGGAAGAATGAAAAGTTTCATAATTTCAGATTTACTGCTACGCATCCCTTTTTGTATACTGCACAGTGGTTTGTCGACAATTCTGCGAGTTCCTGAACATTTACATCTTCGTTTTGGGGCCTAGAAAAGCAAAGTCTAATTGACTAGTTTTAGAAGACGTATGAGTGTCCTTTCGTCATTCGTATACATGAAAACAGTTTTTCAGGTCGAGCCCAACAAATTTCTCAACAATCGAATCCTGCTGGGCGGTTTCGACGAAGACGACCTGTTAATCGTTTAGTTCATTCATTCATTCTCCATCGTCATTTCCATCCAGTTGTATTGCCTTTTTCGCCCTTGACAAGTTGGGCCCCAATCCCGGCTACAGTATAATAATATTCTTCCTATTTTCTTTTCTTTTCTTCCCTGATCATATTTTGTCGTTTTATACGTGTAAATAAGATGTTTTCTATTTTTGCTTGTCTCTATTCCTTCTTTTCTTTCCAATCGGATTCCGAGACTGCGTAGATCAAAGAAGAGAAATGAACGAGTCCGTTGAAAATGAGAGGATTACGAAAGAAAGAAACAAACAAACCCCTGGGATATATGAGTAACATGTTGATCTTACGAGCACAAACACCAATATTTTTCTTTAATCTGTCAAAAATCACAGATTATTGCAGAAATATCCCAGCTGCAATAAATTTTATAATATTTTATTCGATTTATACTGAGAGGTTAACAGTGAACCCGTGAGTTCAAACAGGAGAGAGAGAGAGAGAATGGAAAATAAAAAAAAAGAAGAAAAGAGGAGTGCGTGAATTAGAGATGGAAAATCACGTTTCACCTCTAGTCAGTGGCATTTAAAGGCTGGTGTCTATCATGAGAAGATGCACATTTCTCGAAGATTAATTGATTCACACACAACTAGGCAAAAAAAAACGAGTGACAGAATTTATGATCCTTTTGGGTGCACACTGAGAACGCTAACACTTATTTTCTTCGACTGGATGGCTGGGTGGACAAAAAAGGAAACAAACACTACTCTCGTATCCTGAACACTTTCTAGCCTCTTGAAACCAAAGTTAGTCAGGGATGATGTGAACGTGACTCGGCAATTTCTTTCAAAAGGAAGAGAGGTGGAAAATAAATAAGAATACATTGAATAATTATGCGACTGGGGGCAGAGTGAGGGGGAAGAAACATCATCATCATCAGCTGAATGGGAAAGAGAGAAAGAGATGCAACTGGGAGGAAGTGAACTATGCGGGGCGAATGAGGAAGGAAGAGCAACGAAGAGAGCAATTGTGATGTCATCATTGAATACTAGGAAACTGGCGTCAGAATGCGATAAATACACTGTATAATCACAAATAGGAGCGTTTCAGAATACCATTCGCGGCAACCGGTATTTGAGTCCATTGAATGGGGATTGATAGATAATGCAGAGAAAATTATGTCTTAGAAGGCAAGGTTGACAGTTTCAGGGACCGATTCGACGATTAGATTGGTATTTCTGCTTTGATCGTGTACACGAAGTCTTCGTCGCCGTCTGCATTCGCGTTCGCCTGAAACAATATCAGCTAATTTTGAGATTCAGCGGTTACGGTAGCTACCTGAATGACAGGTATGCAAGCTAACGATATAGTTTCTATATGCTCTCGGAACGTGTTGCAATGTTCATCCCACATCAAGACTCGGACCTGGAAAATTAGACCTCACACTTTTCAGACTTTCTGAAATTCGCACTTACTTGATACCGAAGGTGTTCACACTCGAAAATGCGTCTGCCTACCAGTTTCGGATTCGGTCTGGGACAGCTGCATTTGACTTCTGTGAGCGCAGCTGGTAGTCGCTGAAATTTAGTTGAATTCTATGCAACGTCATCATTCTCATGATCTCACTCTTGGATTGTAGTTGAGAACATATTCGAACTTGCAAAGTGCCCTTTCCCTCAAAGGCGTCTCTGCGCTGATAGTGTCCAGTTTCTTACTGTTACACTTGGAAGAGCTCTTCGTGATCTGCTCACCGTGCTTGAGTCCCTTCGTCTGCAAACATCACTCGTCACGTTTTTCCATCGTCATGTACCCCCAACCCCCAAGTGTGCTACTTAATCTCACAGATTTACACATTCAATGAGAAAACGAATGAATGAATGAGTGAAAGAGTTGCAGCCAAAGTCTGAATATGAATGGTACCCCTACCCCTCGAAGAGAAGAACTGCTCAGAGATCAGCATCATAACAATGACATCATTTGCAGTGAATCGAGACATATCCCTACACTCCAGCAACGATCGTTCAAACGCTCGAGTAAAATATTCAGCATTTTGACTTTGACTGATTAAAAATTACTGGTTGGCATACAAAATGTTTCAATGGTCAGTTGGAAATGTCAGATGAGATGCACATCTATATCTCATCTCCCACCTACGCTTGAATTTGTCCCCCCACCCTCACAAGATGATAGAAATGCGTGAACGTACCTGCAGCCTGAGAATGGCCTGTTGATAGGAGGGCGCGATCGGTGAATAATGCGACGAGTTCTTGCGGTTCAAAAAGTTCGAGAACACCTTGTAGTGGTTGTCCTCGCTGTACTTGTGATAGCACTCCTCCGCCGGCATTATCTCCTCTTCTTCCCCAACAAGATCTCTTCGTATCCTCCACGAACTGAAAAAGTGCGACTGGTTGTTTTTAGTCTCATTCAATTCCAAGAAAGAAACACTTTGCCACGGCTCGAATGATGTCTTTTTCAGGGTATTTCGGTCGAGACATTCCAGAAAACGTTTGCCAGACTTGTGTTCTTATTCTTCGTGTATAGACTGACAGACTTGACAAATCTGTTCCGACAGACGTCTCGATCAAAAACTAGGCCTAGAGTCTCCCTGCCCTGTTATTCCACTTTTTTGAAGTAAAGTCTAATCCGAGCCGAACCTTTTTAATGTTTTCCCATAACTCGAGAAAAAAGTCTGCAGACTGAGTCACAGTGTGATCTGTTCGTGAAAATAGCATAAATTATTTACAATAAACAAGTCTGTGTTTGAGCTGACCCACTTTCAGATCAGTTAAAGGAGCTCAAATACATCACAGGCCGCTTCTAATCCAGAAAAATCCTATTTTGATCTGGTATCCTATCATCACCGACTTATTTTTATTTCACGTCGTCTTCGAGTCAAGTCTTGCAGATATAATAAATAACATAGACTCACTTGGATGCAAGGGCCAAATGTGTAAGAAGAACGATGATCGGGTAAAGCGATTGCAGACTTGTCCTGTGCGGAGATTTTGACATATCTGAAAAAGAAAACAAAGAATATTTGGATTCATCAAAGCGTGTTGGCACAACAAAGACAAATTGACGTTAGCGTAAAGGAACGAGCTCAATTTCAAGGGGATGGCGTCAATTCATTGAGAGAGATCACAGGATTATAAGTTTCTTGGCTGTAATCTCGAGACGTCAGAGTACAAAATCAGCACCTTTCGTCTTGAATGAAAAAAACGTGCTTTCGTTCGCGAACGTGAGCGCAGACGGACGGATACGGGCTCCGCCCAGCTCCAGAAGCGCCTCTCCTCTCGTTTTTGTAGGAGACTTAAAAGATTGAACGACAAACGTGGAAAAGGCCGGCCATACTCCCTCGCTTTTATGGTCGACGTCAAAAAAGGCTGCTTGAGAAGAGGAGAGAGATAAATTGAGCTGTCTGTTGCGATCCCCCCGAAAAAGGAGAGTGGAGTTGAAGAGGTGGGCCCACTTCTGACGAACAAAAAAGCCAACGAAAAAAGGGAAGCCAACGTAGGAGGTCGTATAAACTTGAGAGTGAAAAATCGGTTGCAACACAACACAACCGCACAGCTATTTTCGGATTTGGAATTCACTACCGTAGTCAGAGGACACGTATGCAGTGATCAGTTGGTCGCACTTTTAAGTTGTGTTTAGCGTGAAGGTGTTCGAAAAACATACGTATTCGGCAACGAAAAACTAATTTTAGGCGTTCCGAAGAAATGTAACTGAACGACGTTCGACTTGGCCGTCATAACGTCACATACTCGTTACAACACGAGCCAAAGAACACCTGGAGGGAAGGGGGGAAAACTGTCTGGAAGTGACATGAGTAGGCGGGAGCAATCCGAGTCCGCGAGCGCGAGCGCGACGGATGAATGGCGTCGGAGCCAAAGCAGAAAGCGAAGAAAGAACTTTGAGAATCCATGAATATGTATGAATGAATGATATGAATCAACGTTTACCTTGTCGCTAGCCTTGTGATCGAACTTTTAGGATGAAAGTGAGAGTCAGAAGAGAAATTATTTAGTATTCTGCTTGTTTTTTTCATGCTGAGATCTTCTCGCACACACTGCTCTTAATGAATGAAGGCCACGGGTGAATGAGATTAATAATTAGAATGGTTGACCAAAAAGTTGGAGGGCGTGGGGTTCGGTAAGCCTCTTAGATTTTTGGGAGTCAGTTTCCAGCTGCTCCCGAAAAATCAGTCGTTTTCAGAACAGCGTCGTCAGGTTCTTTTTTGGTATAGAGAATGATTCGTTGAACTCGAAGCCTTCTAAACAGAAAGATCAGCTGCAAAGAGCTGCCGGGACCATTCCAAAACCGCTATTTTGAGCGTTGTGTCGTCATCAATGACCCCGTCGAATTTCCAGTGAAACAGATAAAACGGGCGACCTTTTTATGCGGTCCCCTCCCACCCGAAAACTTTTCTCCTATTCATAACACACCGATGACACTCCACACGCGCGATGGGCAATGAGAAGAGTGTGCGCGGACAGAAATAGCTCAGAAAATGTTACCGAATTTGTCTGGATTAGACACTTTCAATCAGTGCCTTTCGTTGATCAAACGGCAGAAGAATAAGAGGAAAAAGACAAAGAAGAAGCGGAAAAGAGATAAAAGTTGACGTGATGCGATGGAGCCGTCAGTCGTATTTTGTTAACGTTCACCTAATTCAAAGATTTGCATTTCCGGGCCACGTTCAGCTGAGCGACTCGAGACTAAGGTTCGGCGAAAAGAAGAACGCACTTGCCGCCTCCTTTTATGCTGATTCTCACTAGTGGGAGGAAAAAACAGACGAATGAAAAACATCTGGGAGGGTGATGAGCCATAGGTATGGTAAATAATTCAACAGGAACTGATACATTTTCATGAATATAATCTCGCGGCCGAACAGGGGCGAATGAAATAAGAAAAATGAGAGACCAGAAAATGAAATGAAGCCACGCAGGAAAGTTTAGACAGTTTATTTTGTTTCTCTGGACCGACCAGCCCCCCTTAATCCGAGGAACCCACGCGAAACATGACATTGCACTCAGGGGCTTCTTCTCCGGTTTTTGGAATACGAATACGAATTTCAATTCGAATTAGCTCAAAACTGACGGTGAACTGAGTCAAGGGGGAGGAGGATTACGGCTTTCGACGTGAGCCGTGTTTCTCTTTCTTTTTTTGGGACTCCACTTTCCCCCCACCCCCGACCCACATCATCTTGGGCCAATTAGAATGACCATTGGGTTGGTTGTGTTGAAATAAAACACTAATGATGAAAACAGATGTCTGCAAAAAAGGAAACAAATAGAAAAATAGGGTGAAGTTCAACGGATTCAGCAAAATTAGTCACCTGAACATCGAACAAAAATTGAAAAGAGACAATGACACATTCGAGCTTTAGAAAACAAAACATAATCTACCATGGAGTTCGACAAACCAAACCTCAAAATGCTTGAAACTTCACCTGCGCCCATGTAGTTCAGTTATAAGACGTAGAAATGAGATGCGTGACGAGGGAACTCATAATTCGATATACATATACATAATATTCACGCAATGAACTCAAAAACAATCAGACCAATAAGTTTATGGATATGCACATAATTGGGGGTTCAAACTACAATAATTGCCATAAAGAACTTTTTTCCCGTTTTTTTTCTCGTTTCGAGCCGAGCTGAACTAGTTTGATTCGAAAAATGGCTTTGTTTTGGGGCAAATCCACTAGATCATGACAAAAACAGAAAACAGAAAAACGTGACTTTCTGCCCGGATTGTATCTTTTCGGGTCGTCTTCAGATACCCTGTTAGCTTCTGTCTGATCTGATTTGATTCGAAGAAAATGTTCATAGTTAGCCTACAAAAGGCAATAACATCAAGTCAAAAGTCTACAAACTACGGAAACTTTCAGAGATCAACTATGAATTTCGTGCAATTAAAACACTAAATTATGCAGACTCCAAAGACTTTTGTGACATCATAACACACATACACTCGGCTCGGCGACTAACTCGCCTTCTCCTGAACTTGTTCAAGTGTCCAAGGATACACGTGCCAAAGTAATCTTATGTGCTAATTGTATTGCCCCGAAACTGAACACAATTCAATTTGCCACCGATTTTTTCTTGACGGCAAAGAGTGAATTGGCGATTCACAGGAACACGCTCAAGGCTCGACTAGAGAACGCGAAAAACGAGTCCGACGGAGGCGAAAATCCTCGAAAAGAAAGGAAGTGGCGCGTCAAGGTTATAAACTCGTCATGGAGTAATGAAATCGAATCGAATCGCGACGAGTTAGAGGTGGTCTTCACGCTTTTTCCATCACGATAGGCCATTGGGAGACGTCATTTTTTTCCTTTTTGCTCAGAGGAAGAGAAGAGTAATGACGCGACTTGAAACGAAACTGAACAACTCTATTATATTCTTCCAGAGAATGAAAAAAAAAGATTATAATGAGTCGATCTTTGTTTTTATGATGTTGTATCTGAACTATGTGCGGACCCCGACCGTTTTTCTTCATTGTCTATAGTAGTAGGTAGACATGAATTAGGGTCGCTGCGGCTCGATGTGGAAATAAACCCGGAAATTCCAGATGAAGTACACGATGGGCTGAACAACCTGCTATGCTGCTTTATTCTTCCAAAAAACAGCCAGATGATCGATCTTCTCAAGTCTTGCCCTTATAAATGTCTTAATGCGCAATTCCGTGAACCATCTTTCTAATTCCAGTGATGGTGGGAGCGAATGAAAAGGCGGAGACGTCATTTTTCAGGTCGCGCAGAGAAATTTAGTTGATCCGGAAGAGACCAAGGAAAACAGAAAACAAATTGGCTTTATTCCATTCCTTTTCCCATTTTTGATTCTGCGAAGACTGCACCCATGATTGGGGTTCGTATTATTCAGGTGAAAATTGGGTGCTAGTGTAAAACTAGAGTCTCTTTCAGACTTCCAGGAAAAACAAGAGTTCCCTAAAATAAAGAAGGGTCCCCAGTCAGACTTGGCCAAAAAATTCAAAAAATTCAATTGTTTTTTTAAATTCTTCATCTACTCTTGTATGTATTGTTGATGAGAGTCACTGACATTTGGAAACGAAAAGCTGAAAACAATTGAAACAAATTGGCGAAATTAGAGAGCGAGAGCCTTTCAAAATAAAAAAGGCACCAAACACCCATCCAAACGAAGTGAGTGGGTTAGCCGAGTTGTGCTTGAACATCAGCTGCGTGGATTGTGATCAGCTGGTCCGACACGGTACTCAATTACATAAATGTTTCACCTGCTCCCGGTCGAAACGTGGTTTTCTATTTAAACTTGGCGCTCGCGCTTGCCCTTTTGTCAATGAAATCATGACCATAACAACGTTTCGCCGTCGGCGCACGAGGGGTATACCCGCTGATAAGAGAAGCGCACGGAAAACGGTCAAGACGCATGCGGCTCGGCTCCTTGACCACAAGAAAGTAGGGGGTGGAATTTGAATTTGGGTGAGTGACTGACTCTGTCTTGAGCTGCCTTAGTGAGTTTAAACTACGTAGGATCTTGAGAACAGTAAAATATCTCAAAATAGACACTGGCATTCAAACACTTGTATTTCTTCCTAACAAGTGCTTCGATGGGATACTGTAGTGACAGAAAAATATCGGGGGGAAACCCCGCGATCGGTTCTGACACTTCTGACTTGTACGTGTTAGGATTCCATATTTGGCTCTCGTCGACTTCATTTCCGAACTTTAATATCCAACTCGGCTTCAATCAAATTTCAAAGAAGCCCTATCTGGTACATTCCGAAGGTCACGATCCCCAGATCAAATCCGATCGTTGTGCACGTACATTATTCCACAAGATACGGGGATCAATGTGGCAAGACAAGATACGATTGGTCACAATGTAGAAGAAAGAGTCGAGAGGGTGTGTGGGTGGAGCCCGAAGGAGCCGCGTACTCTTATCTTATCGTTTAAAGACGAGTTGTGGTCGGTCGGCGTCGTGAACCATCTCATTTGTATTCGGCGTTGACCACAACATCCCTCATACTATTGATTTCCATTTCTCTTTTCTGTGTGGTTTCTGTTCTGTTTTTCTAGTCTACCGTAGTTCGACTTCTTCCCTTGAACTGCTCGTCTTATTTCTAGCGAAACATTCTGTGGGTGTCTGGGAGGAACTGAGGCTTGGCTAGATCCAGTTCTTAAGGAATTGAAATTAAACAAAACCTGGTGTAATCTCCGTGCAAACGGATGCATTTTTTCGTTCCTTATCACTAGGATTTCTACGAAACGATTATTTTTTGCACCCCTCACATGAAAACCATTCGGTCAGCACAAAGTTCTCTGATCGGATCGCAAAAATGTGTATGACGTGGCACCTCTTCTCCGCGCACCTAGATCTGGTGATTATCATTGTCTTTTTGTCTCTGTTTCCAAATTGAATTGCAAGTCGAACACGGACTGCGGAACCGGATTGGTGCGTGGAGGAAGGAAGGAAGGAAGGAAGGAAGAGATATATGCGCGAATAGGCGGACTAGGAGTGACAACGTTTATTTCAATATATCGCTTAGGGTCACCTCCTTTCTTTTCCTCTCTCCTCTCTTTATTACAAAAAGGGCTGCAATGCTTTGTGGCAAAATGTGGTGCAATAGGGTCTAACAGTTTGGGCTGGTATAAAAAAGTGGATAGAAGGGATATTCTTATTCTCATTCTCTTCAACTTTCAAGCCAAAGTACTCACTCAGTTAGCTTTCAGGTCTTAGTGACAATGTTTCGAGCGACGAAGTGTTTGCGAGTGCCACTGAGAAATTCTCAACTGAACATTTTGCGCCCATCGCAGGTAAACAATACTTGAGATTCAATTACCATTCAAACATAACTTCTTAAAGACCGAACTTATCAAAACGCGCTCGACAGCCTTGGCCCACTACGAGAAAGTCAGCCCGATTGCAGCTGTGGGCGCCACTCCAGTCGGTGATGCGAATGGCAACTACTCGTGAGTTCCGGGGGGTAAAACTTTAAAAAGAAATGAAATGGTTTGAATCAGATGTGAGAAACTAGTATCAGAATAGCACAGGTTCTGAAGAAAAGAAAAAACAGATCGCACTACAAATGAAAGTGCGAAGCTTTCTGCAAAGATCCAAGTTCAAATTGACGTGTTTGTAGCTCTCCCAACCATATACACCACACCAAAAAACATTTCTGGGCTTATTTCATGACTTAACTCAATGCAAATGCCATCATATTTTTAAATTTCTGGCAAAAGCGCTATAAATCAACGATCTACGCGTATTTGTTCGGCGTTAATGTTGATCACTTATGCTCTAAAGCCGAGATTAGAAACGGAAAAGAGGGAGGGGGAAAAGAAGAGGTCAAAACTGATAAGGAAATGTTTTGGGGGAAAGTGCATAAAACAAAGAATTCCGATTAATAGTTTCAGCACGAAGACGAGACAGAAGCATCCACTGATCAGCACCAGAAATGATTTGAAGAAAGCGCAGAGGGTTGTGGTGAAGCTCGGAAGTGCGGTGATTACCAGAGAAGACGAATGTGGGTTAGCCCTTGGACGATTGGCTTCAATTGTTGAACAGGTCAGTGAATGTGGGCAAAATTGGCCAAAAAAATGGGTGGCCCTTTTTTGAGCCTCAATTATATTATGCTATTTCTGGCGCTTGTGCTGCTCGCCTCCATGCTCTGAACGCAGTTCAAAATAAAGTGGCCCGGAAAAGTGCGCTGAGCTTTTGAAATCGAAACACAAAATATTGTTGTTCGTGTTCAATTCATTTTAGTGGGCTGCAATATAGAAGACATTAAAGGAAAAAGTTCAAGACATTCAAATACCAAAAGCACCTACCCGGCACTTATAATTGAATGTGATGGAGATCTTGTCTGAGAATGGGAATGCTTAGTGTGGGTTGAATGTTCCGATGAAGTATGAATGTGTCAAAAATCAACACTGTAAATGAGAATACGAAAACAGAGCTCATCTCGCGATTACCGTATTATTAAAACAAAAACAACACGAAACGGAAATCTTCCGTTTCTCCCCTGTCAGGTTTACGAGTTAGGAATATAAGTTGAGTGCCATTAAAGCCGAGATTAGTCAGCAAAATCCGTGTTATTTTGGAAAAAAAAAGAGAGCAAATTCTTTGCAGGTTTCGGAATTGCAACAGTCGGGAAGACAGATGCTGATTGTCTCGTCTGGAGCCGTGGCTTTTGGTAGACAAAAACTCAGACAGGAACTGGTTATGAGCATGAGCATGCGACAAACACTCAGGTAATACCAAGAACTAAATAATAGCAGTCTTGACTTCTGGTAATGTTATCCTGAGTTGCCAAAATCTGAGCGGATCAGACAGACATAAATGTTAACATTTTTGAATTAGAATAAAATTATGAAAGAATAAATAATTTCAGAGGACCATCCGGAATGACAGCCGACAAGAGGGCGTGTGCGGCGTCTGGAATGCCGGGACTCATGTCCTTGTACGAGCAACTCTTCCAGCAGTACGGCATCACCGTCGCGCAAGTTCTACTCACGAAGCCGGACATCGACGACGACCAGAGAAGAAAGAACCTGCAAGCGACTATCGAGAGTCTTCTTTCTTTGAACATTATTCCAATTGTGAATGCGAATGACGCAGTCGCGCCAGACCCAAAGCTGAACATGGTGAGTAGTGGGTACCGGAAATGAAATGAGGAAGTGCCGGTGCGCGTCGTGCATTATAATTGTCGTCTGACATCATCAAACAACAGCTATTCTTCTTCGTCCTTTCTTCTTCTTTTTCCTCACTTCCGTTTGCAGCACATTTCGGACAACGACTCCCTCGCCGCCCGTCTCTCGGCCGAAATTGAAGCTGAACTTCTTATCATCCTCTCGAATGTGAATGGCGTCTACACGGGACCACCCGACCTCGAGGGATCTCGCCTCCTCCACACCTATGTGCCATCGGAAAACTCGGGCGTCACATTCGGAGCGAACAGCAAATTTGGAACAGGTGGAATGGAGAGCAAAGTAACGGCTTGTGTGACTGCTCTGAACAATGGAGTGACTACTGTGATCACCAACGGACTTGCTCAAGATGCGATCACTGATGCAGTCGCCGGAAAGAAGATTGGAACCATGTTCTGCAACACGAAGGGATACGAAGGACCACCAATTGAGGAGGTCGCTGAAAAGTGTATGTTTGCTTCTTGCATTTTCATTTTATTCCATTTATCTTCTTTTTAGGCCGTGACGCAGGACGTCAACTTGCCGCTCTTTCAAACAAAGAACGCGGCGCAATGGTCCGTCATTTGGCTGCTCTTCTTTTGGACAAGGAAAAGTACATTATCGAAGCGAACAAAACCGATCTCGCCAATGCGAAATCTTCGGGACTCGATGCTCAACTTCTCAACAGATTAAAGATGACTCCGGAGAAGTTGCAGGACCTCCACGCCGGCCTGAACACCATCGCGGACTCCGCAGAAACACTTGTTGGACGTGTTCTCAAAAAGGTCAAGGTTGCCGAGGGACTTTTCCTGGAACAAGTGACTGTTCCGATCGGCAGCTTGATGGTGATCTTCGAATCGCGACCTGATTGCCTTCCACAAGTTGCTTCTCTGGCTATGGCTTCTGGAAATGCACTTTTGCTGAAAGGAGGAAAAGAAGCAGAGGAAAGCAACAAAGCTCTGCACTCGCTGGTGCAGGAAGCATTGGGAACACACGGATTTGAAATGAGAGATGCTGTCACACTGGTCAGAACGAGAGAAGATGTTGCCGATTTGCTCCAGCTCAAGGTATACAAAAAATTATAGTCTAGAACTTTAAAACGTTTTTGTTCAGAACTTGATCGACTTGGTGATCCCACGTGGCTCATCCGAACTGGTCCGTTCAATGCAAGAGAAGAGCAAAGGTATCCCAGTACTCGGACACGCCGAAGGAGTTTGCCACGTGTACATCGATAAGGATTGTGACGAACAAAAAGCGATTCAAATTGTGCGTGACTCCAAATGCGACTATCCTTCTGCTTGCAATGCTGCCGAAACTATTCTCATCCACAAGGACTTGGCCACTGCACCATTCTTCGATTCCCTTTGCTCCATGTTCAAGGCAGAGGGGGTCAAACTTCATGCCGGACCAAAACTTGCCGCTCTTCTTAAATTCGCGCCACCACCAGCTGAGAGCATGTCATTCGAGTACGGATCTTTGGAATGCACACTGGAAGTTGTTGACAACGTCGAGGAAGCCGTCGCTCACATCATCCGTTATGGATCTGGTCACACGGAGTCTATAATCACCGAAAACAGTGAGTTATTCCCTCTGAAAACGGATGCATTTATCTAATTGCTATTTCTTTTCAGCCGAAACTGCCGAACACTTCCTCAAGCACGTTGACAGCGCGTGTGCATTCCACAACGCATCCACCAGATTCGCCGATGGATACCGATTCGGACTTGGAGCGGAAGTCGGCATTTCGACAGGAAGAATTCATGCTCGTGGACCGGTTGGAGTGGAGGGACTTCTGACGACCAAGTGGTTGCTTAGAGGAGAAGGCCATCTCGTCGAAGACTTCAAAAACGGAAAATACTCGTACATTCACGAGAACCTCAACCCAAGCGAGATCTTCCGAGCGCTCGACGCAACTGCCGATCTAAAGAAATCCGCTTCTGCTTGAAAAAGAAATCGTCAATTGTCTTATTATTTAATCACCTCTGGGTTCTACACTATATTTGTATGTACGTCTGCGTCCGTCAGAAGAATGAGCAATTCATATCTTAAAATGCAATTTTATCGACTACTTTGCTTTGAATTTTCTGACAAGATGAATAAAACTTTTCATATCAAATGCCCAAACGTGATTTTATAGACTGCCACTTATGTGTTCGCAGAAAAGGAATGAATGGAATCTTGATGAGAAATGGGTTTTAACTCAAAAGTTATACTAATAGCTGAGTAAACGAAAGCTTCTGTTCACTGCACAGTGCATGTTTTCGCAAAACGAACACATAATAGGATTCTGGAAAATCTGTAAGATTAAGTTATACGTAAATTGAATAGAAACCTAATTATTTGAACGTATAAAAACTCGCCATGTCCATTTTTCTGACCGCTCAGAATAATGGAAAAAATAATCCAGTTCACACAGTACCTCGGATTCGTCTCCGCTCAAATCGTCAACATGTTGCTCCTGTATCTATTGTTTACGAAAGCTAACAGCAGTTTCGGAAGATACCGTATTCTGATGATTGTTTTTTCGGTGTACGCCATGGTTTATTCCTTTGTCGAAGTTCTTACATTTCCCGTAAGATTCAGTTCCTTAAAAATATGGAAAATTTAGTTAAGGTAATGTTTTGCAAGGATAGATCATTTATAGTATACTCGGATGGACCTCTGAAACTGAATAAGCCCGTTGGAGTATTTTTAATTTGTATGGCAATGTGTTAACATGTGTAAACCTTTGTAAACCTACCTTTTAGCTATGTATTGTGGTTCGTTTGGTTTGTGCATTTCCTTACTGGCTCTCCAATTCTTTTACAGATACATTGCAGTGTGCAAGTACATACGTTCCAATGTTTTTCTTTAACAATTGTTCAAATTTAGGCCTGACAAGCTGTATTATTTTGACGGAAAGCGCATTACATTATCATTTATTCCATGCTTAACAATATTTCTAACATGGACCCTTAATGTCTACGTACTAATGGCTCCAACACACGAAAAAGCCCAACATTATCAGTAACAGATTGCAAACGGCTCTTCAAAAAAAACTGTTTTTCAGCAAGGATCTGCTAACATATTTCAAAGCAGATTCGTATAAAGTTTCTTTCATTTCTGCGCTTTACAAGGTAGAGTTTCACAAACTCTTTTCAATTATAATAATGTTCGGATTCAGTCACCGGATAACAAAAACGGGCCAGGGAAATGGCATCCATCGCAGATCTTGGGATGCGTTATTACCTGTACAAAGATGGCTTTCTGTTTATCCACTATTGTGTTCTGTGGCATTCGAGCTATTCGACAGATGAAGAATTGTGGTACGCAAATGAGTACCAAAACGAAAGAGCTGAATAGACAGTTGTTTATAACTCTCGGAATGCAGGTGGTTTTGACATTTGAATCAAAATAATGAAGTGGCGTCTCCAGACTCTTCTTCCATATTTCACAATGTATCTTCCTGTCGGTTGCTTTATTATTTTTCCGCTTTTTGGAATTGACCTCGGAGTGGAGGCTAATAAAACGGGAGCACTAGTCGGACTCTACCCCGCATTGGACCCATTGATTGCCATTTTGCTCATCAGAGATTTCCGAAATTTTGTATTCTGTCGTCAAAAACGTGACTTTAAAGTGAAGACAACTACTGGAATGTCAACAATTGAAAAATCAAACTCAACTTTCCAGAGGTCATAAGTTTTGTACCAAGTGTGCATACATGTAGACATATTTTGTTAGAAGTCACGGAAAATGTGTTTATTGATGTCTGATAAACTTGGATTATTTGTCCGCGGAACTGAACCGATCATATGATGTCTACCCCCATTATCCATAAATCACCAACCCGTTTCGCAATAAAGTTTTGGCAAGTCAGGTCGGCTGACCAAGCGCATCACATTTCCTCGTTCTCATTCGCCAGTGTGACTAATCTTTTAGAGGAAAAAGTCAAACGATCAGATTTGTGCCCGGCAACCCAAATATTGAGAGAAGGGCACAAAGAGATGAGTCAGAGATTGTGGATATACGTGGCGTGGAAAACGGAAAGCTCTAGGTCAAACTAAATACTCAAACTGTTGTTTACCTTTGTAATGAAGTGGAACTATAAAACAATCGACTGCTCGGTCAACAACTTCACACGGCAAAATGAATTATTATTTCCTTTTATTGGCTCTCATTGCCTCGATTATCCCTCAAGAATCTGAAAGCGTCTGCGTGAGCCGACAGACCGATTGGGGACAGTTCGGTTCTTTCTTCACGGATCCACTGTGCGATGTGTGGTGCAGAATCCGAGTGAGTGTTTTTCCAACTTATCGATCTAAAATTCTCAATTTCGCTTATCAAATTCTGATGGCATTGCAGAGATGCGGAGAAGGCGTTTGCAGGGAAAGCAAGAATGAGAGGAATCGGGCGAATTGTGTCTGCGAAAAGTGCTACAGAGACGACTGGGGAAACGTGATCTACTCGCAGGATGATTATTACGAACCGTCACGTCTCAACTTCGACAGAACTTCCGCTTCTCCGTCGCGTTCTCAGAATCAGAGAAGTCAGGACAATTTGTACCCCAGCCAGAACAACTACAACACCGACAACTTTGCTATATAAATAAACGGTTTTGTTGAACTTGAACTTCATCCAAGATCTGAACTTTGTCCGAGATCTATTCGCCACAATTCTGAAGGGGAAATTTAAGATGCCAAAGCGAGTTTGCAAACAACAACTCCGAAATACTAACAAGTTGATCGGTCGAGTAAACACTGGTAACTGCTAACCGTTTACACTGAGTCAGGCAAAATGGGAGGGGTTTTCAAATAATGGCTTTTTGAGCTCGGGTTACTTAGAAAGTAAGTTGCTATAAAATGGGACACTTTTAACGTTAAACATTGAACAAATATGTTCTACCTCCGACTCCTGGCTCTTGTCGCTCTCTTAGTTTCCAGTGCTTCGGCGGTTACCATATGCTCTTCTAGCAGTATTCTTTCAACTTTCACAGATCCTTTGTGCACATCTTGGTGTAAAATTAGGGTAAGTACAAACATTATAACAAATTACAGTTTCAAACATTTTCAGTTATGCAGTTCGGGTTCCTGTAAGAGCGCTCAAAGCGGCCAAGATGCGACTTGCCAATGTGAATCCTGCACTTTCGGAAATTGGTTCAGCTCATCGAGCGATTCCACCTCTAATCAGCCAGTGACCGGACAATATTACACCGCCGGATCGGGAGGAATAATGCCAACCCAAAACGGTAACAACAATGGATACAACAATGGATATGACACTGGCTACAACAACAACAACGGCTATAACAATGGGTACCGCAACCCGGCTGCTGCTGGATACGGAAACTCTAACTCCAACTTCAACACCAATCAACAGTACTCCAGAGATAATCAGTACGCCTCGAATGTTCCCTCCGGATACGGTAATGGCGGTCAAGCCAACTACGCCTCCGGATACCAGAAATGAGTGGTTGTTCAATAGCGCAATGTAAATAAATCGTTTCAATTGAAAATCTTTATTCTTTGGTAAAATGAAATTATGTTCACACACAAAAAGCGATCGCTGACTGCGTCCAAATAGAAATTGAGTGATTGAGAAAGAAGGGACCAAAAATCTAGCTGGAATTCTATAATGAGTGATAGTTTCAATAACGCAGAAATACATTTTGGACAGAAAAAGGGGGAGGACAATAAATAAAAGAAGGCGTAGAGGACTCAGAAATACTGCCAAGGAAAAAATGTTTTTTTTTGTTGAATTATGGCATAAGAACGTTTGCGACTGGGATGATTATACATACACAAATGGAACCGGGATTGCGAGCGCGAGGAATTGAAAATGAAGAAGAAAAGAAGGAAAAGAGCATAGGAAACTACCATAGAAGTAAATAAGTAACAAAATACATGGAAATGGGGAGGAGAATTGTGACACAGACACGGGAAAAGGGTAAAAGCAGAAGGGGAACTAGATCACAGCAGAATGTTGTCACTAGGTGTAAAAGATGAGTGCACAGAAACAGCTTTCTGTTTTTGTTTTGAAAAAAAAAGGTAATCGGACTGTGATGAAAGATGTTAAACTTGCAAAAATAGATGGGTTGCCTCTGAGGCTCTCGACAAAATATAGTGGGGCAATTAAGGGGTACGTCTACTGGAACACATTTCAATATATGCATAAAATATGGAATATAGGACAGACCGGGAGGGTAAAAAAGGAAACGACTACACACTGGAATTAGCACAGGGCCGACAGAAAAGAACGGGAGAAATGGGCAAGTGACTAGAAAATGGATCCGGGCACGCACACAAAGTGGATAGACTGGAAACGGAAAAAAGCATAGAGATGAATTGGTAAAGCTAGAGAGTTGGGGGAACAGACGATTGATTAGACTGTGATATCGATAAGTTCGGTGGATGGCGAGAAAGTGGAAGTTGGAAGCTCGTTTTGAATTGGATACTTGTCATAAATGGCAGAAATGATGTTGTCAAGAGCTGAAAAGTTCGCCTTTTGAAACTAGTTACTCAGAACGAGCGGGTCTTACTTGGTTTGTAGCTGGTATCGATCAAAGTCTCATTACCGATCGACATTTTTCTCTGCCGAACCTCTCGAATCTTGAGAATGAGCGATGAACGAGTGGGGAACACTTCCTGATGAAGCTCTTGGAAGCGGTTGATGTTCTGCGCTGAAAATAACTCTGTAATTCGCGGAAAGTTCAAAGTCGCACGAACTGGTTGGGAAGAGTCCCTCGTCGCTCAAAAAGAGCGCCACAAGTCGCCGGCGCTCCTCCAACAGCCGCTTGTTCGTCGATCTCTCTCCAAAAAGTGGAGTCGTTTGGCCAGACTTGATGGCCTTTGGAGTGAGCGGAGTGCACGCCGACTGAGGCGTCCCGATGTCTCCACAGATATTATCGGGGTTGAAGTTTGGTCCGAAGAAGATCGTCTCCTTTCCGGGCGTCTTGAATGGCGTCGCCAAGTTTGGCGAGGCCGGAACTTCATTGTAGATCTAAAATTTGACGGTTGTCGCTGATTACTGACGTTGTCGCGCATAAAAGTTCTTCTCACTCTCTCTCTCTCTCCCTTTCCCTTTCCCCTTCTGATTTTCGACCATTGTCATTTGACACAACGGGTTTTCGATTTTGATCGTCACGATTTGATTCTCTTTCTATCTCTCTTACCTTGGGCGTAAATTCCGGAAGCTGCGCGAATTTCTCGGTGAATCCAACTTTAGCGAGGAGTCTAAAATGATAAGGATTGATGTCAAGCCTGTCGGTTCATTGCGACGCACCTATCCATTCGCTCGTCATCCCGTTTGAACAACTTTGACGAAACCGCCGCCTCGGTTTCTATCTCTCGCAACGGTCTCTTGTTGCCTGAAGAACAAATAGCTGATTGAGAGGAAGAAGAAGAAGGAAGAAAAAGAGAATTTGGAAAAAAGAGAGGGTGTTAGACAATGTTTATCACAACTTTATCATTCCCTCCATTCCATTGCGGGTCGACTCGCTCGCTTATCGCTTGCGCTATTATTATTAATGTCGACAATTCATTGGATTTTTCTTGCGTAGGTGTTGTTCCGACACTTACGTCTCATTCCGAGTTGAGCGGGTGTCGGTTGAAGCACAAATTGCTGGGTTGGAGCCAAGAACTGAGCAGTTGGGATCGGAGTAGGACGAACAACGGCTGGTGGAAGTGGCGTTTCGAGCGGTTCCACTTTGATATTATCCAAGATTCTCACACTCTCCAGCTTCTCTTGAAGTTGTGGAAGAAGATTGGCAGTTTCCGGGAACGACATCTGAAAGGATTGAGATGTGGTTGATGGCGATAAAGTAGAAACGAAGGTGAATAGAGGATGGACAGGACAGGACAGACCGCCCGTTCGAAGAGAGGCATCGGAAGGCAAAGCAACTCTTGCTCAAATGATTTATTGCTCCGGGGTCGCCATGTGTTTTGTTTTTTCATCACCCCGGCGAAAAAAAGGCTAGCCAAAAGTAAGAGACCGCCAAGAAATAGAGAATCAGCAGCAAACTTACGATCGGCGGCGATCGGCTCGATTTCAAACTTGAGCTTTGGAACAAAATGATGAGGGGAGAAGTGTGCCGCCGCCGCCGAGGCCCCCCGCGGACACACATTGTTTGTCAGATGATGCCCGCAAATTTGCCGCGTCCCATTAAAACTCTTCTCTTTGGTGGTTCAAAAATCTGATAGAGAGGAGCCGGAACCGGAAGGGACCACCACAAAAAGAGGGGGAGAGTGGGAGGGAGAGAGTGGGATATTTCATTAGTGTTGATTGGGGTCTCCAGAGAGTGTATATTTGCAAACATGGGAAGAGATGGTAGATCGGAATGGAAAAACAACGGCGTCGCGCCGAGAACTGCACTTTGCATCTTCTTGGCCACTTTTCCTTTCTATATACACTTTGAAGGTCCTACAGTAGCCGGAAATAGGAGGGGCAACCAGGCGACGATAGTGTACATCTTCTACATCGTCTTCTTCTTTTCTTCTTGCAAAACAGAGAGAGAGAGAAACGAAATTGAATGGTTAGTAATAATTCACTCGAGGTTCGGAATGTTAATGGGACGGGAAGTGATAAGCAAAAGAGGATGGTGAACAGAAAGATACGAGGCAGCGGTTCGGGAGGAAGTGGGCGTGGGCGGCAACTTGGAACCCCTCCCCAACTAATGAGGGGCCAATTCAGTACCTTCATTGTGATTGCCGGGGTGACTGCAGATGATAGTGGCGACGTGACCGCGTCGACCAACGACAAATTCATGATTGAGGAGAGCGTCGGATTCTAAAGAACGCTACATATTGTCGGAAGTAAGAAACGTCAAACGTCTTAAGTTCAGTTCAGTGGCCAATTGATATCAAGGCCTCCCACTAATTCGATGCAACATGTTTCGAATCAAGTCTCTCTCCCTCCCTCCCCCCCTACCCCTCCTTTTCCGGTGACTTCGTACGTAGTGGGAGGCACATGCATTATCATTATCAACAACAGCATTAACAAAACAGTCCTCGTCAAACTAACCAGAACGCGGAATGCGGACACGGGCGACGAGTAGAGCGAGGATGTGTTGTACATCGGAACAAACTGACGACACGCCTGTTGTGTCGAGTTGACCAGTGTACTTATCATTGCAGGATTGAAGACCTGAAAGAATACAGTATTACATACATACACACATTGGTTATTCATTCTCAAATTCTCAAATTAGAAACGACATCTGTGTCGGCCCATAAAAGTGTTAGTGGTGTTTAGTCACGTACAGAAGAAAAGGAGACAAACACGTCTTCCTCACCACCCACCCCAGTAGTTCCTTGTTTCAAGCTGTCAAAGTCGAATTGGAGTGCCGTCGAAGTAGACGTTAGTGCCGGTGAGCCGGTGATGCTCGGTGTGGATACGGAAATCGCGGAAAGGCTTGGACTCAAAAGTGGTAGACCAGGCAAATCAAATGAGTTGGCAGAGTCGCGCGAAGATAGGTATCGGAACGCCGAAGCTCCTGGAGTCATTGGAGTCATCGGGCTGAGCAGAGCGGTTCCGTCGACAAACGATCTAGCGAGATCATCCGAAGTGCGGAAGTCAAAGTCGAACACCTGGAACTTTGCAAGCATGTTGTTCGCTGCTTCTCTTTCTTGTAAGAGAAGCTTTGACGTTGGTGCTTTGCTTTGGTGCTAATGAGCAAAATATCGGGTACTTTCACCTCAACCCAAAACACCAAACTCAAATCAGAAACAGCAACTAAGAGAATTCTCAGAAAAAGTGGTACGGTAGTCCTCACCTGGTTTTTATGTGGAGTCAAAACTACCGGAGTGGAGTTCAGTGACTCAGACTTGATCTTCTTTTCCTTCGTACTCCACTTCCAATCGGGATGAGCCTTGAAGTGCGCTTCTTTCACTTGCGTCGCCAACTTGTGATATTCGGCTTTTTGATCGGCCGCCAGAGAGTACCACCACTCGCCGAGGATCTTTGAGACGGTACGATTGTCCTTGTTCGGGTACTTTTGATGTACCAGTGGTCGATGACGTTTTGAAAAGATCATGAAAGCGTTCATCGGCCGTCGAACATGTGGTTCATTCTAAACTCGGTCATGCAATGCAATTAATCGATATTGACACAACATACCGTCGTCTTTGATCTTCGCCTCTCCTTGGCCAACGGAAAATCCTCCGGTTTCACGTCCATGCTCTCTTTCACATGTGCCAGCTCGTAATCATCTTTGGGCTCGGTTTTCACTGAAAAGACTGAAGGTTTCTTTTCATTTCGTTTCTCTCTCGCTCTCTCTTTTTTGATAGGTTTGAGACAATCTATCTGTTTGCTCTCGACAAACCTGGCGATCGGAACGCTGAGTTGACACTGCTGCCAATGGAGTTGGTGGTTGAGGACGGCTGGAAAACAGAGAAATGAGGAAAATATTTGGATATCTTAGGAAAAGATAAAGGGTGTGGTAGCTACGTGAGTCAGAGACATAAAGAAACGCTACGTGAAAGGGTGTTTATGAACGAACACCGTGATCCCTCAAAGGTTTTTTGTAAGTTCACTATTCTGAGTAGTCTTGACTTGGATGGAAACAAAAAGTTTATGAATGACGTTAGGTACCTGCGAAGGAAGGGATGGAAGGCTGGCTTCACTCGTCTCAACGGACAGCTCTCTGGACATATCGTACTCCGCTGAAATAATAATTTTGGATAGACAACCATATTTATATAGGATACGGATTTAGGGTTCTACCTTGTGAAATGATAAGAGGAGTTGATCCTCTTTGGGATAAAAGTGAAAAATATGACGTTATCATTTGAATAGAAGCAAGTCAGAATAGCGGAGGATAAGAAATGAACCGGAATCCGATTGAGTTGATTCGATATTTTTATGCCGCGATTTAAGATTAAAACTCAAATGAAACGAAATGAGCTAATGGTGATATCATTGAGAAAAGAGTGCGGCGATTAAGAAATGAGGATGGCGGGGATAAGCGTGACCAGAAGAGTGGGTGGGAAACGAAAGGAAATGGTGGGTGGATGGACGGGGACGTTTGTTTGGAAGGACGCCGAGATGGACGTCATGGATAGGTCAGATGAGCAATGAAGACATTGGAAATTGAGATTGGCGATGGATGCAGCCACAAAATAAACACGCAACTTTTCTCACTTCAGAGGATTCAGGTCAAAAAACGATGTCCACTTCATCCCGTCCCGAAAAAGAAGACGACAGTTTCCTGAAGACGGAAACCGGAAATTGGTGACGGCTCTGCGCACACAACGTAGGAGGCGTAGTAGTAAAATTGCAACATTATGAACGAAAAACAAACACCCACTGGCAAAATGCTCCTTCTTTCATGAGAAGCGTTAATGAGTTAGAGTTGGAATGGGAGAGAATGGGAGGAGGGCAGATATGTTACGTACCCATCTCGCTCGAGTTCTGCGAATTGCTGTGTTGGTTTTGATTCTGCTCGCCGCCGTTTCCCGATGTTTTCGTGGAACTGTGAATTGAAAAATCTGCAAATAAAAATGAAATTATAAGAGATTGTTAGGTTCGAAAAAGAAAAGTTGAAGTTGCTAGAGTAGACTAATGAAGTGTTGCGTGTAGACACTTACAAAGATGGCTAGCCGACTTTTATATATTCAATTCTCAAAAGAGCGTCAAAAATGACAGCGATCCGGGATAAGCTAGGCTTTCGGAAGATCACAACGCACTTGAACTAGACCCGTTCGGATTTGAGGAGCCCGCTGACGCGACTCCTCCGCCTCCTCCCGAACTTCCGTCATCGTCGTCGTCGGAGCGCTCTTCTGTTTTCTGACAAACGCTGACGTCTGCAAGAAAGAAAAAAAGGTCGACTGAACCCGAATCCAGTGGAGCATGAAAGGGGGACGAGAAAAACTAACTGTCGCTGCTGGCACCATCGTCATCCTCCTCTTCTTCCTCTTGCTTCACATTGTTGTTGTTGATTTGATGGTTTTGAGCATTCAACTGTTGCTGGAGAAGTGCTTGAGCTTGCTGTTGAAGTAATGGAGCGGTGAGTTGCGAAAGAAGAGCGGGGTTCAGGTTGAATAGTCCGCTGGCCGCCGCATTCGTAAGACCCATTGGCGGACAGAACACATTGTTGGTTTGAGTCATTGCCGGAAGCTCGTCCAGTCGCCGACGACCAGGGGGTACTTGCATTAGAAGTTGTTGCAGCTGAATAGCTCAACATCTAATAAGGACAAAACGATTCCCAATTCTATACTTTCAAGTCACCTACACATCACAGTTATTCTGACTCCCCTTAGCCCACAAATCACGGAACACGTTTTCTGCTTTTCAGCTCCCTAAATCACCTGCTGAAACTGATTCTCAATCCTGGCGTTTCCGAGTTGCATCAACTGCTGGAACTGTTGAGCTCGTTCGACCTGAAGATTCAAAAAAATGTTCATTTAAAAAAAATCTCTATTTGGTTTCATTTTTTGAGTCGTCTTGCAGAAAAAAGCAGAAGAAGAAGAAGATGCAAAAGAGTATGAGGGATCAAATTTGGGCATTTTCAAGAGGCAGGGGAATTGTTGAAAACGGGCGAAATATCAGATTTCTGGGGCCCAGTTCATTTTTCCCCGTCGTTTTTCACACGAGTGAGGCAAAATGGGCGAAAAAAGAGCGCGAGACCAAAATTCTGATCAGCCAATCCCTTCCTCCACACGACGTCACAGTTCTGAATGGAACCGAGCGGAGACCGTTACGTCTAGTTTCGTTTTTTCTGTTCAGTGAAACAGAAACACGGAGAATATGAACTAGAAGTGAGAATGAAACAAAACGGGGGAGTGGGGTCGGATTTAACTGTAACCTGCATCTGTTGAATACAAAACACGATTCTCATTTTGGTTTTTCAGTACACTTCTGACATCACCAGTATTAGAAGGTACAGTAGACTTGAATTAAGACCCAAATAAATAAATAAATGAAAACCAAAAAGGAATCCGATTAGAGCTCTCCAAAACAGATCATTTCGCTCACCGAAAATTGCGGAGGCAACTGTTTATCCGTCAAAAGCGTTGGTGGAGCTGATAACGGATTGATCTTTCCAGAAAATACGTTCGCGTTGACAGTGGTCGGGATGCGTGGCGGGGCAGAGTTTGGTAGAAAGACAGACGAATCCGAGTGGAAGAGTTCTGAAAAAAAGCATTTAGTTGAGAAGCATTTAATTAAAGTGTCTAGTGACATTCATAATAGTTGGAATAATGAACATTTGTGAATTGAATGGAGAAGCACAAGCAACTCTTTAGTCTATATTTAAAAAGGGCAGAATAATGATGTGGGTGGAATCGAGCTCATGAAAAAGAAGAAGGAGGATGCGGATGCGGACTTGCGTCAAAGAATGCTTCATGATTCCGATGAAAATGCAAATCTGGGTGAACTTTATGCGAAAGATGGGGGTGCGAGCAGAAATGATCACTGAAGGAGGAAATGAAAAATCGGTGCTTAGTGGAACGATTCTGTTTTTTAGACATCTTCATCCATTCTGACCATAATCCTATTTTAAATAAAAAAATAAGAAGATTGGCTTTATAGATTTCAGATTTTGATGTCTCGATCTCGACCACTAAGAAGAATATTTCATTAATTTATCATTCTTCTTCATCCGAGCGAAACCGCATCGCGCTTGTTCTTTCACCTGTTCATGAGTAGGTTGGGTGTGACTTTTGATGTGAAAATATGAAAATATCAGCAAAAAACAATTATTTCTAAAGAAAGGCATGCCTGATTTTCTTTTCGAGTTTTGGTCGTCTAAAATGGGATCAGAAATGGAAACTAGTAAAGCGGTTTTTTTGGAAATAAAGAAAATGAAATTGTTGCGTTGTGTAATCCGAGATGCCATTTTCACATCATTAAACTAGAGCCAGGGCCATGCTTGCAGCTTGCCGCTCGGTCGGTCCGCCAAAAAAAGCTGATAATGACGATTTCACGCTCTTTTTACGTGTTTCACGACGGCATTCTGTTAAAGAAAAGTGGGCGGAGCAAGCCTACACATCGTACTAGTCCGTCAGCAAAACAGTACGCGACCAAATGGCCTATTCATTTGTTCTCTTGTGCCCATCGCGAGCGAGCATGACTAATCGACTCTCGAATTCGGTCGACAATTTCACAATTTCAAGAGAGAAAGGGAGAAAATGTGTACGAGACTATTCAGCGGAGCGGGCACGAACGTCGAGAATAAACGTAATATATAAAGAAGATGAAAATTGGACAAAAACGTACGGAACTTTTGTATGGCATTTGGGCAAAATGAAAATCGTACTATGGCAATGCAATTGGTACGCAGGTAGAGATGAAGAAGAAGAAGAAGAAAAGTTTCATCAGGGACCGACCACACTCTTTTAAAGCATCTATCTTTCCTTGACACATTTTAGCGTATCAGCCAAATCCTTAAAGTATTCAGAAAGCGGATCAGGCCAGTCATCTCGTAAGGCTTACGGTAGGTTGTAATAATAATGCAGTCTGATCACACAAACTCGGATGTTTTTAATTCCATTTCCATGTTTTCAGTTTTTCAGTAACTCATACACGTCAACCAAAAACCTTGGAAGTTCGTCAAATTGAACATTGCGAATGGCGCACGGAACAACGTTTTCTTTGCAGTCATTGAACAATTTCAGCGTGTTTGAAAAGGAAATAAAAATTGTCGTCCGAATAAAGGTGAAAAGAGTACTGAAGACGGGAGCGTGGACAAAAAACGGGCCGTGTATTCAATAGAGTAGAGTGCACACACACTAAAAGTCAGAGCCATTCATCTGGCACACTTTGTTCTTTTTTTCTGGAACCTCTTGAGATGGGAGGGGGTTAAGGAGACAAAAACAAACAACGATTAGATTTTTGAATGAGCTAAGAGGAATTATAAGGAATGAGCTATGGCTACAGTAGACAAATGTTAACGTGCTTTAAAGATTAGTCGGCTTGATGAGAAAGGTCGACATGATCAGTAATTTTTGCGAAATATCCGTAGAGTTTTCGGTAAAAGTTAAACGATGAGTTTGCAACAACGTCATCTCTTATCGCAGGTTCAGGCCATTTCAATTATATATATATACTGCGTAAACTCTTCGCGCTCTGTTTATTTAGCAGTCCGTCCGTAGTGAATTGCAGAGAGAGCACAAATAAGGAAAACGTTTCAGTAAAGGAAACTTGTGTAGCTATATTTATTTTAGTAAAGTATTAGGATAATCATAACTTCTTTGGAAGGTCCGCTTTTTTTCCTACAATACTAAATCCATCCACATACCTTGTTTGACAATTGCTGGCGACGCTCGCTCCAAATGATGTCCGTGCGGAGGTTTGCTCTTTAACGATAAATGACGAGAGCAGTAGCCTCTTCGTTGAGATTCCTGAAAAAAGGTCACATTACTTGGTTCGTTTCTCAGTCAAAGTAGAAACGGATAATGAGAAGCGAAACAGATGACGGGAAAAAAGTGCGCACCGATGAACACAATGCACGAGTGGCCAGCTGACTTTCGTCACCTGATTAGGTATCCGTTTCGCTTCGCTACTCCTTTAGCGATCAAGAAGAAGATTCATTCAGTACGGTATAAAATAAATGTTTGATGAGAAGGAAAGTGACCAACTGTCAGATCGTAAATTAGAGAAACTTGTGACCCTATCTATCCGTTTATTTTATTTTGATTCAACTTCTCTCATTTTCAGCTGAGAGACGGGACAGTGTACCGAAAATAGGCATTTTGTAGCCGATCGACTAAAGTACTTTGAATTCTTTTCATTCTCGGATCTTGTGATTGAAAGCGACACACAAACACGCATGGGGGGAAGCAAAGACGGACTTGATAAGAAGCGTATCAATCCGACTGGTCACATACCTTATTACACCCTTCTTTAGAACACAACCGTCGCCACTGTTTGCCGTTGAACTTCTTTCGAATGCCGCATTGCGTCGTCACAATCTCTCCTTTTTTGAATCGCTGCTACAAACCGCATCAGACAGTGTTGTGATTCGATTCGACTAGTAAACCGACCTGATCTAACATGGCTTTGGTCGCACACACCGGCGCAGTGATATGTTGAAACATTTGACCGTTCGGATTTGAACCGGTGTTTGAACTCTCGGCTTCTCCTTCGAATATTCCAGAGTCTTGAGACGGATTGAGGAGATGAGCTCTGGGAGCAGCAGGTACCGTAGTCGGCGATGGTTCACCCGACTGATCCTAAAACAAACGAGTCGAATGGGATGAAGAATTGGGGGAGGGAGCGAGTACGACAGAGCTACGGGATTACCGTACTGCTGACTGGAGCCAGACAATAGAGATCGCTAATACTCATATTTTGGGAAGGATGCACAGGAGAGGAGGAGCGCCTTGTTGTTACGTTAACAGCCAATAGCAGTTTTTGTGCGATTGAGATTACGAGATGAGTGAATAGGTGTCGTGTTAGAAGAGAGGATTTGACAATTGTTAGGGTGAGACTGCCGGCAGCTTGCCCATAGAAAAAGTGGTGACGAGTGACGTGATTCATCAGAAAACGTTAGTAAGGTGCATGGACTCTACGGATTAGCCGAACTCACTTGATTTGATGGCCCCGGCTGCTCCTCGTCCGAATCCACGGAGACCGCGTTGGAACTTGACTCTTGCGTAGGCGGCGCTGGCGGTATTTGAACTACTGGAGCCGTTATGAGAAGAGGGCCAGGAGCGGATGGAGAAGGCGACAGGGAAGAGTGGGGCGGAGCAGGAGGAACCCTGAAACTTACTTATCAAAAACAAATTACAGACGACAAGAGTGAACACTTTTTCCGCGTTTCATGTTTTACTGAGCTTTCCCACTCGTACACTCTCGCTTTCGAGGGAAAAGGACAAAGTTATACTATAATTTTTGAAATGTATCAACATTTGTGAGTGTGCGTGGTTGTGTTCTCGGAATGATTGTAGGGTGTCTTAGAAATGGCATCGAGAAAGATTTTCGACAAAACTGCTGAAACTTACACAGAAGTCATGTTGGCCACATGCTGATGTAAATGTAACGCACGTTGACGGTTCTGCAACGCGAGCACCAGCGCCATATTTTCCGAAACCGTCCGACCGCCATTTCCGTTTGTGACCGGCAAACTGCAAGAAGGAACAACATTTTTGGCTTAGAATTCTGAATATCACAGTGGTCTACAGAAGTCTGCTCGGTAAAGTTCGACGTGTAATTAGTAGTCAAGCAAAACAAAATGAGTTTGTCTGATTAAACAAACATCAGCACCACTCACAAAGTCGGAAATCGGACATGTTGCATATTGTCGTCGTACCACGGTGGCCGGAGAAGTCGCAGATTCGCGCGGGACACTACACTTGCGTATGGCGCGTTCATCACTTTTACCTGAAACCAACGAGGTTCTATGTCAAAATTAACGGATTTTGTACCAAAAACTTTGGCGGAATTCCGGTGCTGGCTTGAAGATCTGCCGTCCTAAACACCGACTCCGCTTTCTCTAATGGCAACTTGACGGCAAGATTCGGGCTCCCACTGATTGTTAACAACTGTAATCGAAGAGATTATATATATATATTTTTTCAATTTTCAGAAGAGGTCTAGACTAAACTATCAGGGATTAGGTCCGCACTTTGCCTATCCGTTAGCTTAAGATTTGGTAATAAAAAGAATATGGCTCATGATACTTACATCTGTCAGACTTGGCGCCTGATCGGCAATGACCAAGGAAAAGTTGGCGCTGTTCACCACATCATTGTATCTGGCCTCCCTACCATCATCAATCTAAAATATTGCAACACGATTAGAAGATAAGCTCTTTTCTGCCACTCACCTGGATAATAACATCTTGATTATTGAGTGTACACTTAATAAAACCAGGCTGATAGACGCCCGGTGGTACAAGCGCCAAAACACGGTAGCCGACCCAGTCTGACAGCACAACAGACTGAATGGGCTCCGTTAAATTTGAATTAGCTACGGCGGCCTGATCTGGAGCTGGTCCTGAGCAAACTGGGTTGATAGGAAGTGGAATTGGTATCTGTATTGATGGAGGTGGTTGAGGTTCCGCTGGAGTATCCGGTTGTGATTGGGATGTGTGTGGAGTAAGGTTGTCGAATAGTTGATGTGATAATTGTTGCTCTGAAATTGAAAGTATTCATTTCACAGTTTGATCTTGCGAAGTAGCGAAGCTCACTCGGTGAAGTAGACTTCTCAATATTTAGATTACGCAAAATGTCAGGGTTAAAAAATGCAGATGAGAAGCGGAATGCGCTGATCGGACCAGCCGGTGTTGGCGCTTCTGGAACACGTATAAGTTGTTAAGGAGGAAGTGAGTGTCACAAATGAAAAGAAGAACAAATAACAGGATGTGTGGGGACAACAAAAAACATTTTCCACTACACAACAACGACTACTACATTTGCGCGTAAAAAGGAAGCGCCCATTGCACACCTATCCAAGCGAAAGTCCGGATGCGAGAATGCATGCGTTTTTAAGATGGGTACACAAACCAAAAAAGGAACACAATTGCAAGTGCTAAAACTTGGACGTCATCGTAAGAACGAGTTAGGTGGAAGACATGAGTAACATAATTTCAGGTTGCGGGGATGCACTCTCCAAACGAAAAAGTAACATACGTGAGGGATTGGTAGGTGACAGCTCATCTTGACTCTCCGATGTGTGGCTTCTGAATGCCGTTGCCGCCGCTGACGGCAGCGGTTGTTGGGTGAGCAAAGAGGGAACGGCCGCAATCTGAAACTGATACGGTAGACACAAGAGAGCGGATTTGAGAAAGAACTAATGTTGAAAATTGGAATGAATATGCGCAAAATGCTGTGTGCCTAAAACCAAAATCTGCTCGGTTTATCCTCCTAGGACCCGGAGAGGAGTTTATGAAAGCAACTCCAATTCAGCCCCCGGATTATGGATTTTTGTCCGTACCTGTTTAGGCGATCCGCCTTCTTGATTTTCCATCGAGATGATTTCAGGAACGATTTGCAAGCTTCCTGGAACAACATTCATGCGTCTGACTGATAATGAAATGCGTGTCATTACCACGTCCGAACATGTGCATAATGAATACACGTTTGAACTAATTCATGCCCAGACTTTGCGCGAAGGTGGGGGACGGAGAAACAGATTACGTACCTGACGCGAGTACTGCATGGGAAGCTGCCGGGCACTAGTCGTTGCGCATATCACAGAGAGTGCCGGTCCTCCTAAACAGGACCTGAAACCAGGCTGCTCATTGAACGATGTGAGGTTTCCGGGCAAAAAGTTTGAAAAGAGATAACATCAGTAGATAAAAACAATTGAGAGGCACTAGAAAATGAGGCAAAGATTAAGGGAAAAAGGGAAAGGTTAGAGATCCGGAATATTGGAATGAATTAAAAATGATAGAATAAAGATGAGGAGGAAGTATGCGGAAGATCTGGAACTGACTGAAACCAAAACCCTTAAGGTCATAGATCCGAGACCACCCAATTGATGTCAACTCTGTTGAAAGATTAGGAGAATTTCGAAAAATGGCTTCGCGAAGCGATGACAAAATAAAACTGCACTTCCGCAATCGCATCCAATTCTCCAGTTTCCCGTTTCTTAGTGGACTAGTAGATCAAAAAATACATCGCTTTCAGGCGTAGACGTGACGTAGATGTTGACAGTACCCATAGTACCTACGTAATTCCCAATTCGCCGTTTAGATCCTGAGACTCGAGAGACCCACAACTGTTGATTTTTGGAGGGGTTAACTTATACACACCGCATCATCAAGGTTAATTGCATGTCGTCGGCAACAACAACAGTTCATTCATGCAGTCCGCCGAATGTCCAGCCATTCCCAAACTTTGCACGGCAACCCAATCTTTTTTTGTCTGACCGCCGCTGCTACGCTACCTGTTGTCCTGGGCACCACACCCCGCCGATTCTCCCGTCTGAACGGTCAAGTGGAGGAAGTGGGTGGCAAATTTCAGAGAAAGAAAGAGAGAGAGAGAGAGACTCAGAGACATGCCAGAGTAGGAAGAACCTTGAACCGGAGAAAAAACGCATAATACAAACAGCGGGTGGATAGTTGTTTCCGCGATGAGGAGGATAGACGCACCGCCAAAATTTGAGAACCGGTTCTTAGAATCTCGAGGAGAAAAATGGGCGAAGAACCGCAATTCAGAAGGCAGGAAAGAGTTAGATTACACAGTTTAGCAGACAAGGCTTTTGGTGCTTTGGTGTGGGTGCCTGAAGCCGACAGTTCAAATCTTTACGGAATGATTCGGATAGCAGGAACTCATGGAAAGTGACTCTGAGATTGCAAACGTGGAAAGTCTACAGGATTACGGTATCGAAAGTTCTGTCACTATTTCTGTTATCAGCTTTCTTTCTCGACAAACATTATCGAAAGTGGGAGGGGAGCGTGGAAGTGGTTCTTTTCTCGGTTCTACGGACAATAAAACGCAAGAAATTGTGCGTTTTTGTTGTGTCACTTTCTTGGCTTTTCCATCCATTTTTCTATCCGTCGTCAATTTTTTTCCAATGTCTATTGTACGTCGGCATTTGGGTGTGGTGTGGTACCGGAGAGGCCGAGCGCTCCATCAATTTTCAGAGAAAACGGGTAAAAAAGACGGTGTGAAGAATGCAATCGGAACACAGGTACATACTATAACGAAAAATTTGGTTTGTATGTGTTTGTGTGCGTGTGTGTGTGTATGTGTATGTGACGCCGTGGAAGAGGACAAAAGAAAACGTAGCATAATAGAAGAGAACAGTTTTGTGGCATGGAAAAGTGAGTCAGTGAGTGTTCCAAAACGAGAGAAAAGGTAAGTATTTCATGAAACGGAACGGACAAATGAGTTTCTTTTGCCGAAGGTTTTGAAATTCGAAGAAACGAACTGTTTTCTCAGCGATTACATGAACATGGCATACAAACAAACATTTCGTTGAAATAGTTTCGAAATGACAATGCGAGAGTACGTGAAAGAGCAGCAAAAGATATGGGGTTGTAGGACACTCGCATATCAATCAAGGCCACGTCGAAAGCGGGCAGTTCAGTTCAGTTTTGTTCCAGATCACCACCGTGACTCTTAGCCCAAGCCTCTCGAAAAAGTGGGGTCACCCACGATGCGCGGGTAACTAGCAGTTGATCCTGAACAAATACCACAACTCGTTGCCCCACGCAAGCATCAGTGATACAGAAAAAGAGAAATACGGGAGGAATGTCGAGTATAGTGAACCGTATGCATGTTTTGTTTTTAAAACATAGGCAAAACAAGAAAAGTTGACCGTCAAAAATAGTTGCGAATTTTCGACGTTAAACACTAACGTTTACCGGAACGTGAGTGACTGACTCAACTCAAATTGACACGAGAACAAATAGTAATCAGCTGGACAAGACCACGGGAAACACTAAACGATAACATTTATAGACTCTTAACAACATTCGCGAGAACAGAAGAGCTTGGTGGGGGAGTGGGGTGGGGGTGTGTGTGTGCGTGATTTCAGATGTCAAATTGCTTTTTTTCCGTTTTCAGGATGCAAATTAGTAAATAAGCAACACATTTGCTTGCAGATTGAGAAATGAGGAAACTATATGGATGGCCAGGTGGAAATTCTTTCGAGCATACTCATGGTCACACCTCGGTCATTTATTGGATCATTGAAATGTGGTGAGGAGCCTAACTCGATAAAATGTTTGTCAACGCGACCCGTTACGCACCGACGTTTTATCTGTTCCGAATCACTATCTTAAATGGCGCCAATATAGACGAAACTATGCAATTACACAAGGCACACAATATCAATAGTTTGTACTACTTAAAAGTGCATTTGATGACCGCCTGAAATTGTGATCTGTATCGGAATGCCCCCAGCCCGGCCCACGTTTGCCTCCCACGCCAAAAATATGTGTGGGATGTCTATGATGAGGCTTCCGAGCGAAACTGTTACGAAAAAGGTTACAAACAAACAAATGTTTGTTTTACTATCACACATTTTTTTCTTCAAACAACTCCCACAAACGAACGCACAAATTTTTTGGTATTTGTCGTTTCGTTTTGTTTTGTGCACAGAAAGAGAAAAGGGAAGAAAAAGAGAGAAGCCAATTGTGCGTTTTAGCAGACTACTGTATCTGCGTGGTGGACTCGTTTTCCTCATAGCTTTCCAATTTTTTTCAAAATCTATAGTTTTCGAATCTAGCTCATTCATATGACTTTAGAATAGATACAGAACAAACAATTTGTTTGAAAACTGTGAAAACCAGTTAGAAATGCAGAAATTGTGCAAAAACGTTTAAATTTGCCTCAAGTGGGATCGTTTGGCCAATGCGGTCTGTGCAGGTCAGGCGAGGCGATAGAAATTTCAATCACTTCAATCAGTGAAAACTATGGTATTCTTCCATGATTTCAATACGTGATCGTCATTCATTATCAGCACGCCTTAACATATGTTTGTTTGTGGCGAGTGGGGTAGTACCCTCTGATAAAGAGCGATATCAAAAGTGAAGGAGCAAACTGTCAAAACGAAATGAGAACATGGTTTTGCCGCACTGCACCGCACCGCCAGAGTCGCAACATCATCAGTGTCCATCGGTGATAACGATACGGGGTTACTCCGTATTACCCCGTCATTTCTTTTTCCGAATGATGATATTTAGATGTATCCACAGACAAAAAGGAAAACAAGAAAAGAATATTTTTCCAGAACCTGGTTAGAGGACGTTCACTTATCAAAAATTGCTTCCCCGTAATCTGGTGGGTTGCTACTTATACCGATCCGCTTCTGGAAATCATGTGCGGGCGGAGAGGATGACTCGCTGCTTATCGTCTACAACATTCTTACAGAGCGGTATCGGAGGGAGGTGTCGCCAAATTGTCTCTGCATATGAAAATGAATACAAGAAATGGGCATCACATCCTACGGGTCTCAAAAGATTACAACTTATCTTGTCTTGTTTGCTCGAAAAACTTGCGCGATGTGGCGGAACTACTGTGTAGTTGGAGTTGGCACGAAATGATCAGAAAATGTGTGGGGGAAATAGACCCGTATTTGAATTTTTCAAAGTTTGAAGGAGCTGACTGAGTGAGCCCCTGAAAAAATAGCTGATGGGTTTGGCAGCCGCAGAATGTCTCTTACTCCTCCATCTTTTTTCGACCTAAAAAGTGCTCTCGGTCAAACATACACACACACACACACACATATATATATGTACAACTTCCATTGGGTCTGAAGCGGCAGCCAATTCACTCTTGGTGTTGCATGTCATGCATTCGAGAACTTGTGTTCACTAGAGTTCTTCTTCTTCTTCGTTTTCTTCTTTTCCTCGTCCCCCTATCATGTCGTAGTATCCCCTTGTGGAACATGCACTTTACTTTTTTTTCCCCCGGTGGACATCCACTTATATTTTATCACTCATGAATTGAAAATGAGCAAAAATGAGGAGACCCGCACTCATTTATAACGACGCATGAAAGATGGGACCAGGGGGGAAGACACACGAATTTGGGTGTGGTCACGAAATTGGAATTTTAAATTTCAAATGTTCAATCTTCCCCTCGTGCTATTCTTTGACACACCCCATATATTTAAGGGTTGACCTCAAAAGTTGAACCTAACTCACGTACTCGCTCACTCACGCAGGAAGAAAGAACGCGCCCTTGCGCCCCGCATCATATATTTTATAAATATAACAAAGACTAGTGGTTATAGACCGACGCTGGAAGAGCGAGACACAGGGACAGCGGGGAGACGGCGGCCAAAAAACATATACACACAACAATTGGAAAGTGAACGGGTATAGTTCAAATATTGGGAAAAGGATGCGGCAGCGAAGGACGGAAGAAGATGGAACCAAGTTTCTGAGAGAAAATGGGCAAAGGAATGGGGCGAATTGAGAGAAAGAGAACGGTTTAGAAGGAAAGTGCCGCAAGAATGGTTCACACAATAGTTACTATAGCGAATTGACCCGAGATAAAGGGAAAGGGATAGATGCTAACGCTAACGAACACTTCTATCCACTCACTCTTCACTTTGCAACA